CGGCGGCCGATAACGCGGCCGCGGGGACGGGCGCGCCGAGCTCCGCCGGAGACGCGGAGGCGGCCACCGGAACGGACGGGACGGACGGAAAGCCGCCGAAGAAGAGCAAACCGGCGCACCCGGCGCGCGCGGCGGCCGGGAACGCGGCCGCTGAAACCGGCGCACCGAGCTCCGCCGCGGATACGCGGGCGGCCGCCGGATCCAGCGGAACAAACGGACTGCCGGAGCCACCCGCGAGTTCCGGCACGGCGCCCGCATGAGCAGAATTGCGGGCTGCAGACAGGGTACCCAGTGTAATCGGATGGCTGGCTCACCGGCGGCGTTACTCAAAGTACGGGCTGCCATACAGAGTCGTCTCGTAGCAAACGTAGCACAGTTCATTCTACATAATGCTAGAACCTTCATAGAGTCTGAGATAGCTGCTCGGGAACGACCCTGCTGAAGTGTGACGGCGAAAGACACTGACTCGTTCTGTATAGGCCTCCAACAATTCTGTCCCAGTCGCTCAAAACGTTCCTTCTACATCCCAGCCGAACTCAAATGATGACGCTGATTGCGTCGACCTTGTACAGTCACTTTGCTTCTCATCCGTCCTACTTTCGAGTTTGCTTCACGCTCTACCTCATCGCGCTGCCGCACGCATCGGCGTCGGCGCGGCCGCGCGCGGTTAGCCCGATTGAATTATTCCATGCAAATATTGAACTTCAAGTAGTACTAAAATTACGTAATATTCGGTCCGATTACCGTCCGATTGCAAAATCCACACATATCACCCCCGTACGACCTCTATCCATACGAGCCCGCTTACCCAGTGGCCAGCGTCCTGCATTGGTAGCTATGCTACCATCCTGGTTTTACATTTTCAACTATTAAGGCTCAGTGCACGTGGTTGTCAAGGGCTGCATGCAGATTGCACATGACTTCTCAAACGTGGGCTTATAGCTAGTATGCACAGGAGTCGGATCTCGAGTACTCATATGCTGTCGTCATGACTTCAACAAGCTGTCGAGAAAGCTCAAGCTGCAGGCCCTGACACATGCATGCAGACCACAATCTAGAGGCACCCTTGCAAGTAAAAGCTACTTTATAAAGACCTTTGCCCTCGCACAATATCGAGACTCAAGTGACTTGTCCGTCGCTCGCTGCCCGGGTTTCCCGTTCCCTTTCTTCTTGGATCCCCTCCAAGCGGCCGCATAGCGCCTCGTAACTTGCCAATACTGCGGACATTTGCTGCTTCACTTCGTCAACGTCGTCCTTCAACGACCGGGCTGCAAGGGCCAGGGAGAGGCTATCACGTCAATGTGTGGAGAACTAAGCCATGGAGGTGAAACTTATCTCAAGCTAAAGGTCTGGGTCGAGGACTGAGGAGCTATGGAACGAGGACGGGTATCAACCTGGCGCTTCTATTGGCTCTACTTTCCAAGGATATTGGCCGGTCTGATGCAGAGACTTGCATACCTCGGCGGTTTTCAGTCGTCTGATTCAAGTTGTATCAGAGGGCCTGTTTTCAGCGAGGAGACCGATCGTAGAGCAATCACAAGTACCAACCAAGATCCGCCTTTGAATCCCTGGAGTACGCTTTCGCGTTTTGGCGTCATATTACGGGACGAATTGGACCTGACAGACAAGGAAGGATACTCTGCGCATCTTCCAACTTGCAACCGCGGGAACCGGGTTGGTTGACTCAAAACCAAGGTTTCTAACATTTCATTTTACGGGTTTAACGCTCTGTTCTAAAATGAGCGGCAATCTGAGTAGCGGCTTTCTGAGTTTTCAGAACTTCGAGATCTCCTAATTTCAGGATGAAGAGTTTCGGCCCACCTTGGTGCAGGTGCTCCGCGCTTTGCTTCATGACCTGCGCCGCGTGGTGCAGTCGTTGCAGCAGCTTGAGCGCCAGTTCTTCCACCACGTCGATGCTGTTGTGGATGTCCTCCTGCGATGCAATACGCAACTGCTTTGGACGGTTCACAAAGCAGAGCCTTTAGCCCACCCTTTGAGAGATTGCAGTTGGTGGAAAATCTCCCGACTCTCATTTTGCCGCTCTGCATTCCAGCTTGTCCGTGTAGGAATGTCCTGGCTATGATTTTCAGACGGAGCCGGGGAATGTTTAATCTTGGAACGGCCAAGTTCAAATAATTAACGACTTCAACGGTCCAACCTGGGAACGTCGGGCGAATTTTGACTGCTTTGTATGGATGTCTTGTGAGCGGGTTGGTTTAAGGAGAAAAGGGCAATTTACTATACAAAGTGTCCCTTCTTTTATTGTTTTTTGCCCTGTTGAATACTTACTTGAAATCTCTAAGGGTCCGGTTCCAGCCTATGTCACAATTTGCAAACCGCAATGGCTTTTTTGCAGCAAGAATTTCTCTCAACACCAGCTTTCCAACATAAGCGTCCGGACAGCTCAGCCAGCACCGTTTCGTTGAGAGTCCGAAGCACTGCTTTGCTGTCGCTTTGATCAGCAGCCCATTTGTGCATTGTGGTCAGATTGAGTTCGATCGTCCCGATTAAAAGGACTTGGTAGAGTCCGAACACGACGCTTCGTTTAAAAGACCATTTAGGGCAAGCGGCACATGCAAGTCGAATTGACGACGCGAACTGAAGCTGCCCTCAAGAGTTTCTTACGTCGTCAGCAAAAAGTACCAGATTTCGCCCCAAATACAATCGAGAAGGTGCTTAAAAGGAAAAGTTGTCTTGCGACGACCTCAATGAGAGCCTTCATCGCGCGAGAAGGAAGCGCTTGCGAAGACTTCAACACAAGCGAGCTCGTGACTTGGCTGCTCCTCAACTCAGAAACGTCAAATAAAGGTGACCATAAGAAAGGCGGGATTTGCAGGGGCGTCTGACCTGGTTGCTTGCAATGTGCGCCGCTGCGCCATTTGCCCAGGCCTCGTATTTGGAGAAGAGTTGAAGGGTGGTGCTGGTGTCGAGAAGGGTTCCTGGAAAAACAGTTTCAGCTTTCAGTTTTATGCGGAATCGCTATCTATGCATGATTGCTCTTAAGACTTCCTATTTTGAGGTGGAAGAAAAAAATGAGCTTGAATTCTGATCGAGGCTGACCTTTGCGTAACTTTTCCGCGTCAACGTTCGAGAAGGCTTAACATAACAGAAGACTCGCATGATCCAAATATTTCGAGATGCCAGATTGATGGAGGCTCTGCCGGATCATCAGACCCTGCTCAGAACCGATTCTCGGGATTCAAATCGAAAAGGGTAAGGGACAAGTGTTCGTTTGAATTCAGACAGGTACGAGTTTTGCCTGGCGTGATTGGAGTTCTGACAGGGCAAACTTTGAGCGATTCCAGCCTCGGTGTTGGAAGAGTAACACCCAGAACGACTTATACATTAGACTCGAACTCAGAGGCCATCAGAGTTGCGACCCAACGAACTTCGAGCGGGCTTGATCGAGAATGCATAGTCTCCTCAATATTGTCAGAGCTTGAAAGGATTGACGTGTGTAAGTTGTCAGATTCCTACCTGGACTTGTGCTCGGAGTGCCAGTGCGCCGCAACAAAACGTCTTTCAGGTTGTTGTCGGAAGGCGCTTTGCTGAGTAGTGGGACACCCTGCAACGACAATCGGTTCCTATTGATCGAATGGGCAGCCAATTCTTAGAAAGGCCCTTTTCGGACATGTTCAACCGGATGTCCAGAAGTGCTTATACATGGAAGTCAGGCGCTGTCTCCACTGCGGTCACATTGTTTACTTGTAGCCCCACTAAGGTCCACTAAGGTCCACTAAGGAGAGCCCCCAGTTGAGCATCGCTTCTCAGACCTCCGATGATCTGACTGCGCAAGGACTCTTGAAATGCCTGCCACCTCAGAGTTCGTGAAGGGCCTGACGGGCCTCACCGCTTTCAGCGAAAGAAGCTTCGCTAAGTTTGGGTCGAGTGTCGTTGCTGCCCCCTGCCTGCTTGCGACGGTCACCACTCCAGGCACAGCGCCCTGCTCAATGGAACAACACAAACACTAGCACCATTAGAAGCCAGCAAATTGTCTGCTCTGAAACCTTGGTCTTTTCTCACCATAAATTATATACACTGGTAATTCACTCAAAAGCAACATTACAGACCCCCTGTCAATCGAAGTGCAAGCTAATCAACCGGTTGGGCTGAAGGCCTTCGCTTCCACCCCCCTTCATTGTGCAGCAAATCACTGTGTGCTTACATCGAACGCGCTGTCGGAAAGCATTCAGCAAAATAAAGCTGGAAGGCTCACCGCTGGTGCTTCTTTGCTGTCCGCAGCACCCATGATTCTCTTGTAGGGGCAGCGAAGCTTGTTTAGAGCTGTGAAATAAGTCAATGCGTCATCACTCGTTACGCGAGCTTACAGAACAAGCAAATCTGGAATCACTGGCTGGCGGATCTGTTACAGCTTGTCAGCGCCCTTAGGAAAACCCTGCAGCACGCAAGCTGATTCTCACAGCTGGACGCATTGATCTCATGACCAATTGACAAAGACAGTGCAACTTCAAGCGGTCCGTTACATAGCGAAGAGAAAATGGACCACAGGAACTTCAACTTCAATGGTGCAAGTTGAAAATGCAGGAAGCGAGGAAACAAGCAAGTTTAAGCACTCTAGTTACAATATAACAGAGATTGACGGCCGGCTGGCGTGAAAACAAACGTCGATACGCGTACGGTGTTTAAAGATGGAAAGAACGAACTGGTGGTGACGGCGAAGGAAACGGTCTATTAACCCAGGGTTTTGGACGAGTGAGGGTTTACCGTTTAGCACGTTTTATCTGTAGGGCAAAGAATTGTCAAATGTTGCACATGTTGCTGAATTGAGCACTGTGCTTCATTGTCAGAGGTGGACGGCCTGTTGGCTTTTTCCGGTTCAAGCGTCTTTTCTTCCCGTGAATGAGAGACAGATCACCAAAGAAGCGAGCAGAGATCTGCATTGGTGCTGGGCTAAATCCTGGCTGAATCATCATACCGGTGGACCATCTTTTTAGGCTGCATCATCAGCATCGGTGGCTGAAAAGCCAATGCTGGCAAGCTGACAGTGAAAGCTAGAAGAACTTACCTCTCTTGACTCTTGCAAACCCTTTTGCACGTATACTTCGATAAGTTCCTCTTGTCCTCTTTGCCAATACAGAGTAGGGGCCTCCGCTAACAGCCCAGGCTGCTGAGATGGGATTAAAGCTTAAGCTTCAAACTGATCTGAGTCTTCTTCCAAAAGGGAAGAAACAACCTCCGCAGCCTCGCTAGTTTGGATCTCACAGGTTGAAGGACAGCTCTCTTTCCTAGCATTGCCAAATGCGCTGAGAGATCTGTTTGAAAAAGGCAGCCCAGGCACCTAAAATGGCGCCGGACCCGCTGTCTGAGCCCCTGTTGGAGCCCTCTCCCGATGCCAGCTGGCGCCAGCTGTCGAAGCAGCAATTACAGCTGGCGCTGCCCATCATCGGCATGAACGTTGTGCAACTGCTTCTGGTGCTGATGTCAGCAGCGTTCGTGGGGCACATTGGGGCACTTGAGCTGGCGAGCGCGCAGCTTGCCGCATCCCTAGCAAATGTGACGGGCCATTACATCCTGGTGAGAAAATTTGGCGGTTGTACAACAGATATGGCTGCGTCTAGTGATTTTGAGTTTGCTTTGTGAAAGTTTCTCTGCAAGTGGGGGCGATGGAAATAATTGGACGCGAGGGGGAAAGTCGAACTCATATTAGAACGCACGAACTGAAGTTTCTCTAATAGGCCTGGGAGTGGTAGGGAGCGTGAGGCACCCAAGGTTTCGACCAGAACATAATTAGTTTGATGTATCTGTGTTTGCAATACATTCCGCCAGATCAACAACTGTTCTTAGAGTCTCTCCTCCATTGTTGAGAGGGACGGTGTATGGATGCATGTACTAAGCCCACCATCCCTCTGTACTGAGTCTTACTCAGGGGCAGCCGCTCCTGTCTTTCATCTTGACATGTTCTACCTGTCTGATCCCCTCACTTTGTACCACATTATGTTTCATAAAAGCTAGGGGTTTCAAGTGAAGGCAGTTGTCCAAGACAGAAACCACTGATAAATCCGCCTTTGCCCTTTTTCGTCATCAACTCAGATTGGTTGCCTACCTCCTAACCTGCCCCTTCACCCCCTCCTAACCTACCCCACTAACCTCTGTTCCCTCTGTTTCTGCAGCAAGGCACAGCCTTGGGGCTAGAAACCTTGGGTGGCCAGGCCGTGGGCGCAGGCCAATATCGGGATCTGGGTTACTTAACCCAATTTTGTTTCTTAGTTCTAACCATCCTAGCAATCATGATCAGCCTTTCTTGGACCCTGGCCGAGCGGGCGCTTATAGTTCTGGGCCAGGATAAGCTGCTGGCTGCTTATGCGGCGCGCTATATGCAACTGCTTATACCGAGCTTGTTTGCGAATGCCTGGACGCAACCGCTGGTCAAGTTCCTGCAGTCTCAGGGGGTGACGTCACCCCTGATGTGGGCGTCATGTGTCCCATTGATACTGCACATACCCAGCAACTGGTGAGTACAAAGAATTGTATGCGGACAACTGATTATCTGAGACAGAATCTCATCTGCGGACGCAACTTTTCTGGCGCATCCTTAAGATTGAAAGGAGAACCAACTGATTTTGATGGTTTTCCCATCTGTCTCTATCTTATGCTATGCTTCAGAACTGAGCTTGATTGTTGGCCTCGATCCCCTGACTCCGAAGAAGTGCAACTCCAATACCACCCTGCAGGTTCTTCATCTTCCACCTAAACTGGGGCCTCGACGGCGCCGCAATTGCCACGGACGTTGCTTACGTCATCATGCTCCTCATGCTGACGTCACTTGTGCTCTGGAATCGGCGGGCCTACGAGCGGGCTTTGCCGCCCCTCGACTTCAGCGCGATGTTCAAAGGCTGGGGCACGTTCCTCAAGCTCGGGTTCTTCTCGGCGACCATGATGTGGTGAGGACGCCCTGACAGTCGCCTGACAAAGAGTTACTGATCGGTTTGGCAGGATGAGAAGGACAATGCCCTCCGCAACGTACGAGACAATTTTCTGAAGTATTATGATTTGTCGAAGTAGTATGACCAGCAGTCTCTGTATCATGAGCCTTTCGCCAGACTTGGGATGAGACACGAAATGAAAGCGAGGAAAGGAACAATTTGGCGTCTGAAGAATTGACAGCCACGAAGAAGTCAAAAGCTTTCAATTTCTCTGAGGAAGGGTCAAAGTATTTCAGCAATGACCAATCAGACCCTGCTTTCTGGAGTGTTATGACTTTCCGGATACGGCCACAGGTCCGCTTGAAGCTTCTCTTTTGCATCGCCTCATTATCCGGTGCATCTTTTGCATGCCCTTGACCTGCCGAAGCCCATCCTTCCAAGCTCGAAACAACATGACCTGTTTTCGTTCTCAACCCTTCATCTTGAACTCCCCTGTAACTGCGAGTTCGTAATCGATCCGAAGAAAAGTCGAGCCGTTGATTCGCTGTGAATCTCGACCTCACCTTCAACATCGACACTGAATCCACTCTATCGTTCCACCCCGCAGTTTAGAGTTCGTGTCCTTCGACCTAATATACCTGATGGGGGGGCTGCTTCCGGACCCGTACACCCAGGTGTCCGCCCTGTCCGTCGCGTGAGTCGGACGTCCGCAATCTCAGGATGCCGAACGATGTTCGTTTGTGCACTCGTTTCTAAAATCTGAAAAGACCGGTCTGCGCTGCCAACCGCGTCAATTTGGAAGCGACACCCGCGTTCCGGTTTCTTTGGGATTCGTCGTTTTGCACTGCTCGGTCTAGAGGAACACTGTATTGAACACTATTCTTGGTCTCCTGGTTACTTGCGTCCCCTTTCCATCCAGCTAGCCCCGTTCGATTCCGCTCACTTTCCGTTCGTTCCGCCGCAGGTTGAACACGGCCTGGCTGTTTGCCACCGGGTACATTGGGCTTGGAGCCGCAACAAGGCAAGTGTCGGGATCTCGTCATGCTCAAACCCCAAAAACTAACTTGAACATTGTCCATTTCCTTGCAACGGTCGGATCCCCTTTTCTAGAAAGCGAGAAGGCTCTCGCTAGTCCCTTAGCGCAGCGTTGCGCTCTTCTGGTGCGCCTGCGCAGGGTCATGCAGACGGCCTTCTCGTCCTTCAGATTTTCCTCCGAGTATTTCACGAGCATTGTTGACAGCTCATAACCCAAACTCAGGTTGCTAATTTCGTCGCTGCACTTTTCGCAGTACGTATCAGCATACAAAACATACCGAGAACCCCATTGAAGTACGAATCCTCTCCCCCACTGGACGCAGAACGTTCTGCAGCAAGATAAACAACGCTTGCCCTTGTTCAACGCAACCAAGATCAGCACCTCACAATTACTGTCTGGACTCCTCGCCTCTGCAGTACGTGCGTTGCTACAGAGTTGGGTCGCGGCTCCGCGCGTGGCGCGCGCAAGGCCGCTCTTATAGGGCAGTCGCTCGCGCTTGCGTTCGGCTTATGCACGATGACCTTCTCGCTTATCGTCCATAAGCAGTGGCCGCTCCTGTTTGTGAACAAGCGGGAACACGAGGTGCTGGCGCTGTCGTCATCGCTTATGGTCATCGCGAGCTTCATGGCCATAACCGATGCGTTCCAGAACAACTGCGGAGGTGAGGCCGCATACTCCCCGTTCCATGCTTGCGCCTGCTGACGTCATCCTTTCCCAGGTATGATTTTCAAGGAAACTGTTTCGAGGTCAAAAGGAGGAAGGGACGAGAAGGTAGACTGCGAGCCAGCTTTGAGGCCTCGTGCATATCGTAGCGGGCATCGTGAACCAATCTTTATTCTGGCGACCTGAAAGAGGATAACCAGCGGTGCTGGTCGCTTTAATCGGCCAAAAGATCAGATTCGCGGCGACTCCGATAGCGCCACTGCTGCTTCGCGAACGCACCTCTAGAACGAGTGGCGACGCCTTCGTATGAGGATAAGAAACGTCGTGCCTCAGTCGTCATCCTTCTGTCATTCGAACCTTTCCGTTTGAGCTCGACTTTTTCCGGTGACTAGCAAAGGAGGCTGACGTTGCTTCGTGTACCTGACTCAGCAATGATCTCTGGATGCTTTTCAATCACAAACGCTTTATACAATCCAGCAGAACGTTGAAGGACCATAAGCACAGCCACTCGCGGACGGGCCGTTAGCGCCCAGTCAGGTTTTCAATCTGCATTTGACATTGGATGTCCTTTTCTGTTCCTGCAGCTATTCTCCGCGGGTGCGGACGTCAGATGGTGGGCACGGTCGTCGCCCTCATAAGCTATTACCTCGTCGGCGTCCCGGCCTCTGTAATCATGGGGCTCGTCTGGAAGTGGGGCGCCTGGGTGAGTGTGAATAAGCCCCCATTTCCTACGCCTGAAATTGACGCTGCGAATGAGCCACACCTACGAAATCAATGCCTCCGTTCTCTCGCATACTCTTCGGGAAGAGTCAAATTCGGTAGGGAGTGGTCTTCGAACACACTATGCTGGAAGAATTCTGGTGGTTCGTTTCGATGGCGGCCTTGTGTCACGGCGGACGAGAAAGGAATGTTTACTCAAAGGGGACGAGTTGAAAATGTTTTCCTCAAAGGTAAATGACCTCCCAAAAAGTAGCTGGAAGCTCCGGTCGGAAACTTTCGAGGCAAATACTCGAATGTACAGGAACAATGTGTACCTGCAAAGGGAAGCGGGGACGATAAGGGAATTTTGCGCCCTAATGCCAAGCAGGCATGACATTTTTCGCTTCTCACTGGAATGAGAAAGAATCGTTTTCTGACAGTTGTGCCCAATATGCAGGGTCTATTTGGGGGATTTATTCTGGCCACAGTGAGCCAGACGCTCATCCTCTCCGTCGCCGTCGCTTGCACCGACTGGTCAAAACGGGTGAGCTTTCTCGGGCCTCTTAAGCGCAGGGACAACGTAATTTTTTCGACGGAGTGTTCGATACGTTCTGAAAAGGCACGGAGTTTCGTGTATCGTCGAAACCCGCAGAATTCGCACTGAATGCATCGCAGACTGGCGCTGCAACATGTTGACCTTATCCAACGGGCCCGGGTTTGCCTCAAGCTTTTTTGGCTCTTCTTTCGAGCCCTTGATCCTAATTCTGTGATGAGGTTCTTGGGGGATCATAGGCAAACAGTTTATCTTTCCCATGAGTACAGCTCAAACTGGACGTTCCGCAAGCCGAGCTGCAGAATGAACGCGTCTCGGTAGAGTTGAGCAAATCTGTTGTTATGCAGCACTCTGCATTGACAATTGACATCCATTGTGGCAGTAAATGCAGCGGCGTCGAAATACGCGAGGACCACCGTTTGCGTTTCTATATATGAACAATTATGTTTACATGCATTTCCATACAATTACTTTCCATGCAATCATTAATCAGATTCAGAATGATGTGATGTCAACCGAAGTCTTTCAAGTCGGTCCACTATTTGAGCGCCACGTGTCTGCAGGTCGACCTTGTGGAAGAGGAGAGGACTCGAAAGCGCGCGACAGCGCCTGCCAGCACGCTTCTAGGGTAGGGCGCTCGCACAGTTTTTGTTGACATAACCGGTGCTCATTAAGGAGTGAAGCCCCCGCTGCTTCTTTGCATTGTCTTTCCAGGGTTTTGAGTCTACTAAATCAAAGTCCCATATGGGCCACATTGAAGTGTTAATCCGGAATAGTAATCACGGCAGAACTGAAGACGAGTCGGGGTTGTGCAGCGAGAGGCTTTGAGTTGGTATCCCGCTTTGGAATTGAGAAGAGTCGGGGTTGGTGGGATACAGCTTTCGGCTAATAGCACAAAAGCAACCTTACTGAGATCACAGCAGTAACTAAGTGCAGGACTAATACATCTGATCTATCGACCAATCTTAATAGGGTTTATCTTGGAATCCAAATCAGAAAATGCGATCCCGCAATATCTGGCAAACATATATCCGACCTACGTGACCGTGGCAACCTGGATGTCGAGAGGGATATAATTAAAGAAGAAGGCGACAAATAAGAAAGGAGTTGGGACAGCTATAGCAGCCTGGCGCCGTGCGCCATGTGAATGCATGATTCTTTTCGAGCATGTACTATTTATTAGTCAATCACTGCTCATGCAAATCTGCACATGTGTGTCGTTCGTCGGGCAGAAGCCTAGCTGCATATGGTGCGAGGTCTGCGATGTTTGAACATGCCGCCATGCAACTTCGACGGAAGCCTAGCCGCCAGTGCGCTTCAACCAGGGTTGACGTCTGGCAAAGCTTCCGACCTATTGTAGTGTAAGTTTAGTTTGTCTGCAAATGTGAAGCTTTGTCATGGCCTTCTTAAGTTGGATCCCTTCATGGTTGGTGAACCAGTCTTCCCGCAACTCTCTTGTCATGGCATCAATGTCGACGACTATAGATCTGACCACAAGACTTGCATAGCTAGACCAACATTGACAATTACGGCCATGCATGTGATCTGGAAAGAAGCTTGTAAGTCCACTGATCGTTTCAATCTATACGCACTTATATTACTTAACTTTCCTCTTTCGGACCAATTGTGAACAATAGTGGCCCTGAAAGAGGATCGGCTGTCAACTCATTGATTGGCTGTCAACTCATCGAACAGATAATCTGCGCTCATTGTTCTCAAACACTAACCTTACGGAACGCTTGACACCACCTTTCAACAGTGGCAGCCTCTCCTAACAATCTTTCAGAAATGCTTGGTTGATCCAATTCGATAATCGGTGCCGAATGAGCAACGGCTATCCGGAACATATTGATGGAGCAAACATTTGTCCCAATGTGTCGCTGCGTTATACTCGTCTGTTTGTCAACAAGAATCTTTGACCGACGCTCAAATGGATCGTGAGTCAAGTGGCTGTTTGTGGACACGAGGACGTCGATTTGATACTCTAACAGCACCTCAGTGTGGCTTATAGCAACGCACTCCAAGCTTGGACACAATTGTGCAAAATTTGGAAGTTCAATAGCCTCCGGGTCGGCGGGTGTGTAGTCGTCAAAGTCGTCTGGTGTGACATAGACCGTCAACTGCCGCAGACGCGGACACTGGGCCACCATGCGCCGAAGCATAGTTCGGGGCACTGTAAGTTGACGTGTCAGCACTTCCACTCTTAGGTCTTGCAACAATGGGAAGTTTGGCCGAGGAGTGAAAGGGATCGGCGCGGTGTGGCACCGATAGGACAGGGAGGTGAGGGCTGTGAGAAAAGTTGGCAGTCTTCTGAAAGGTTCCGACCAGGCCCAAACCACTGCGAAGTCTGAGAGTTCCAACCTCGCAAGGCTATTCTGGACCACCTCCAACCCTTCTTTAGAGCCCATCAGGAAAGTCTCTTCTGCTAGTCCCAAACAGAGACTTTCTAGCTGAGGAAGAGCGTTGACAATAGAGTGGATGTCTTCTTCAAAGTACCATACCTTTGACTCGTCCTCAGACGAGTTGGAGGACGAGTCATTGGACGCTTCTGAAACTCCCAGTTCTAAATGCAATCTTCTCAAAGAGAGGACCGACGAGGAGAAGAGCTGAAGAGCCTTGTCCAGATCTTCTACTCCCAACACTTCCCCTCTAGCCCATTTGACGTCCTCCAAGGGAGGCCAAAGGGAGGTGTGTGCTCCTCTCTCTATTATCAATGTGGAAAGCTCTGGCCGCAAGCTAATTGCTTTTGAGAGAGCAGTGCAAGCAGAGGGTCCCTCATTGTTTTCTTTGGTAACTGCGCGAAGAATCAAAACTCGGCTGCACCGCTGCGCAGCCTCTTGGCAGGCCTTGTTGACTCGTGCAACTTGTGCCAAGGAGGAAGGACTGTCTTTGACCACCTTCTTGACAATGCAGACCAGCATCTCAGGAAGAAGAGAATCGAAGCAGGTACTTGCTTCTTCAGGCGGCGCCATATTCTGTAAAGTGTAAAGGGATTCTCCTGGAGCAAGGATCTGGATTCTGCTCTAGAGTCTAGCGCTGGGAGTTTGCCAGCCTGCTTGAAAGGTCATCCATTTCGATGAGGAATCAAGAATTCGGTTGATTTTGCAGATTTCACTTTTCTCTAGGATATATTCGTCGATATAGGTCAACGGATACTTACCTCAAAAGGCAAGGATTTTGGATCTTTAGAGACAGGAATATTCTTCGTTATTCCTAGTTAAGAGGAACCCGAGCCCAAAGCCCAAGGCAACCAGAGTCTATTAAACAGGGGGTCGAAACTCGATTAGACCAGGACGGTGTTAAAGGTCCCGAGCTGGGCCGAGCAAGTTATATTGCCAGACAAGTGCATGTGTTGGATATATTCGGGCTAGCCTATGGCCCAAAAGATCAAGCATATATCCCATGAAAGCATTGGCAATTTCAGCATACGGTACCTAGGTAGAGGTCCATCATTCTCTGTTGATCAGGCTCAGAAATTAGAATTGGCGGGATCTCAATTGTGTATAGGTGGCAGGGCGGTTCTTCGCCACCTTCATCTGCAAGGAAGACTCAGGAATAGTGACGGAAGATCGCTCCAATTTTCTCCTGATAGCGCCACCCTGATACGCCATCTTAGCAGGGAGGTTCTCTGTTGAGAAGCCTTCTCATCCCGGTTGACGTCTCCTTGGCAGCAAGCTTTAGATAGCAAGAGGGTTGTGATTGCTGCGGGCAAAGAATCTTGCCAGAATTTTTTGGGGATCTCGCCTAGATTGCCTATATCCGATGAGGTCAAGTCTCTGATTGCAGCAAGGCTCACAAGCAAGGGGGTCAGGATGGCAATGGTTGAGGTGACCCAGATCCTGCTGAGCGCTCAGTCAGCGGATGCTAACATCCGGCAGCAGGCTGAGGAGAGTCTCAAGCAGTTTCAGGAGCAGAACTTTGCCGGGCTCTTGCTCTCCTTGTCCCGTGAATTGTCAACTGAGGACAAACCTGCAGACTCAAGGCGGCTTGCTGGCCTTGTCCTGAAGAATGCTCTAGATGCAAAGGAAGCACCGCGCAAGGAAGAGTACACGCAGCGATGGATTGCTCTAGATGTGGCTGCCAAGAAGCAGATAAAAGCGGCACTTCTATCGACGCTAGGATCCGTGACTGCAGATGCGAGGCACACGTCTGCGCAAGTCATTGCAAAAGTCGCTGCAATAGAGCTTCCAAGGAGCGAATGGCCGGAACTGATTGGCACGCTTCTGGGCAACATGGGACCCCTGGGGGCAGTGGAGCAGCCAACACATTTGAAGCAAAGCACATTAGAGGCACTGGGGTACGTGTGCGAAGAGATCTCTTCCGATGTGTTGGCACAGGATCAAGTAAACAGTATTCTGACAGCAGTGGTTCAGGGGATGAATGTAACGGAGACGAGCAACGAGGTCAGGCTGGCAGCAACGAGAGCGCTGTATAATGCCCTGGACTTTGCGCAGACAAATTTTGAGAACGAGATGGAGAGAAATTACATCATGCAAGTTGTGTGCCAGACCACCTCCAGTCCTGACGGGAAAGTTCGGCAAGCTGCCTTTGAGTGCTTGGTGGCAATTGCGGGTTCCTACTATGAAAAGCTGGCGCAGTACATGCCGGTAAGTGTGCACATCTCCAAAGTGTCAGGTTTGATCTTGCAGTTGATTATAAGTACTGCATTAGTAAGGTCCGAAGTTGACAAAGCAGCAATCTTGATCAAGGCTTTATCATGGATTAATAGTTGTTCAAAGAGAAGCTGAGGAAACCCTTGCTTTCTGTCCACTTCACCCTCACTGCAGTCTATGCCTCACCACCAAACCTCTGATAATGGTCATCACCTTTGTGAACCTATGCGAAGTGACTGGGTGGTGTCTGGTTATGCTGCGTGCTCTATGGAGTATGTTTGTGAAGACTTTTAAATTTGACTGATGCAAAACATAAGTAGCTAACTTCATCTGATCATTGGAATAATTGGTGCATGTCTTCTGAACCAAGGCTGTGAAAGGTTTTTCTGCATTCTCTTTGTTTTTGCTGGCCATGCTGCATCAACAATTGACGGCCTTGATATAACGATCATCCGAGTGGACAGCAAATCCATATGTCAGAAGTGTGCCCTTTCAGTTGCATGCATGGCGTCGTGTCGAAACTTTGTGCCTTCACGCTGTTTTCAGCTATTGCTTTAGACCTAGAGAAGAATTCTGCCACTGTCCTCGTGTTCTGAGCTTCGATTGACAACAACAACTGCACTTCACACAGCCTGGTGCCTTTTGAAGAACACTCCGGTGTGCCGGTTTGTGTTTCAGTCCAGTGTTCAGGAACAAGTTTGGGGACTGTCGTAGGACAATTCGCCACAGTAGGCCCACACTTACAGAATCAGGCTTCAAGGGAATTAGATTCACAAAGAGCTGTGACAGAAAGGTGCATCCATGTTGCAGACTCTCTCATCCCTTATGCCGTGGTATGTAAGTGCCCTTTCCTTGCATTTTGCAGGAAATCTTCAGCATCACGAGCAAGGCCGCCAAAGACGACGAGGAGCCGGTGGCGCTGCAGGCCATCGAGCTCTGGTCCACCATCTGCGACGAGGAGATCGAGATCCAGGAGGAGTACGAGGGCGACTCTGAGATCACCAACTACCACTTCATCAAGCAAGCGCTCCCTGCGCTCATCCCCATGCTCCTGGAAACGCTGACCAAGCAAGAGGAGGACCAGGACACAGACGAGAACGCCTGGAACCTTGCAATGGCGGGGGGGACTGCTTTGGGGCTTGTGGCAAGAACAGTCGGCGATGATGTCGTGCCGCTGGTCATGCCATACGTCCAGGAGAACATCATGAAGCCGGACTGGCGGTGTCGGGAAGCGGCGACGTTCGCGTTTGGCTCGATCCTGGACGGCCCCAGCCCCGAGAAGCTCGCGCCTCTAGTTAACATGGCGATCGGGTTCCTGCTGAACGCAATGAAAGACGAGAACTCGCACGTGAAGGACACGACCGCCTGGACAATAGGGCGCATCTGCGAGTTCCTGCACGGCCCTGGGATGGAGAACACGGTGATCAACGGGCAGAACCTGCAGCCGATTGTGACGGTGCTGCTGGAGAGCATCAAGGACGTGCCGAACGTGGCGGAGAAGGTGTGCGGGGCGATTTACTTCCTGGCGCAAGGGTTCGAGGACAGCAACGGGACGTCACCACTCTCGCCCTACTTCCAGGTGAGCACTTATTTGGCTTTAAGTAGGACCAGTTTCATACCAAGTCGCATCTGGAGCAAGACGAACTGTCTCTCAGGCAACTTCCCTTCTGAGAAACAGGGCTGAGAATGAAGCGATCTCATGCCCCAGGTTCTTCTCTGTGACAAATGAAGCTCATCCTTCCTCTAGAAACAACGAGCGTAGATTTGATTTGGCTCTTAGCGTGATACTTCATCGATTTATGGACAGCTCAAAGAAGATGGTTTTATGAGTCTGCTTCTATCGCATACACTAACAAGATTCTTCCACCCCCCTCCCCGCACTCCCTTCTATCTTTGTTTGCCTCCATCTTCCTCCCTTTTCGGTCCTGCCTTCTTCATGTCCCTTCGCCTCCTTCCCTTGACCACTTTTCCCCACCTCAGCGACTTCTTGCCGTCCTGTGACCATCTCCCTCCATCCTTAACCACTTTTTTCCGTTTCTGTAACCACCTATCTTGGTCCTTCAACCAGCCACTCTTCCCTGCAGGTGGTGGTGCAAGCGCTGCTAGCGACCGCGGACCGCGAAGACGCCACCGACACGCACCTGCAGGCGTCCGCGTACGAGACGATGAACGAGGTGGTGCGCAGCTCGACGGACGACACGGTGCAGGTGGTGGTCCAGCTGATCCCGGTGATCATGGGCAAGCTGGGGGCGACGCTCGGGATGCAGATCCTGTCGGCGGACGACAAGGAGCGGCAGTCGGAGCTGCAGGCGCTGCTGTGTGGGGTGCTGCAGGTAAGGCTTGAAGATCTCGAGTCCACTTTGGGAGAGGATTTGTGACATCTGCGTTTTCGTAAGAGTGCACGGACGTGGCATGAGTTAGCAGTGTGGCCTTGAAGGCGTGAACGTGTGGCTGCCTTTTAACAGCAACCTTTTTCTCTATGCTAGTGAAACGTAGTTGGAAGGAACTGAGCTTGTTGTGAAGTCACTTGGAGAACCTCGGCAGACAAGTACCAACCTTCCAGCCATGCGCTTTTTCTGCGGAAAAGGAAGGATTCCTGCTGTCTTTTAGAAACCTTCCCGGTTTCCATTAACTTTCTGCGTAGTCAAAGCGGCTCTGAGGGGCTTTACCGTAATAAATGGATATCTCAACATGGCACTGTTCCTTAGAACTTTAACGGCACAACAGTTGTCGATTGTTGGTACTTTGTAAAAGGTCGCCCGTCTTCAATAACAAGGGACTTGGCTGCTAGTTATTGGAAGCATTGGTGCAATCGTTGCAAAAAGCCCGGTCCATATTCCTCTTGAGACTCTCTGGATGCACAATTCTTTTCAACCGCTTTGACAATGGTGTTTAACACGGTCTAAAGGTGGATCAGAAGCTCAACGTGGCGTCGCGGAATCATAGCGCTCATCGTTTTCAAGATCGTGACTTTTCATCGCTTACGACCTGTCTCTGACGTGGTGTTGGTCCCTGTTTTCGGGTTCCAGAAAATCACCATCAAAGAGTCTACTTTTCTCCACAACGAGAAACATTTTTCGACAGAATCCGACTGACTTTTTGTCGCTGGACTCTCCCAGGTGATCATCCAGAAGCTGGGCGCCAACGACAACACCAAGCTGGGCGTGGTGCAGTACGCGGACAACCTGATGGAGCTCTTCCTGCGCGTCTTCGCCTGCCGCAGCGCCACCGTGCACGAGGAGGCGATGCTGGCCATCGGGGCGCTCGCATACGCGGTCGGCGCAGGTTTCGCGAAGTACATGCCGGAGTTTTACAAGTACGTCGAGATGGGGCTCAAGAATCACGAGGAGTACCAGGTCTGCCAGGTGAGACAGCGGGCACCGAGTTTCGGTTAGCTTATTTCGGTCTGTTTGCTTGATTGGGGCGTCATGAGTTTTTCCAGTTGTTCGCGTTCAGAGTAGGTCTGCCGGGTGAAAGAATCTGTTTGGTTGCTGATCGAGGATTCTTTGAATTGGGTATGGTCGATCAGGATTGAGAACGAGTCTGGCCGAAGATCATTTACCTGTAGTTTTTGAGGTTGGAGCTGTCTGAGAAGTACGCGATGGGTCTGTATGTTATTGGTGGTTCAATTCATTGTTCTTCGGTCGTTTACGTGTGCTTGTCGGCACCAATTGGTCCGTGTTCTGCTTGATTGTGGTGACCGGATGTGGTCGAATCAAAGGATGTGTTGGAACGTTACATGAGCTCCCTCTGTAAGAGGGTGCTCGACGCAGGAAACGGCGTCGTCAGAGGCGTCACTCTAGTGCATTGTTTTGGAGACTGGTGTGGGAAGTAGCGCCCCAGCTTCTCATTATCCTCAGCTGCTGTGAGAAGGTCGATACATCGCGGGTTCAATCCCTTATAACGCCGAAAGGGACTGGAAGGCACTGACGGGGCCCTCTCCACTGTTTCCCGACGACTATCAATGCGGGGCCCTTCCCTCCTTTGCGATTGTAGGCTTTCAAGGAAGCGCCGCCGAGATTTATCGCCGTACAATTCGCCCTTGAATTTTTTAACTGGCTACTAATTTTCCGCCTTCTCTTGCTTCTTCAGGTGACCGTGGGCGTGGTCGGCGACCTGTGCCGGGCGCTGGAGGCGCGCGTGTTGCCGTACTGCGACGGGATCATGACGGAGCTGCTCAAGGACCTCTCCTCCAAGCAGCTGCACCGCTCGGTCAAGCCGCCCATCTTCTCGTGCTTCGGCGACATCGCGCTCGCGATCGGGGACGCGTTCGAGAAGTACCTCGCGTACGCGGTCCCGATGCTCCAGGGCGCGGCGGAGCTGTCGGCGGCGCAGATGGGGCAGGGGGACGAGGAGCTGCTGGACTACAACAACCAGCTGCGGGGGGGAATCTTCGAGGCGTACTCGGGGCTGCTGATGGGTTTCAAGGGGACCCCCAAGGCGGACCTGCTGGTGCCGTATGCGGAGCACATCGTGGCGTTCATCGAGACTGTGTACAAGGACAACGAGCGGTGAGGCTGCGGGTTTTTTTTCTGTGCTGGTGTTGTTCTGCCTGCCTTTGAAGGGTTGCCGTGGGCTCTATTTTTGTGTTTCTTCGTTTCTGTACTCCCTCACAGCTTGTGTCCTTCGTTTTATCGATCTCTTTCTACGACCGCACCCCTTCGAGACTTGTGCTTTTCTAATCCTATGATTTTCACGATCTACATGGGGCTAAAAACGTCCTGTGGCTTGATAAACGTGCAATACTGGCCTTCAGTCTGGTGACCTGCAAATAGTCCTTGACTTTAGGTTGATGAACGGATAATAGATTTCGCTAGCAGCACCTGTAGTTCTGGCTTGTTGTGTACCGCAAGAAAGTTGCTGACTGTTTTGAGGTTCCGATGCAAGTTCGTCTATAATGATTGCTAGGCCACTGTGGAAAGTTGACACGACGAGCTTCGCGCCCTGCTGAATGTTATCTACCAGGTCAAGAATGAACATATGACCACGTCGCTTTGACTGGCCCTTTCAGGTGATTAACCGGCCTTGTCGGTGCTGTGCAGGGACGAGACGGTAACGAAGGCAGCGATTGGAGTGCTGGGCGATTTGGCAGACACTTTGAAGGGCGCGGTGGCCCCTCTGTTCCAACAACGCACGTTCTGGAGAGAGTTCGCTGAGGAATGCATGCAAAATGAGGATTATCGAATCAAAGAGACGGGGCAGTGGGCCTCCAACGTGATTAGTCAACTGGTCGAAAGCTAGGGCGATTGATTCGTGAGCGTCATGTGCGTAGAGATGTATAGAGACTACGGGCCATAGATGAGCACTTACGTGCTCCCATTGCTTTGATAGGTTGCTTGTTTCTAGAATGCCAGGATTGTTCTGACTCGGAACATCAAATGCTTCAATAAAGTCTAATCAATGCTGCCTCTTCGAAGAGAAAGTGCTAATGTCAGGTTGATTTACCCTTATGCCTGGCTGCCGCCGACCGAACTCCCGATGTTCTCTTGCTGCATACAACCACCTGGCACCTGCCATGTCTGCATGACCAAGCCATAGAGACAAAGAATGTGCTGACACTATGCAATTAACTCTAGCACATGCACGCCCGAAATTGCTTCTGGGTCACAACAATATATGGCACTCGAATAACTGAAGGAGGTGCAGTTCTATTGCGGCGCATGTGACTTGCAATGATAGCAAGTGTTGTGGAAGATGTCTGGTGTGCATCATTGCCTTTGCAATGGTCAAACCTGATTGAGTTGCGCGCATGTCTCGATTCAGGGCTAGGTTCAACTAGCTCTTATATGATATTGACACATGTGAACATGTTTCATGTTTGACTCCGTACGTGAAAATGCTCAACGTCTTAATGATATAAGTGAAAATGAACCTCCAGGCTGTTAGGCATCATCTTCACCGATCCGGCGCATGAGCCGGAATGCACTTTAGGAGAATATGGCGTCTCATCTATTGCATGTAGCCACGCAGCTAGTCAGCTAGGACCCACGTCCTACGAACTCAGTTGCATCATAAATTAAGCATGTACTCACAGATCGACCTGAGGTAGCGTACATGTCCGTCATGCATACGTGCGTCTCTCCCTGATTCCATAGTGACCGCGGCTTAAGTACGTCCTCTATAGTTGCTACTCAAAGAACGAATGAACAAATTGAATTAAAGGTAGGAACGACGTAAGGGGGATCTTTTTAGGCCCGTGATCAGCCTTTTAGGCCCCCTGCCACTTTCAAATGGAAGCCGTGCTTGCCTCTACATCTTTCACACGGCTGGAGAATCTGATGTGAACCGATATACCGGGACACTCGAATGCCCTGAGCGCTGGTTCCGCTTACGCAAAAGCCTGAGTAGAATAAGAATTGCTATCGTTTTTTGATTTATTTTGATCTCGATCCACATCGACATATGCTCCAAGGAAGTAAAGCTAAGTTACGCAAATGAAAAGGGCGAGCATTAGAGAGGCCATTTGTAGGAACCACGCTTCAAATGTGGCATGTTGGATTCATGAACGAACGAAGACGTGCCTACATCTGCAAGCAGTACCTCATTTTACAAGACACCTCAGGATTAATGTCTAGTACGTCTCTTTCTGCAATACTTCGCCTGACCTATATACTCAGAGCTTTACGTGGACATGGTATTGAAAGATTATCAAGCGGACTTGCAGCTCCTAGTAGATTTGTCTGTTTGCTCACGCGAAGTGCAGCATTCCATTACGCACACAAACCCTAAGAAAAATAGTCCCAACAGAGCCAAGAGACATATCACAATTCGCGCGAAAAGACCAAAGGTGAACTGTATCTCCCAATCTTCGCTCGTGCTCTGCAGCTCCGACGAACTCGATCCGCCTGAAACGCGATGCTCGACCCAGTCCTCCAAGCAACCACTGTTGCAGCTACAAGGAGGCTCAATCGTTGTTGGTACATCCAAATAGGACACTTTCTTCTGTCCATCCCCAATTTGGCATGCTCCATCTGTCGATCGACATACAGGCCAGATTCCTGCTCCATACCACTTTGCGTCTAGTTCTGGCACCTCAAAGTCTCTTCCAGCAAACTCGCTCTTGCACTTTCCAATCTTTTCAAAGCTGAGGTCGTTCTCTGGATCCAGCACAGCCGTAGTTCCCGTGAAGTGATACCCCATGGCTTTGGGAACAAACACACAAGCGCCGGAGACAGACAACCTTTGAAACTGGAATTTCCTGACATCTTCGCCGGAAGCTCTTAGATTGGATCGCAAAGTCCACTTGAACAAAATATCGCAGATCTCACTGAAAGGACCAGCGGGAACATTGTCCAGCAGACTTGCAGAGTGGACCTCTGGGAATCTTTCCAAGAAGAAATCGAGCGCTGATTCTTGGACTTGAGCGCTGTTGCATGAGAACGCACAAGGGCCTTCCGCTGTGTTGTACCTGATCAGAGGCGTGCTGTCTTGAGGTACTTTTGTCTCAAGCTTAGAGAAGTGCTTCACGAAAGAGTCGAGCGTAGACTGCTGAACCTGAGATGCCGTTGAGTTGAGAGAAAAGCTGAGTGCTGAAGTTGCAAAAGTCGAGAGCTTCTGGTTCTGGATCACATGGAGAGCGGATTGGAGGCCCCCCAGGACAGCCAGTGCAGCCACCACAGCGAGCATGAAGGTCTGAAACCACGGGGGAAGGCGATGCATCTCCTTCGAAGCCTGGGCAGGACGATCAGCAGTGCGCGTCGCCATGGTCCCTCCTAGTCAAGCGCCAGCGATTGAACAAACGAATGCGCTGCTGATTTAAATAGCATCTATTTCTGCTGATCAACGCTGACCTACCCTGACCGGCACCTTACGATCCCCGGGTAGCGGTTCACAGCGGTCTCAGGCTCAAAACTGCCCGGGTGTACTGGCCCGGGGGCTCGACTCATCTCAAGAATTCTTCAACTCCGAGGCGCTAGCGAGATCGAGCGCGTGCTGACGCGGCCTCTGGCGCACTGTGCCCGCAGCTGCATGTGATCAACAGTGATCAACCTGACCAGGAAAGCTCAGTGTGCAAATCTACACTCCTCATGCAGGTCACGAAGCAGCTAAGACTTACAATAGTTTGTCACATAAATCCTTACATTCCACTTGGATGTATTAGAACGGACGCATGCCAAGCCAACCAGTATTCATGCGTGAGCTGTTCATGAGTACGCAATACTCGAAAATAGATCGTATGATTCCCCACCTTGCAATGCATCACTTTGACTTTCCAACAGACCAGGTTTTGCTTGCAGGATACACTTTTTGGCAGCCAGAGCGAGTTCAACTTTATCTGACGAGGACGAGGTCTTCTACTCGTGTCTTTAGATCTGGTCAATCGTCAATAATAGCGCCGTTAAGCTTGATCGTGGCAGCAATAAAACAGAGTGTGCCTTGTGGGGTAGGATCTCGAATGTGTATCACAGTGCGGGCAATCATCTTAGTACCTTTTATCAAGGATAAACCGAGGAATCCGGTAAAGTACGTGAATGCAGTCGCGTATTGTATCCTAAGTGCAAGCTGAACCTTCGTTACACAAGACACCTTCTAAACTTTAGGGCTAATTATAGCAAGTCTCTCGCTGCACAACTGTTTGCGTGATCTTGTATGAAGTCTTTTTCCTACTGCCATCGTTTCAAACAGTTTCTAGCTGATCTACCAACTGTGCTTGCTCCTTTCGTCTCGCTGCGCACGCAAAGACGCGCGCTTAGGGCTTTGCTTAGGGGTTTGAGCAGAAAGCCCCCAGCAAAATCATAACGAGAAAGAGTATCGCGAAAAGGCCAAAGGCAATGCAATATGGGAATCCATGATTTTCTTCTTTTGCTCGTCTTATTCTCAGATGCATTCGAGTCCTCGAAGAGAGCGGAAGCGCGGTGCTCAGCCCAGTCCTTCAAGCAACCAGTGTCGCAGGCACACGGAGTTTTGACAGTGCTTGGCACGATCAAGTAGGACACTCTGATGCGCCCAGGACCAACCTTGCAGCCCAAATCTTCCGGAAAGCACACAGGCCAGATCCCCTGGCCATACCATTTTGCGTCTGCCTCCGACACCTCGAATTCTCTTCCAACTAACGCGCTCTTGCACTTTCCACTTGTCTCAAACCTCAGATCGTTTTGTGGATCCAGCAGAGCCGTCGATCCTGTGAAGTGATACCCCATGGCTTTTGGAACAAACACACAGTTGCCAGTGTCAGGGAATCTCTGGAATTGGAACTTTCTGAAGTCCTCCCCCGATGAAGCTCCCAGATCGTCTCTGTGAGTCCACTTGAACAAAAGATCGCATGTCTGGTTGAAGGGACCAGCAGGGACGATGTTGAGCAAACGTGTAGAGTGGACCTCAGGAAAGTGCTTCAGATAAAAGTCGAGCGCTGACTGCTGGACTTGGGTGCTATTGCATGAGAACGCACAAGCGGCTTCCGGCGTGTTGTACCTGATCAGAGGCGTGACGTCAGGCCTGCTGAGTTGAAGCGCCGTTGTCTTGAACGAAAAGCGGAATGCTGACGTTGCAAAAAGCTCCTGGTTCTGGATGAGGTGCAGAGCGGAGTGGAGCAATCCTAGGATAGCCAGTGCAGCTGTTACAAAAAGCGTCAAGGTCTGGAACCACTGAGGAAGGCGCCCCTTTCTCTTAGAGACGGGAGCAGCAGCGGTGCGGGTCGCCATGGTTCCTCCAAGCGCCGGCAATTGAACAAACGAATGTAACTCTGATGAACTCTTCCAGCTCTTTTGATCTGACGAACTTTGGCCAGACGCGTCGACAACAATACCTCACGATACCCGGGCAGAGAACACAGGACACAAAGCTTGCCCGGGGTCTACTGGCACCGCCCGGATCGTCTACTTTGCTTCCGATCGCGGCCGCGGTTTGCCGAGGAAGGCCTCCCGGGCGCGGCCGGGGCCGGGGCGGCCGGCGGGCGGTGCGCTTCCAAGGGCTGCGCACCATCTGGAGGTTTTTTAGGAACCCTCCTCCTTGCTTGATTCAGCGAGAGTGACCTTCTTGCCGAAGTGCTCAACGGTCTCGTATGAGACGAGAGCAGGTTCTGGCCGCGAGGCGGTAGACGACGAGCTGAGCCGTATCGATGTGACTGACTATGTTGCAGATGGCGTTTCTCTTGGCGACCGGCCGCCGGCCGGAAGGTACCGTATCGGTGTGGCTGCACTCGTGCTGGCAGCATGTACTTTGCCACTGTCTTTCGGCCAGATGCCATATGTGCTGGCCTCATATCCATGTCTTCTGAGTGCGTGATTGTCCATGCCGCCAAGCAATCTGAGGAGACACAATTTGTACATGCTGACTGCTGCTTGCGTCCGGCAACATGCCTCTCTAACTCGTCCCGGAATCCCGTTGACACTAGCTCAACGGACGGCCATCATATCCTCTCTGCTGTGCGCGCGGCCGCAGCATCAATGTTTGGCCCGCTCACGTGATCCCTTTATACGAGCGCTGTCAGTGTCACATGCTTACTACATTCTAAGCCGCGGCGAAGCCTATAGCACACGTCGCCGGGCACGGGCGGCGCACCTAATGGTACATGATCGTGACGAAATGACGATCGATACGTTTACTACGCTCACATGTAAAGCTCTTTCAATGTCCTACAACTCGATGCAGGTCGTGAAGAGGCTAAAATTTGCCGTATATGGTATTTAAAAAGCACATGCCAATCTGCCGCAGGTTCTTTGGGATGAATGCATGCCAGGCAGGGCCACGCAACGGTGATGATCGATGAGTTCGCAAAAACCCGTTGGAACTGTGAACGAGACTTTTTACCATACGCGACTCGAGCCGATCTTCGACCTGTAATACTTTGACCTTCCAACAACCTTCCAAAGTATACGCCAATCTTGCGGGGTATCATTCTTGGCAGCGTGAGCAACTGTTATACGCGTTGACTTGTCAGCCCAAGAAACGGGTCAGATTTCTGTTCTATACGGGCGAAGAGCTGTCTAACAAACTGGAACGTAGATTACATGATTGTCAGCAGACTTTGACCAAATTACAAAGCAACTCCTTTTCTGTTTGTGCAAGTTGCAACGCGCTGTCCCCATCAGGGTACGCTTTTGCAGCAGTCCCGTTCCCAATCGGCTTCCCAGAACCCCTATTTGATCTCAAGAGTAGACCTGTATGTACACTTTGCGATCTAGCTGCGTCATCCTAGAGATTCCACATAATTTGTATATAATCATGCAGTCGGCTTGCCCAAGTTTGACGGAACGGCTACCGCGGAGGCATAGCTTACACTGCTGTCTCGCATGGTTTTGCACCGGCTTGACTGCTCGTACTGTGTGAAGCGGATCTGCATCTTCGTTCGACTGTGCTGTAGTGCCTGCAGGGGTAGAGTAAACCACTAATCAGAACCTACCGTCACTTGCGTTCTGAATACAGTCGCCGGAGAGCCACTGACGTGATGGGTCAGATAACCTCTTTGCGTGGCTGAACTTGGCCAGAAACTGCATTTCAGATGACGCCAGCCCCGCTCTGTGGGGCAGACGCACGACATGGAAACAAGAGAATTGCAGGAGAATTGCCGTAGCGCATCTCAAGGGAGATAGACAAGGGGACTTCCGCACCGGGACATTCAAGAGGAAGTCGCAATATACTGGAAGTCACATTGAAAATCGAGCACTTTTTTTGGTTGCCCCTTGCAGGAAGACGCGTCAAATGTCTCGTACGAAAACACATCCTTCGTATCAAATCTCCCGAATTGTCAAATCCTGAATGAAGTTCGCCCCAACAAAGCAGACGACTGGCTCGATACTCGATCCCGCCAATTTTGCTCTTAACGGTTGACGCCATAGCTCACCGCTCTCGGAGCTCTCGGCATCAGTTGGACTGAGCAGCTGCTAGACCTTGATGTAAAGCTCGTTGACGCGAAGTAAGACAAGAAAGTGAATGCATACGCTAACTAACAAACAAAATCCTCTATGAACAATTGTCGGGAAAAGCGTAACTGTGGTTGCAGTCAACCGGGGGCGCTGGCTAATTAAAAATCAGAGGGGAGCGGCGCGCTTACATGGAGCAGCACGCCGATCGGGTGGCGACCGCAGATGGTGTTCTCGTACTGTTGCAAGTAGGCGGTGAAGCTCGCGGGGTCGCCCGTTTCGATGACGTCCATCCCGTCCCGGTCGAGGGCCTCGATCGACTTGTAAATCGGACCCAGCTTCTTATCGTAGTACGTGTAGCTAAACCTGGCAAGTACAGACCAGTTGCGAAGTGAGTTCGTAGATGGGGCCCAAAACTTTTGTCGTAGTGACCGTAGCTAAACATGGCGAGAATGAGTCGATTCTGATGTAAGTTGTTAGTTGGGAGCAAGCTTCCCGTTTCAATACGTGTAGCTAAACCTGACGAGAGTGGGTTGATTCTACTGTAAGTTGTTGGTTGGGGGCAAGCTTCCTGTCTCAATAAGTGTAGCTGAACCTAACGGATAAGGAATCAGTTGCGAAGTAAGTTCGCAGATGGGGTCCAGGATTGTTGTCGCAGTATGTGAAGCTGATTCCTTCGAGGATAAAGTAAGCAATGTAAGTTGTCAACTGCGCCCCAGCACGTGTGGCTGAACGTGACGAAAGTGGATGCAGTGTAAGTATGAGGTGAACAAGCCACTCTTTTTCGAAGCTAGGTGAAGCGCAAAAGAAGCTGACGACACTAAGTAGGCCCAAGCTTTCTCTTGGTACTCATAGCTCAAAGTGGGGGACACGGTATTGGTACAAGAGCGGGAGTGTATCGAGCAGGCACGTTTTTGAACAGTCAGGTACGTCGAACAGCTAGCGACGGCGAGAGCCGAAAGCTACTGCCCGAAGACTTGCATCACAATCTGGCTCGGAAAGCAACTGCCTGTTACTCGTTTTTTGTTGAAGCGTTGTTTCGTACAGCTCTATGGGGACCCGCAACCGAACAAGAGATGTATAAGAACCGATCGACGCGTTATTGAACAGCCAAACCGGTTGCGCTGCTAAGTCGTCGCAACACCCGTTGGAAATAAGGGGTCCAGCAACCGACACAAGGCGGGAAACAAAAGACAAAGGAAAGAAATGGACTGAAAACCGGCGCGGAGCTAAACCAAGGGCGGACGTAAGTGTGGCGAGGGAGGAAAGCACGCCTCTGAGCCTCTGAGCCTCTGATGCTTCCCCTCTGTTTACGTTCGGTTACATTCCATCTCGAGTTCTGTCAAGACGATGCGACCCCACTCTGCTTCTCAGACGGTCATCCGAAGCTCCGCAGCCATTCCAGGCACCAATTCTATCGCCAGGTTTGCGGGCAGCTCCCGCAAATCTGAAGCTTCCGAAGAGCGCTCACGCGCGGAACAAGTTAGAACACCATTGTCAGGGGACTCTCTAGCTGACCTTGAAAGGACGACAAACCCGTGAGACCCGTCATCTCACCTCTGCCCCCAGTGGCAAAAGTCCGACGAGATGCAAAAGAAGTTTTGCGGGTCGTCAAAGTATCTCGACAGCAGCCGCCCGTATCGCTCTTCCGTGTCCGCAGAGATGGAGCCAACTAGAATGGGGACCAACGTGAACGGTCGCCTGCAAAGAAAGCGCACAAAGGAAGTCAGAAGGGCGTCCTGCGCGACTTCCGACGGTTGAAAGTGCACAAATTGAAGGCAGAAGGGCGTACTGCGGAACCTCTGACGTTGTCACGCATACGAACAGCCAACAATCTCGGAACTTGAACTCTTGTTGCCAGATGTGCGACAAATCCAGAACGGAGAGCCCGCTTATTTGCTTCAGGCCCATCATCTGCGGCCCGTATAAGCCTCTGCTCAAAGGCTTCCACTCATAGGCACATCTTCGAAAATTTCAAACGTCAACTTCAAGCCGTATGCGCGGGTCAAACCCGATGTGATCGGAAGAAGTAGGCCCAGGTCTCGGCCTCCAGGATGTTCGCGAAGCAAGCCAGTTTTCGTTCTCAAAGTCAGGCTTCAACGGTTTTGATCTGACTTTGTATTGTTCTCGTGAAATGCAGAGCAATGGCCGTTTCTAAGTCGCAGACTCTGAAGATGGCGCGCTAGAGTGTTGGTTGATTACTGGCTTGATTGCTAAAAGCTTGCATATAAAACTTCTATCTCATTGACTTTTTCGTATGATTGGATCCTCTCTCGCTATACCTCCGCTTAGGGCGTTGTATTGAGTTCTCAAAGACTAATTGCTTTATCACATAGAAAGGGGTTTTGCTCGAGGTTAAAGACTAAAGTAGACAGTCATCATATTCGGCACGAACGAAAGAGTTGACTCGATAGCTTTTGGTGCTGGTTGAGAACACAACCCTTATATCGGCCCGTGACAATTGTAGGCCTTCCAGTCTTCTCAGCTGAATACGACCCATTTCAAGTCAAAGGCATGGACAAGCGATGCCTCAGGCTCGTTCGAACGTTCCGATCATCGTCAGCGTTGTTCGAGGTAAAAGTCGACCGAGCCCCCACCCCGCAAACACTTTATAGATGTACGGCAGGTGCATCTCCATGCTGTGCTCCGCTTCGTCCACCTGTGACGTCATCTCCTCAAACTCGCCAGTGGCCCGCAGCTCCGCATAGACTGCCATCCAAGCAGGAACGTGTCGCGGGGTTAACGGCTTGGTCGGAAAGAATGCAAACAGGTGCATCAGTTGGGTGCAAGAAGGGTGGATGTAAACTCTGACAGCTAACTATCGGTTCAAGCCTATTGGGAAGCCGTCCATCCTAACCCCTGAACATTTTTCTGCTCAGAGCTTGAGGACGACGGCAAACATTTCGTTATTCAAATCACCGTTTTCTGCGCAATTCTAAAAAGTGATAGGAGGCAAGCGAGCCAGAGTCCCATCTTCCACGTTGACTTCCTTACTTGTGGCATCAATGGTGATGTCGCCTAACGGTGTCCTGTACGCAGCAAGATTGGACAGGGCGCACCGCCGTGTGTAGTAGTGATGCGAGGGGCCGAGGAGGAAGATTCGCTTCCTGACCCCCAGAAAAGAAAGGGCACAATGTTAGAAAAGTACGAATTCTACATCGGCGACTTTTGCAACACCATATCCGGATTTCGAACCACAACAATACGTGTGCACCCAACTGGGGTTATTAACTCATAGGATGATGCAAAAGGGTGTAAGTGATCGAGCGCACCCAGAGTCATGACAAAAGTACAGTCCTTTGCTCGTTAATGATCTCATGACATGGTCCGTCCCCTCGTTGCACATCCTACTCGGATTAGACTTTTGACTAAACCAATGGCACACCAACATACAGGAAGCAAAGAATAAAGAACAGGAAAGAAGTGATTAGTATTCCCTACAAGCATACGCTCACGAGGACTGGCACCTCACACTTTGGTCGGGTCAATCTGTGAGAAGGCATATGCTGCACACCTTCCTGAGTAGCGGTACCCAGCGTGCCTGCAAGGGTCGCTCAAGCACTTTAGTTGAAGAATTTCGCTAGAGTAACATTTATGGTCTCTTGATAGAGAGACTTTGCAACAGCTCTGACAAACCGACAACCTTAAAGCATTGACAAAGGGTATAGATGCGACCTCCTAAGAGCTGGAGGATACATCGAGGTCTGATTTTGGGGGTTTCATTCTAGTGACCTGAAGATGACCCCAGAATGTTTCAACTCCGACCCTTGTAGAGTCAAAGAAGCTACTAATACACTCTCAACTTCAACGGGGCAGCCGATGTAGCGACAGCCATCAGAGATCTGCAGTCAACCCAGAACTAGACAATATTTGAGGGCCATCCCCATTCTTGGCAGGGCAATTGCCCATTATCATTCTGAATAATACAATCTAAGTTTGGACTTTCTATGCTGTAGAGAAGTACCAGTCTTGGTTGATGGCAGTTAAAGCGAGGTGGCTGACGTCACTCACGGTGCTATGATGGCTCTGGCATGTTCTGGATTGCTCCGTGGAACCTTTGCTGCCGCCTCCTCAAGCCAAGCGTCCAACTCCGCAGACAGTTCGTCCGCTGCAGGAACATATGTTTGTTTGGAACTTCGAGAGTAATCAGGGGTGCTCTCAGGTCCCTCTCAGGTTCTCTCCGGAGTGAATTCTAAAACATTTGCACTCAGAGGCCGACTAAGTGAAGGCAAGAACTTCAAACAGACCACCGACTTCCAATCATCAACACGTACAAAGGGCATTCTGAGTGGGAAACAAATCATCCTGCTTTGGAGGTGTCTCTTGAGGAGGGATTGACCAATCTAGCACCACTGAGGGTCCTCTCTGCACTCTCCAGAGTGTATCCTAAGACATTTGCACTCAGGTGCCAATAAAGTGAGGGTGACCACTACACCTCAGACCACCGTCTTTCAATGATCAATACGAACACAAATGGCACTCTCAGTGTGGAAGAATGCATCCATGGTCAAGAGTTGTCTCTTGAACAAGAAAGTCCCAATCTGCAATACTGACACAATCACAAGCATCTCTTTGAACTGCCATCAGCTGTAGCATGAGCGTGCAATTGCAGGCGACTAATTAACTTTTACTAATTCTTATTCATTGACACAATGTGCGGTTTGCCCTTCAGTTGTCATTTCAACATGTATAGAGAAAAGGAAGGCTTGGCAGTTGTTGAGTTTTGAGTTCAGCCGCTTCTCAACCCAGTCATCAAGAAACTCAAGGGGAGCTGACACTGCTTCTGCAGCGGGGAGCTTACGATCATCCGTGTACCAGCTCCCAGCATGTGTAGCCCTGCGGCACGCCATTGCGCTATGTGGAAGGTTGCTCTCCACAAGTATCCCCTGAAAGCTGAAGACCAAAGAGCTTCCTTCTGGCGCCAAGTACGTTGGTGCCAGTGCCAGTGGCGCCAGTGTCTCCAGCAAATTCCGACTGCTGAGCAATGCTGTTGAAAGGAGATGGCAGATGCCACTTCAATCCAGGGAATTGTCTAATAGTAATATTTATCATTTGTAGGCATCAGCTTCGACGCCGCTCATCGCACTCCAGTGCACTCAAACTGAAATGTTTTACCCGTGTAACCCTTGTATTACCTTGAATGCAGCTCTTCCGAAGGAAAATGCAGCTCTTCAACAGTCGACTTGCATTCGAGCACTTCTGTCCCTCAGAAAATATATGCAGCATTTCAGACGCATGCAGGAGGAAGGAAATGCAATGTGCAAGCTAGCATTGACGGCGTAATGCCTTTCACGAGGTGAGCTTCTTATTTGTCCTAGCCCACGGTAGCGGGACAGCAGCTCAAGGCTGGTGGTGGCACTTCCCCATTCTCCATTTTCCCACTCGAGTATAGTCTCTTGCCATTGAAGTTGGACATCTTGTAAATGCTGCAATGAACTGTGCATGCGCGGTCTTAAAACACATGTCCTTGGTCTCTATCTTGCCAGAGTTCCTTGGGACTTGATCTTGCTAGAGTCCATCTGGTCGGTCTCAGATCTTGTACTCTTCACCTTGTATCAGCGGCTTTTGTTTGTAAAAGTTCATAACTGCAGAAAGCTTTTGTTTGGAAGAAACATGTGGCAGACAGTGCCCTCCACCTCTTACAGTACCCCCGCCAGAAGGCAGTACTCAATTCACATAGTCAGAGCATGAGCACTGTGCTCAATGAACTCTTTTCTCCTTGTCGCAGGGCACATTCCAAAGGACTGCTGAGAGCCCCAAGGCGCCAGGAATACTCACATCATCCAAGGCCAGCTCCGTTCAAGTATAACAAACACAGCATCTGACCACCTGAACATCCCAGACCCTTTGAGAAGCAGCTACACCCCACTGCTGAAACCCCACTTCTCTCACTTTCTGGCTTTGTTCATTCTGACCCTCCCCCCAGCCCCCCCACCCCACTCAAACAGGCATGGCTTCTCAACCCCCTTCCCACGAGCGCACCCTCTCCCAGCCGCTCCTAGGCCCCCACCTTAGTCGAGACTCCTCGCTCACTGGTCCCCAAAGCATCCCAGGCCGCTCGGCGCGCAGAAAGTACCGCTGCTGGCCCTCCTCCGCGGGTCTTGACCCCGCTGACATCAGCGAATCAGAGGAGGAACCAAAAACCCCAAATGGCCGTGTGGTTACTCCCCAGATCGACGAAGAGACAGGCCACCTCGCATCCACCCAATCACTGCATCGGAGCTACCGGAGACTTGACCAGCGGGTTACGGCGGGGTTAGCCGCGTGGTTTACGCAACTCGTCCAGTTTCCAATAACCGCGTATTTGAGAGTCAAGGGGGATCCCTCGACTGCGATTCTCGCGTGCAAGGTCGGCGTCAGCTGCTGCCTCATGTCGGTCCTCGTCATGTTTGAAGAGGATTACCCCGAGATCAAGGGCCTCGCTCTCTGGGCTGTAATCACTATTGCGCTCGTCTACGAGGCCAATATAGGTGCGTCGCTATCCAAGGGACTAAACCGCGTCACGGGGACGTTTTTGGCGGGGGCTCTCGCGGTGTTTGTGAACCACGTGGGGCCGCTGATGGGGCCCTTCCACTTCTACTTCGTACTTTTGAGCATCTTTGTCGTGACGTGGGTGCCGGTGTTTCTGCGCTTCGGGTCGTCGCTCAAGGAGCATTGGAATTACGCGCTATCCATGGTGAGGGAGACGCTGTGTTCCCGTGCTTCTAAAAGTGTCTGGTGTTCTGCGTCGCATGAAAGTGAAAGGTGCAAGGCAATGGACGAGACAGGACTGTCATGCTTTTCAGAAGTTCCTCGTTGATCGGGTATCCGTCCTCGTTTTGTACCTTAGAGAAGTGTTTGTTTCATGTGAGAGAGAGAGGCTTTGTGGCTATAAAGAAGGCAACTTCCTCGAGTCATTAGAGACTGTCCTCGGAAGTTCCGACGTCGAGCTCATATTCCTAACTGATTCCGGTACCATTGGCGCCAGACGAAATCAGTCGCGAACAGTATGGCAGGCCCAAACGCATTTCTTTGTTGCCGACATCGATTGATAGGATGGTATCTTGGTTCTTCACTCTGAACTGCACTGACCAACACTGTGAGGTCCTCTTTGAACAAGGCCTTACTGATACGTGGTGGCTTCCAGGCAACAAGTCACAGAGGGTCACAAAAACGTTGCTGACGTTTGACCGCCCGTCTTCCCTCTTGCAGGCCACGATCACAGCGCACCTGCTCATCCTGAGCGGCTACAAGAAACAAGAGAAGCTCAAGATGCCCGTCGCGCGCTTTCTAATGATCGTCCTGGGTTTTCTGGTGGCCGCGTTTGTTAACTTGCTGGTTAAGCCCAAGTACGCCGGAAACACTCTGCACAAGCTGGTGACGAAGAACTTCAAAACTGCGGCGGACATTCTTGAACAGTGAGTCGACCATCTCCTATGCATCTTCCGCGGCTTATATATACGGGGATTTTGACGCTATGGACAGTAGCAGCCTGCATTCTTGAGCTTTGGAGTTTCAGTTGGGTCTCTGCAGGCTGGTTAGGGTGCAAAACTTCCGGTCTTGACGTTTCTAAGAGTGTTTTACCTGGAAGGGTTCGATTTTGACTTCGAACCATTTAAAAAATGTCTCGTGTGGCTCAGTCTTCGTTAACGTGTCCAAAAGCGGGGAAGGATCTCGAAAAAGAATAATCAAAAGGATAGCAGTGCTTTCAAAGTAGTATAACGAACTTGAAGCTGAGTGGTGTCGTTTTCCTAACCATTCCGTCATCACGTGCCGTTGGTGTAGTTCGTTCGCACTTACTCAGGCACGAGCTGCACGTCAATTCGGCGCCTTGCCGGGTATGATGGACCGCTCTTCGAAACCCACGCCTTCAACCGCCATCGTCTTCCGAGACGTGTTGCGCTTACGTCAGCCGCAGTTCGAAAGTCGCAATCCCTTACCTGATTGGAAAAAGTCACAGCCAATCTCTGGCGAGACACCGCTAAGACCGCTGCTGACGTCTCGCAGGTGCGTGGAGTCGTATTTGAAGGGCACGGAGCTGGAGCCGGTTCCTGACATACTGGCGGGCCGCATGGGTGGCGACGAGGTGCACCGAATGTATGACGAGATCGTGATGTCAGACACCGAGGTCGACAAGCTGGTGAGAAGCAATCCGCGCGCGCTTGGTGTGTCGACAGGTGGCCCTCGGTGTGTGTTTCAACTTCTCAAGTTCTCGCCGTAGAGCTTCCGGAGCACCGTTAGTGAAGTCTGATTCTCTTCGAAGGCGCATCGTCCACTCTGGATTTTCGCAAAAGCCTCGAAGAGCGAATGCCACATCCATCAGCGGGCTTCAAACCCCCAGCAATTGAAATCTCCACCTCGAGATCTTCTGAAAGCCCTCTTGGGGGTGCAGCAATCCCCGTGCAAGCGAGCCCACAAACCCCAAGCCCTCCAGACTTAGCTGGAGGGCTTCTTTCTGTTTTGTGGGAGCCATGCCACGGCCGCTTAATCAAGAGCCCTGAACAACATTTGAACCGTCGTTGGGGACATCAGAGTCCTATTTGAGAAATCTCGACCTTTGAGGAATTCCAAAGTTCTGTTGGCCTACACTGAACGCCTCGGAACGCTTTCCCCGGATCCTCGACCCTCTGCACGTTGACATTTCCAACCGTATCTGTTTTCTGGGAGACCTGCTATGGCCCCTTCTTTCCGAACGAACTTCGAGTCCTTCCCAGGGGCCACCTGACCAGCTGCAATCAAGACTCCGACCCCTACCCTTATTGTGGGGGCAGCAACCCCGTGCAACGACACGTACGAAAACCAAACCTCCGATTATCTGCCCCCCAGATGAACTTCGTGTCGTGGGAGCCATGCCACGGCCGCTCCTTCTTGAAGGGGCATTTGCTCGTCGGGCGGGTGACTAGGCCCCCTGCAATGGAAAGGCTCAACGGCTAGCTTCGGTGACATCCTCTCAAAAGTCGGCCAGCAACCCTGTGCAAACGAACCCACGAAAAAGTTCAAAGTCCAGTTTTCCTCCCCCGCAGATGAACTTCGTTTCCTGGGAGCCGTGCCACGGCCGCTTCTTCCGCGGCTACCCGTGGGGCCTATACGGCGACATCACGGACAATTTGCGCTACACGGTGTACACCATCATCGCGCTCGACGGCTGCCTGCGCGCCGAAATCCAGGCGCCGCAGGTGCTGCGTGACATCTTCGCCAACGAGATGCGCGAGCTCGGGCAAGAGGTGAGCAAACTTATGGACTGATTCTTCCCACGACGTTTTGCTAGTGATGTGCGCGAGCTTGGCCTCTAGAGGTGGTGGAATTGGGAGTTTCGTAAGAACTGTGCGACATCTTCGCCAACAGGATGCGCGAGGTCGGGCAAGAGGTGAGGGGGCTTTCCAGCTTCTTCTGCGCGGCAATTCTGTTAGTGAAATGCGCGAGCGTGGCCGTAAGATACGGTGGGTTGCTATCTGGTGCTGCGCCACATCTTCGCCAACGAGGTGCGCGAGCTCGGGCAGGAGGTGAGGAAGCTTACTATCTAGTGCTGCGCGACGTTATCGGGGTCGACAGATTGCGCGAGCTTGGCGTAAGAGGTGATGGCATTGAGACTTTGATGCTGCGCGACATCAGGTGTGCGAGCTCGGGCAAGAGGTGAGAGGGCCTGTTAGTCAGCTGCTGCACGACGGTTTTGAGCCAACGAAGCGCGCGAGCTTGGGCGCGTCTCACGTTTGGCTCTGCGCGACGCTTTTGGGGTCAACAGATTGCGCGAGCTCGGGCACGAGGTGAGGGGCTTCTAATCTGGTGCTGCGCGACATCTTCGTGTGAAGGCGTGAGCTCGGCCGTACTATTGCGCACGCGAGCCCCTATTACTTGCACGGCCGACCTCACGCTCACGATGCGCAACATTTCTGGGTCAGTGATATGCGTGAGTGTGGGCGCGAGCTGAGCGCGCTTACCATCTGGCCCTTCACAGACTTTCGATAAGAGAGTGCGCGAGCCTCCCGCGCAACGTTAGGGGCTTATAGTCGATGTTCCGCGGGCTTTCCCCCGATGGTGAGGGGCTTGGAAATATTGCCCTTTTCTCCACTGTGCACTTTCAAAGTTGGAAGATAGGGCATCCGATATTCGGTGACGTCTCTACGAGATGAGAGCACGAGGTGAGGGCTCGCAATTGTGCCGGTTCCAAGTTTTCTGACTTTCATGGGCTTCGACAATCGAAAAGTTGTCGGATGTAGAAGGCTATGGTATGCACCTAGTCTTTCGAGCCTGGTTGGCCGTGTTTCTTAATAGAGTCTCAAAACGGAGAACGGCAGACCAATCTGCTTGCGAGCTTCTCGGGAAAACTGGTTGCGGTTGGAGGCAAGCATCCGTGTTCAGAAAAACTTCCTGTCATACAGAGCACCGCAACTGCCAGACCTATACTTGCTCGACTCTTCAGTGCTCACACTCCGATCCTTACTCGGCTCAAAGCAATTCTCGACTGCCATCAAACGCCCGCAAATACTGCAAACCCACAGAACATTAAACCCGTCAACCCTTGCATCATAAACCAGGCTCGCAAGCTGATATTCCCAGAATGTTGAAGCGGCAGTTCTGCTGACCGCGAATCCGCACAACTTCAGCCCAACAACATCTCAAAATCGGTGGTCTCTTTTTGCAGGTGGGCAAAGTCCTGCGCATTCTGCACCAGAGCCTCAACGAATTCCGGACGTTCGCCATATCGGACATCCTGCAGCAGGCCGAGGTGTCCGCACTGCTCCTCCAGATGCGCCTGCACGACAACGCACACCGGCTGCTGATGGAGCGCGCGAGAACGCCCTCGGTGGACGAGTTCTGGAAGCTCGCGCCCGGGTTGCAGTACCAAGCGGTCGAGGAGCGGACGGAGCGGCACCGTTATCGCCCGGTTGAACCACCCGGGGCGGCCGGGGATGGGCCAGGAGTTGAAAACGGCAGCGATAACGGTACGTCGGAGACCGCGGGAGTGTTACCGGAGGACGGAAGTTTGTCCGAGGACGACCGCCCGGGTTTGCCGAAGCGCCCGGGGGACGAGTCTCCGAACGCGCAGGCGGCTTGGCAGCGGGAGTTCTTCCTGCGGCGGGACAGCCTTGGGCGGAACTGGGACGGAACTCTGGAGCGGATCGGGGCCATGTCGCTGGTGAAGTTCTCGTCTCTCCTCATCGAACTAGTGGCGGGGCTTAAGTTCGTCGTCGAGTCGGTGGATATGTTGAGCAAGCAGGCGCGGTTTGAGGGGCCGGATTTGAGCGGGGATGATTGGAAGGATTCTCAGCCTTCGGATCTTGGGGATCAACGGCGGGAAGGGAAGGAGGCGAAAGTGGACAAGGAAAAGGGCCGGCGTTCGAGTCGAGCATGGAGGGGCGCCGGGGCCGAGGGTGAATGAGCGTGCAACTGCTACAAGGGCCGACAGGTGGGTGCGAGACAAAAAGTAATGTATGGTGCGCACTCTGCTTGTCAAGAGAACGCAAGACTGTGTTCCTCGGTTCCCGTCAGGTGAAGGTCAAGAAGGAGGAGGAGTGACAACCACAAGGGGGTCGTTAATGAAGAGAGAAAAGGCAACCGAAAATTATCTTTGGGGACGGTCGGCAGACGAATAACAGCGAAAAATATCTACAATGCTTTCCGACATTGTAAAACGATTTCGAAAACGTCTCCGGTCACAGAAGGTTGTTCTTTCGGACCTCAAAGCATTCTGTGCAGGCCACGTTGAGGCGCGACTTTACATCTTACTTGTTTCTGATATGGATCTTGCAGGACGCAATCATGCGTAACAAGCCGTTCAAGGCTTCTTCACAACCAGCAACTAATCATGCGGTTCCAGGATCATGTTTATTGACCAGCGCTTTTACGCCCTTTTCAGATTCTAGTTTACAACAGAGCATGCTTAGTTGGCCTTATGCAACGCGCTCCGAATGTACGCACTGACAGCTACGCTCCAGCCCTGCGATGTACGATCCTAGGTCGAGCAACATGTGTTGCCTAATATTTGCAGAGCTTGTACACTTGCTTGTATGCTAGCCTGCGCTGGAAAAGCTCGAAGGAGTTTCATGTGGCACTGATTGATTCTGGGTGCTTGATCAGAAGACGCACAAGAAACACTGTAGGTGATTTCTTACAGCGGGTCCGCATGTCGATCCAATGCATGATACAGTGCAGCGCGTTACGATTATTGGCGCATGACGACAATAATTGGCTGCATGCATATCACATGCCATGATGGCCGGACGAGTCGGGCGTGCATATATAGGACATTGACAACTTCACATGCGCGTATACCAGCCACGAATTTGGGCGGAAACTTGGATCGAACCTTCTGTAGCACGCCCCGTCAATTGAATCACGTTCCAAAGTGCAGATATTATCAGTGCGCGTAGTATCATCATGATGAGCCCGCCATGCAGCCGCCATGCCTGGTTGTTGTGCATGCCGCCGCGGGGCAGCTGCTGGCTGTGATCGACAGTATAGCGGCCATGTGCAGCTATAGGCCGATTGTCACTGGGCCACGCAAATTGACACTCTGACATGTGCCGCCACACTCGGACCAATGATGCATTGAACGACGGTAACTGCTATGCATGACATTCATGTCGATCACTCTCCAAAACGCTCAAGGAGAGGCCCGCCGGAAGAACACGTACCATATCCGCAACGCCAGATTGAAGGCTTAACTTTTCAATTCTGCGTGTGCGATTGCGTGCGATTGCGCCATCGGCTAACATGAGAATTTTTGAGCTTGGGCGAAATAATGCAACAACCAACACTGACCTTGTCATCTCATTTAGTCTGGACTCTCCAACCAACGAGTATTAGTGCGGGAAAAACTTGGGCTGGGCTCACGAACCTTAAACAGTCGAAGGCCTCAACTGCAACAACGGGAGGTGGCACCTTGCTTGACCAGCTATTGAGACTATGTTCATAGCACTGCGATGCGCTCAGTGGACGTCGCACCGCCCCACGAGCGTCACCGCTTCTTCAGCGAGATCTTCATCTTCTTCCCCGGGCCCCCCGCCGCTGCGGCCTTCTTCGGATACTCTGAAAACGCCGCTGCGCCAGCTGTCCCCGAGCTTTCACCCTGCTCCATTCCTGAGGCACCAGATCCTAAGCCCCCAAACCCTGGGGCCCGAATGGGAAGGGGGGAGGGTAAGTCGGGACGTTTACTTGAGGACGAGGGCGATGGGGACGGCTCCGAATCGCTGGGGGTTGGGAGCTTGGCTGCACACAAAGACAGGGTTGAAGCATATGAGTGCCAGCGTAGTCAGCATCTTGATGAATTCAGCCAATGGCAAGCAAGTCGAGCATCTCGAATCGCCCTTCTATGATAAAACTGGCTGAATCGCCTTCGTAACAGAACAAGTTGCCCCTAGTGCAAAACGTCAAGAAAAGGAGTTGTTACGCCATTGAACGAAAAAGTCGAATCAAATCTCTGCTGGAAAAACAGCCACATGGAACCAACGTGAAATCGCCAAGGCCAATAGCTGTACTACTTACATTGGATGAGTACTTTTATGAGGTCGTTGCTCGCTACGTCCGCCGCACTCTCGTCCCGGTTATTTCGTAAAGACACGTCAGCCCCTGCAGAGTTTACAGAGTCGACCCCTGACAATTCGGAAGGCCACAACACTTGTCACGGAAAACCGGACGCCTGCTTACAAAGCGAACATTTGGCGAACAATTCAACACAGAATTGCATTGAAAGCTTGACCTCATGTTTCCAAGTACTTTCGGTCGCAAACACGCAAAGGAATCAACGAAAGAAGAGTGTTTCGTATCACAGTATATAATCAACACATGCAAACGCCCAGTCAGTACACGCGTGGGCATCATATCAGGGCCAAGATATAGGACCAACACAGGGTTTCAAGCACTGACCTGCCGCCAACAGAATCTCTACTAGTTTCAAGTGGCCTGCTTTTGCAGCCCAAAGCAGCGGACTGTCCCCATGCTGCAAGAACACAACAAATGCGTCAGAATAGAAGGCCCACAAATACATATGCTGCAAATGGAGCGAGAGTGAGACCACCTGGTGACTGATGGCAGAGACTTGGGGGTAAGAGGAGCCCTGGCAATTCAGTTGGCTTCTTTGTTGGTAACAAGAACAGTGCATACAATGCAAGCAGCGCTTCCAAATTGGCAGCCCAGTGGTACCGGTCAAGCACCTTATAACATCACCAGGGCTGTTCTAAGTACCGGAAGCAGCTCACCTTCGTGAGGGTATTGACGTCTGCCCCCTTCGCCATCAACATCTCTGCTTGCGCGTCAAAGCCCCGATCGCAACACCAATGGAGGGCAGTTCTGCAAATGGTGGACCAAAATGTTGTCAGGTCCAACAAGCGTGTTCCACGTCCCTACATGCATGTTCTACACAGGATTCAGCTCCATGGCGGAATGATGCTTGAAGCAAGCCCACAGCATTGTCCTTGGTTAAGCATCAGGAACATGAAACGACAAGGATCAACTCGATTGACAGTCATGTGTTCTCGAGAAATGGTCTGGAAAGGTAAGCTCAGTGCTTGAAAACAGCGCTGCCTTGTAGAACTGTGCTTTGGTCGCGAAAACAAAATTGGACATATGAGTCATCCCTCAAGGACAATCAAGCTGAAGCTGTTCCAAGGTCAGCATGAAGTACAAAGGGAACGCATACATCAATCAGAGCCCCATCCTTCCGTCTTGCAACTCTCTCCTGCGACTGGAACCCGACATGCTCACCAAAAGCAAGGGGCAGATTTGCAACATTGCGAAGTTCGGACAATGATATACAGACAACCACCCTGTCTGCAAGCAGGATTCTCATTCGCAATTGTTCAGACTCAACGAGCATCATCATATTTGATTTTAAAATCACCTGCCCCAGTCATCCTGCAGCTTCACATCCGCTCCCGCCTCCAGCAATGCCAGCAGCGCCTCTTTGTCCCCACTCTCCGCACAGATCAACGCCAAAGGCGCCCTTCCAAACCCGTCGGTGGCCTTTGGGTCCGCTCCTGCAGCTAACAGGGCCGACACCGTGCCTGCATCTGAAGCATGAAAGACCTCTTTTTGACAAAGGTGATGCAGCGGCGTTCGGCCAGGGCCGTCGCGGGCGTTTGGATCATCCCCTGGCTGCCACCGCGCTGTGCTTGACGCAGCCATGCAAACAAAAGACCGCAGCGCAATTGCAGGGGAAATGGTGCACCAGAGCTACCTCAAATTCAAACGTCCAACAGCTGCCTAGAGTCGCAGAGGATTTGCCTAGAAAGCTGCGTGAATGGGAGCCCTGCACGAGAGAAGATGCAACTTTTGCTGCTTCCAGCAGACTAGGTAGTAGTAGAATGTTGACATCAGAATCTGGATCTAGCAGAGCAGGACGAGTTCCGGTCAGGTCACGGCGGGGCACCCCAGCGGAACTCCCTTGGGGCCGGAACCCGGCCTGCTGCGGTCTGTGGTATACTGTGCATGCAGGCGCACAGCCGCGCACTGCACAGCCATGCTACGGTGCCACGAGGTTGTCCTCCAAATTACATATCTCATCCTGCACTACTCTAGCTAATGATATAGTTCGTAATTTAGTAGGTTCGCCAGGCGATCCTTGTTTGTGTACGCGATTAGTAAATTTGCAATTAAGCCCCACACTGTTCAATAACCGTCAGCGTTCAACAACGATTGTGCGACATCGCACTACTGCACTAAGTTTGTTATCTGTTTCAAATGTGATTAAAGCGAACAGAGCTTAGGCTGGCTGCTGAAAGCTGACTCAATGATGGGCGCAAATGGTGCGGCTTATAGTGATTTGCAGAACTCTTTGCATGGGGCATTCATGCATCCTAGTAGCTCGAACCGTCACTCTTATCATGTCTCCGCACATGCATGAGTGCAACGCCCCCTGGATGTGCTCACCCACGCTACTGAAACGGCTTCACAAAGCCACATGATCTTCGAGCCTCGTTGCAGTGCTCATGTCACGATTTTGGAGTGAACCGGCCCTGAACCGGCTATATACAACCGCCAGCAATGGGAAGCCGAGCGGTTCTATTCCTAACGTACAACATTGCAACACTCGGCGTGCCTCCTCGAAAAGCTCAAGGTTTCAAACCGTTCTCATAATTTAGCGAGCCATAAACAATTAATCTCGGAACGATCCGGTACACCACATCAACAGGGATCGCGAAGTTCACGCCAGACGACTGCCCGCTTCCTGCAGGAAGGTATACTACATATGAGGCAACTTGAACGGTTGAAACAGCGGCTTCTACAAGCAGCGCGCCGAAAGCAGAGGTTGAGCCAAGCGCGATTTCAGCTCTCGAAGTTCTTTTCAATTGTATTGGGAGTCGGACGGAGAGTTGGTCAGGTTCTGAGACTTACCGCTTAACAACCACAGCTAAAACGTCAGCTTTGAGATCCCTTCTTGGATCCACGAGTGGCTAAGGTGCGCGGAAATATGAGAAACGACTCAAATCAATTTGACAGAGCCAGAACAAGAAGGACTCCCCGGTAAATTACTCTCGCCTCAGTATCTCACCTTGTCTGGTGAAGGTTGCGGTGTTCACCCCGATCAGGCGCCCAAAGGAGTCAAATAGGGGTCCGCCCGAGTTCCCTGCAAACAGAGGGTTTGGCCGTACCAGTCAGGGCGGGGCTCAGGCCGTGCCCTAGAGTTGTTTGAAAGTGAGCAATCAAACGCTAGCTCGTCAGCTCAGAGACTCAGGGTTAGCAACACGAGCAACACGCCTGGCCAATAACTTGATGTGAAATGATGGCAAGCATTGGAGTTTCCTCATTCTGACATCGAAGTGGTTTGCCTGAATGGAAAACTGGTAGCCCTCGATCCGCAAATCGTAAAGTTCGCGGAGCAAGCTCCAACCTTTGCTCACGGCTGAGCGCAGCTAACCTGAGTTGATGGCGGCATCCGTTTGAATAGCCCCCGGGATCGGCTTGCCACTCGGAGAGGGAATCATTCGATCGAGGCCACTAACAACCTGCACGGAGGAGAAATCAGATCCTAGGTCCTTATCTCCAACTTTTGAAGGCCCTCTTGGCTCTCAAATTAATGGCTATTCCCTTCGAGGGCGACCAGCACACGAACGAGGCCCCGTTGTGGTCGCCACTAAACCTTTGGGCCCAGCCTCCGCGGACTAACTATATCGTAGACAAGCAACTCGCCCGATCCTGAAACCCGCCCAAACCTTCCGCGCAGGACGTGCTTGCGCATCGAAGGCAACACCTGGCGAGATATGCACGAAAGCAACAACTGGCGAGATGTGCACGCAAGCAGAGCTACCACAGTGGCGGGAAGAAGTTGGTGCATATCATAAAAACATCCCGAAGTCTTTCCATGTGTTAGAGAGGGGACGCGGCGCTTCTTCTCTCAATCCTGAAGTGGAAAAAGAGGCCTTGTGGTCCAAGGTACCCTAAGAAGGGTGAAAACAGATGAAAAAGATTGGCAGATTACAGCATTCAGCGCTGACGCATGTATTATGCAAAGACGAAAGACGAGGGGGCGAGAAAGGAGGTCGTACCCCCGTTGTTAACGTTTGACCGAAGCCGAACGGATTCCCAATCGCGTAGCACGACTGTCCCACGCGCAGATCCGCTGACGTGCCAATAGGAAGCGGCTGCAGCTCGGTGGGTGAAGCGTCAATCTGTAAAACCGATACCTCAGAGCATGTATTATCTTGGTGGCAGGAATCTGGATGGTTCGAAGGAGAACAAAGATGGAACTGCAACCACAATCAGCTTCAATGCTGTTGACCTGAATTGACAGTCAACACGTCAAGACACCGAAGTACAAACACGTTTCTAGAACGGCCAATCCTTCCGCTAATCACGAACAATCGAAGCTCGTGTCAGTTGTGAACCAGGGAAACCGAGAGAAACTCAAGTCGCCCCTGCTCTTGAGCATTGAAGGGCCACTGACCTTCAGGACAGCAATATCTCGATTTGAGTCTGCTCCCACTAGAGTCGCGTCATAAACGGTAGTAGTCTTGCCGTGGCCTTTGACAGTTACCTGCGGACACAAGCACTTGACCGTCTGTTCATTGTCACCTACTCTGCTTATCAAAAGATGTGTATGTCGCAACAGAAATTGAGAGGTCAAGGACGATCCCAGACAAACGGTAGAGGAGGAACGTTACTCCTCGAAAGGAAGCGTCTTCACTATCAGAAGAGGCCTCTGCACACGGTCGTTTCAGCAGATTAGAAGCAGACAATGAGGCCGAAGAAAGGAAGGAGGTCTGCCTACCTTGCATCTTTGTCGTCCTGAGGGATCAGTAGCAAGCTTTGCGACAACATGGTAGTTAGTAACCTGCCAGTGAAGACACCTTTTGTCAGTGCCTTTCTTCAAAGATATCAACAATAGAGAACACAGGAGACAGACTTATCATACACATGAACGTCATTTGCTTCAATACATGCACTAAAAGACTACAGATGCGATGAAATCGACCAAAAAAAAATCAAACATCGAACTCCTCATACAGGCTCCGTAGGCCACACTTACAATGTGTCCGTAAGAATCCCAGACAAAGCCAGATCCCTGGCCTTCAAGAATGGGTTCTGGTGGATTGCCTCTACCGTTTCGATTGAGAGGGGCCAACTTGAAGTCCTGGATGGACACCACTGATGGCGAAAGCTTCTGCAATAAGGACATGATGTTCTCTTCAGAACGGAGGCCTGTTCACAGCCTGCAACATCAAATACCGACATCCAGGCGTCTAACTTGCTCTCACAGAGACAAATCCTTGACAGGCGAATCTTGCTCTCTTGGATAACTAGGGGCTTTTATACATGGGTACCTTTGGGCACAGGAGGTGGGGGGGGAGGACCCGGCAACATTGCAGCAACAACTTATATTTGTGCGTGGGAGCTTATTCTCTCTATGTTGGCCTCACCTCAAACAAGTCCGCAGCCAAGTCTTCATTTTCCGCAGAGAAGAGGCTGGTCTGGCCAACATCAGGAGAGCCAGCCTCTGGCATCTCAGCAACACTCAACTCGCTCAATACTTTGCGAATATGATTTTCTTCTCTAAGCGTGACTATCAACTCTGGAACCTTTTGGACAGGCGCGGCCGCCGCCGCAGCGGCAAAAGCTGGCGTCTCCAAAGTTCCCAAAAGGAGCAGAAAGGCAGTAAGCGCAGAAAATGCTGCCCTAGTCCAGCTAGCTTCCCTATTTGTATGCCACCACCACCATGAGAAAGGCAGTCTATTCAGGTGCAGATCAGTGGTCCCCACTGAACCTCGCTCCTCATAGCCTCCCAACGCAGTCTCTTCAGTACTTTCCAGGACTCTGCTGTCCCTTGTTCGCTTACTACTTTTGCATGTCTGTCCTTTCATCATGCAATGCTGAACAGACGCCATCGCAGGGAGTATCAAACAAGTACCTTGATCTGCTCTTCTTCTTTGGTGTTTTACTGAGTGGTGGCGACGCGCCCACCATTTTCTTCCCTTTTCACCAACTTTTATCCAGCCAAACGGCTGCCATCCTTTTGCCAAGTTTAAAAGTTGAGGGGCCAATCTGGCTGCACAAGGGATTGAGGCATCTATGCGGCGGAAAATCATACCACCAGTTTCAAGTCTGCAAGTGGTTGCGACACAAGTCGTCGCCATCGTGACTAGGCTCCTCTCCTCAAACTATCTTTCTCACTGGTCTCCTGTGCCAGACTGCAGTTCAATGCATGTCGCGGGAACCCAGATGCTAACGAGGCGACTGAGCAGTGAGCGCCCCTTTCCTAAGCTCTCCTCAGCATTCTGCTGGTGCCAGGAGGCAACCTGGAGGCAAGGTTTGGACTCATCACAATGTGAATCAGAGTGATGCATGCATTGATCCCTGGGCTTTGGTCCGAATACCCATTTCATAGCGTCTTTGCTAGCGTAAATTCGTAAGATTACGGCGATCAAAAGTGCTTAAAAATCACCTTCTTATACCGCTAATCGGCGGCCAGTCACCGGACGATGGCGATCGCGACGTTTTAATCATTCTAAAACGTCCCCGTGTGCACCTTGCACCAAATCCGCATTAGGTATAAATCAAAAATAACCTGGTACATTTGCCTCTGACAATAGCTTATCGAGCTGAGCACATCGACGGCCTTCGGACGGCTGAGCAGCCCGGCCCGCGCCCCGCGCGGCCGCCTTCTTAATACGCGCGCGCAGGGTACGGTGGCTGCTGGGGGCTCAAGCACGTCCAGGACCATGCCAATGGTGTTTCAATGCTGCATTAGCTGCACTAGAGATCACATCTGGAGCCCATTCATCTGTCCTCTCACGTCTTGTAGTGGCGCCAGGTGTGCATTCTCAGGAGGTTCTGATTGTAGTCTCCAGTGTAGAGGTGGAAAGACAACAAGAGTGAATAGAGCAGAAAAATGGCGTCGGCGGCTTGTCGCTTGCCCCACTGTGGGGGCCTGGCCATGTGCGATTTAGCTCCTCAGTTCAAAGCTCGGCCCGGCGCTAAGCAGGGACGTGTCTGCTGCAGACTCAATGCAGTGACGTTCAGATCACCACTGCTTCGGGAGTTTACCTCCTTCACTTCCTCAGACATACTCAATGCAGACAAGGTGGAATCAAAAAGGTCAAGACAACCATACAACGGTGGTAGGGCAGACAGTAAAGTGCGTGCGGCAGCAGGAGGTGAGGAGGGGGTCGCGGCCAAGACCGCGGATAAAACACAACTGCTGAACTCTCTCAAAGAAGCCATCGAGACGGTGAGCACAAATTCCAGACAAGTTCATTGTCTAGGGGGTTAGCACTCCCAGCTACGCTGAAGAGCTGATAAAGAAGTCGTTTGTTTATATGGTCCACTCCTCCGAAGCTGAGAATGCCGACCATAACCAATCTCGTCGATCAATGGAAAGCATTACTCAAGTCTTCTGGCCCTTTCCAGCTTCGCGTTTTGATACAAGAAAGAAGAAACCTGGGGGCTCCTCAATGGGGTTCTGATTAGCAGACTGCGATGGTGCCTCTGGAAAGGCGGTTCATCCTGTCCTTCCCGTCTAGTGTATCTGTGAATCCCTGCTAATGCCGCCTGTACAGGCTACACCCTTACTGACCACCTACAGGTGTGTTGCTTGCAGAAAGACTCGGAGCTTGTGAAAGGGGCCATAGAGGGCCTGAAGGAAGCCGGCTATGCAAGCCTCTGGAACAGCACACCAAACCTCGCTCGCAGGACTGTGTATACACGGGAGCTGGCCACCATGGGGATCAAGAATCCAGAGGCTTTGGCCATCCCGACGTCCCAAAATGACGTAAGTTATGCCCCACCTAGCAGGATACTCTAGATCATATCCCACCTCGGCCACAAGGGCCAGAATTGTAGAGCAGACAAAAGCCCCTGCCATAATGTTCAGAGGACAACACATTGCTCTGGCTTTTCTTAGCTCGTTTCTGTGATTCAAATACACCGTCACTCCAGTGGCATGTTCTCAGAATCATTTGGACCTGGGAAACTGTTTGACTTATGGATGCTACTGACTTGGCCTTTTCGGTTGACAGTTTTTTATTGGAACCAACGATGTTCTTTCACCGGTGACTATCCCTTCCTTCCTACAATTTTACCCCCTTTTGCCTCGCCTCCTGCAGCTTGCCTTCCTCGTAACGGTGGTCGGAGTCACTTCCGTCGTAGCCGTAGCTGCCGGCTTCCTTCCCGGAGACTGGGGCTTCTTTGTCCCGTACCTAGTTGGCGGCATCTCCCTAGCCGTCCTTGCGGTCGGCAGTGTGGCACCCGGGCTTCTCCAAGTAGCCACCAGCCAGTTCGGGCAGCTTTTCCCCAACAACAGAGAGCGCGTTGCAAAGCACGAGGCTGCGCATTTCCTGGGTGAGTGTGGGTCCCTCCTCGTTGGTTTGAGAATCTGGCGCTTGGCTGCTTCATCTTTGCTTGGCTCACCATCATCCAGAAGTACATGGTTACTGTGGTTTCATAGCCCGATGGGGTTAACGTTTTGGCTCCGTCTTGAGAGAACGCGCAATTGCTCCACGAAATCAGGAGGATCTCGACTCTGGTACATGTTACAAACGCCCACGATTCAATGCACAAGTTTGGTGATGCATTCAAATATGTGCAGATTCTTGCGCGACATAAGATTCCGTTGCTTCCCCCCAGTTGCTTACATGTTGGGCATCCCTATCACGGGCTACTCTTTGGACATTGGTCGGGAGCATACGAACCTGGTTGACTTCAAGCTGCAGAAGCGGCTCCTCGAAGGTCTCCTGAACGTGTCGGAGCTGGAAAGGTACGCTCCGCTTACAGTCCCTCCACTGACGCCGTCAAAGTAGACGGCTTGACCAGACTCCCGATCTGCAAATCTGCAGAACGCAGAACTTTCAATGACCGAAGCGTCACGTTTGGACGGCTCAGGTTCTGTGATCTACACGGATCAAAGTAGTCACGGCAGCCAGGTTTGAGGATAGTTTGATCAGCTAGTGCGTAGCGCACAGCAATGAGGGATGCATGCACTGGAATCTCCGAAATATCTCGTGGGTGTTGTTTGAGGACATGCGACCGACTTGCATCAAAGGCACTTTCACGTGATGGTACGGGCATCTAGATCCTCAAGCGGGGTAGCTGGAATACATCGCTTGTTGGTGAAGTTTTACAATGGACTGAAGATTGCCCAAGTGCTCCAGGAACTCAAGTAGCGTCCGTTGGGTTCTTCTTCAAGCCGGTCAACGTTTCAAACACAATTCGTCCAACGTGTCATTCCGTCTTCATCCGATTGTTCATCCCTATATACTTCTGATGTCGGTCCTTTTGTTCGTCGTTTCATGCCGTTTGTTCGTCCCATGTTGCACTCGGCTTGTCGCTCTCTCCCATTTATCGGTAGTGGCGACGGCGGGCCTGGCTCCTAATGGCCTCGTCCCGATTCCCTATCGCTCTTGGTCTCTCCCGGTTACCGCAAATGACGATGCGGGCTTGGCTCCTGAGGCCCTTGACTTCAAAAAGGACTGGCAAAAATATTCATTCCGTTTGTTCCTTTCCTTTTCCGCTCTGTGCTCTCTCAAGGTTATCGGACGTGGCAATGTGGGCTTGGCTGCTGAGGGCTCTCACTTCGAAATGGACTGCCATACTGTTCATTCTGTTCGTCCTGTTATTATTCCGCTTTCCGCTCGCTCCAGATTGTTGTGGTGGTTATGGCGGGCCTCGCTGCTGAGGATCTCGACTTTGGAAAGGCCTTCCGTACCGTTCATTCCGTTCATTCCGTTTTCAGTCCGCTTTCCGCTCTCTCCAGGTTATCAGTGGTTGCAATGGCGGGCGTCCCAGCTGAGAGCCTCAACTTCGAAACGGCCATACCGTTCATTCCGTCATTCCCTTCGTTCCGCTTTTTATTCCGCTCTCCGCTCTCCCCAGGTTATCGGTAGTGGCGATGGCGGGCCTCGCCGCTGAGGGCCTCAACTTCGACAAGGTGGAGGGGCAGACGGCGGACTTGATGACGCTGCAGCGGCTGATCAACCGGACCAAGCCGAAGCTGAGCAACAACGAGCAGCAGAACCTGACGCGATGGGCGGTGAGGCGTCAGTCTTGGCTCGTTAATCCGTTGTCAGTCTTGGCTCGTAATTCCACAACGTTTTGATTGTGGGCAGACCCGACATAGCACCGAGGATTTGTTCTCTACAGCAGAACGCGCGAGCTGAGACTCGACGAGCCTTGCGACCTTGATGCGACCATGATGCGAAGCGACGAAGAAGAGAAGATGTTTGTGTATGAGAGACTGTTTTCCGTGATGCAACAGCGTGCGGTATCCTGTGATTCTTCGGCTGCGTGGCCAGAGAAGCTTTCGTTTGGTGCTCCCGATCTAGTCCCGTAGTCCAGTTTCTGTCTTTGATTTTGGTCTTTGGGCTATCAATCCCGGTAACGAAACTCTATCTATCTTTTTGAACAGCAGAAAGGGTCGGTCTTGCCCTGTAGCCATCAGCCATTGAAGCTGTGCCTTTAAAGATCCTTACGAAGTCGGATTCCCCAAAAAAGGTCAGGTTGTCAGAGAATAACTCTGTCAAGAACGAGGTACCCTCTCTTGGGACCAGGTTTGTCCAAGTTGGTGTCAGTCTCCTGATGGTGTCCTTGTTGCGTGAATTCGTGCTCTTCATGCTCATGCAGACGTACTATGCGGCTTCAGTTATCAAGAATAACAAAGCTTCATTCGATGCCTTAGTTGAGGCGCTCAGTAGACAAGCCCCCGTAGAAGAGTGCGTTGCCGCTATTGAGGCTGCTGCAAAGTGAGGACTCTTTGGAGAGATGATTACTGCCCGCTTGCGCTCTGGCGTCTCACGGGCTTAGCGAGGTGAGAAGGTAGCTACGGCTAGGTATACGAGTTGTCAGGTTATGATCAGTTGCGTAGGGTGAGAAGGCGGTGCGCGAGGAGCGACACGAGGGCCGCCAGCTCAACTCGATGCGGCAGGCTGTCACAACTACGTTTGACCTTAACATTAAATCGTATCTCACTAAACATGCTGTACGCAAAGTGATTTGAGTCGCGGTGATCATGCACTCGCCACATGCCGCATGTCTTTTTGTACTACATAAACTTGCGCACTAGTAGTGCGCAGAATGAAATGGCCGGTATGTCAAGTCGAAATTCCACGCACTTTCATGGTGTTATGCGTTATGATCTCGGCGTGCACCTATTGCCCGCTATAGACAATTTCAAGTCCGACGCCATGATGCATGATAATCTGCGGCGATTTCGTATCACTGACGTTGCGCGCTTGGTCTTACGCACGCACTTTTCATGCTCGGGAAACTTGAATCCTTAAGAGTATCGGCCCTGATTCCGGAACTTTGCAATTCCGGACGGATATAAAAGCTCAAAACCTTATTGCGGACATAATAGATTCGGTCGGTAAGTTGACGTACACACGGTGTTCGGAATTAATAGCGTTCGAACTGCATCCGGAACTGGATCTGGTGAAAGTCCCAGCGTGCTCGGTAGACTGCTTTGTTAGGTCCGGGTTTGTTGAAGAACGTCGCGACCCCGCCCCTAACTCGGAGGCCGCAGAAGCCATCACTGCCAGATTGGAAAGTCGATTCGTTTGCAGGATAAGGTGGTTTCGACCGTAGATATTCGTATCCGTATCGACGGTGCACGGAACCTCAGCCAAATGTTGGAGTTTCGATGGTGTCAATTGCGCCCGTTGTGCACGAAACTCCGGGCAAATCGAACCGCCGTACGTAACGACATTGAATATTGGCCACGCGGCGCGCGGTGAACTTGCCAATTTTACAACCATGTCAGAAAATTCAGAATGGCCGTACGGTCGACCGAATTCGACGGTCAAGCCTCTACGGTCAGTGTAGAATTTAAAGTTCGGTTGCACGCGACTTCGTAACATTTGCGCGCTCAGTCGAAGAGGACACTCCAATTTCAAACTCGGGGTCGGCGTCACCTAGGTATCACCTATTCCAGTTGAAAGTTCCGAAGTTGGGAACAGTGCTAGGCCGGTCGAAAGAGCGCGGTACACTTTGGACCGGGCAGCTCAATAAGCATGCATATAGCCTGCAACAGTGCCCGGTGGTCTAGCCGGTAGCTACATTAGCTCTCGGCCTACAAAGTTGACGGGCCAAGCCGCCCCTAACACCAAGGTTCCGACCTATGACACGCGGCGGTTTCTGAATGGATCTTATCCTGCAAACGAATCTTGCTGAAATGCCCCGACCACTTCTCCATCAAGCAACCGGGCGGAGTTAGGGGCGGGGTTGCAAGCTACTTCAACAACGCTATGAATAAGGTTTTTGCGTCCGGAATTGCGAAATTCCGGAATCAGGGCCGATACTCTTATAGAATTTTGCCTTGGGGCACGGGTGCACTGAACTTTTGTAATTTGGTGGTACACTTATATGCACCAATGTGTATCATAGTATAGCTAGCCACAGGGGTGCAATTGACCATTAGCGATAGATGTGAAGCTGCCGGGCCACTGCATATAGGCCAGCGATAAGCATGTTGAAGCCTGCAACCCGCACTACGTACGGGCCGCACATGTACTTGGACGCGTACACCATCAGATTCCAAACGTTTGCCATGCAGTTGCCAACGTATGACGTCAAACTTTTCCGATCCTCTAGATCCTCACAGACAGTTTCAATTAGTTTCTCTTGAGACGTGCACACTGAGCCAGCCTAGTACCTAAATCTAGTCATGTACGGATGGTATCGAAACCAGCCTCAAGAGTTTTAGATCGTGTAGGTAAGCCTTTCCTTATGCAATAGGTCCTTAGCTGAGCTTCCGCCTCTTCTGACTCTTTCCCGGGGCTGAACTGCCCGAATCTTTCGGCGTTACTGCCACACACTCCGCTGCGCACCACGAAAGCGCGGGCCTCAGGGTCAGGGTCTCTGGATCTTGTTGCACCCCAACAAAGCCTCCCAAAAGCCTCATGCGGAGCTTCCCTCCAGGAGACGATATCTCCACCGGCGCGCTCGACATGCCCGATGGCAAGTCGCTGTTGTAGATGCGAAGCCCGAACTCCGCAGACTGGTCCTTGGAGGCTTCGGGATCGCGCGGCACGACCCCGCTGTTCCGAGCCCAAGGCCGGGGCTTGGGGGCGTCCCAGCGGAGATCACGCCGCTTGTTCTGCTTGTTGTACGGGAAGAAGACGGACAGCCAGCCGCTAATGAAGTCCGGGACCCTGCAACATCATGATCGACTTTATGAACAGGGCGGAAACAGGTCAATGGGCTGATTGACCAAGCTTCAGTAACCTTGTCCGGTTAGCTTGAGAACCTGACGTGATTGGCGCCTCAGTTTCGTAGCGTCTTGGCACCTTCGTTTCGTTTCATAGCGCATCAGCGGCTCGCAAGTTCGACACGGGACCTTCCCGTATCAAACATACTGAGGCGATGCTAACAGCGTTTCTTGAACCACAGCTCAATAACCTGGTTAGCTTGGAACCACATTTACTTGGCCCTCCCACAAACCAAAGCTCGTGCACGCCTTTCAGTGATGTACGTTTTCCAAGTGAAAGGCAAAGGCGTGCGCTCACTTGTTGTACGCGTTCCCAGTGATTGTCCCTCCGTCCTGCCGGCAGATGCGACGCCAGAAGCTGACGTCAGGACGCCCCTCCCGGGCGGTAACGAAATGGTCGAGGATGGGGAGCAGCTCTTGGAGCCACCAATCCAGATCGTATGCTGCCAAAGCGGCGGCTTTCGCACGGACCTGTGACGGACTAAGTTCTGAGTGACCTAGCTATCACGAGGGGGTCAGCGTGACTCAAGCGTTCTGCGGCTTCGTACATACAGGGCTCAGAGAATCGGTAAGATTTTTTCCTTACTTCAAATGCACACAAAACTTCTAAGCGGAAGGGACTTCCCAGACAAGAGATCGGTACTCTCAATTGTTTTGAATTCCGTGTTGCACAGGTCCGAGTCAGAAGCAGAACAGAGCTGTCGACCTTTGCCATGGGCACGAAACGCGCGAAAGGTTTCAAAAGGAAGCCTCGTCTTGGGAGATGTTGCAGGAGGTCAATCCTTTGCCTCTTCGCCATAAGGAGAAGCCACCCAAACAGCAAAGGACCACGCGCTCAGTGTTCCTTCTTCGAAGTCACTGAGAGCAACCGAATCACCGTTCCTTTCCAATCAAGCAAGGCCGTTCCAGCTTTTGGAAAAGGTTTCGTCCGGAGAAATCGTAATCGTTGCTACTCACCTTCTTCCAGTCCTCGACCGTCCCTGTAAGCGTAATCTTCGGGATGCCGCAGACGCACATGTGGTAGTTGAAATACGGCTGCATGGCGTCCATAAGCGCCAGCTGTGACACAGTCAGCTCCACCAGGCCCGTCGTGCTGAAGTCGCACTCCACGAGCTCGCGCACATTCTGCTTGGTCTGCTCCCCAATTGCACTGGAAAAGTCGCGGATCACGTCCTGCAGAGAGAAGAAGAGAGTCAGAATGGCAAGTAGCGTCTGTTGCTTTATTTCTGCGCCAAGTTCTGAACAAAAGCCTTAGAAGATTGGAGAACCTCTCCTGCAGCTCCTTCCAAGATTCTCATTGGCAGATTGGCACACCCTTATAAGAGCGGTTGGAGTCCAGAGGTCACACGGGCGTCGGAAGTCTGCGTCGCCAAAGGCTGATATTCTCGCATTCAGATTCAAAATTGGAGAAGTGCCTAATCCACGAACGCCAGACAGTCATACAGCCACCGTAAGATGAACTGACCAGACTAGTACTCTTTTTGACGCCGATCATTGCTTCGTTCTTCCGAGCCATGACAAGGTCTGGTTCGGCATCTTTTTGTAAAGCAATCCGATTCCTAAGTTTAGCTTTCCGTTGCAAGTGGTCTGCCTCATGAGTAAATGCTGTGATACCACATACCTGCCACTTGCAATCCGCTTTCAGAAAGTCTCCGTATTGGCCTTCACCGTTGTCAAGAGCTATGTTCTTCTTGCCTTAATGGTCGACGAAGGCAGCGCGGAGCTTTTTCGCGTTTGCATTGACATGTGCTGCAAGCCCCTGCACCAAACGAAAGGGAGCAAGCGGTTGTCCAGATCATCTTACTGAAGGTCTTTCATGGAGAAGGACCTATTCGGGGCTGCTCGAAGAGTCCCAAAGCTCTCTGCTCGAAGACTTTCAGAACTCTCTGAACATACTCAGCTGAGTGATGTACATCCTGCAGCAACTTCGAACAACCAAGGTACAATTAATACTACATGTGCCAGCTGCATGCTAATCTCTACTTCCGAATCACATGCTTGTGAACAAAAGCGGGTTTGTATGACTTGCCTTTTGCCACAGATGCCACTTGAAGGCTGTCCAACCTGGCAGAGGATTATACTAGACTTTCTGGAGAAACGGCTCAATAGGGTGTTGTATGCTCACCTGAGCAATGGCAATCCAGATATCGTCCGGGCTGAGCTCCAGATCATAGTGCTCGTTCCATGCAGACACGCAAGCTCCCACGAATCCGTTGCTGATGCTCAGGTAATCATCATCCGTCTTCACCAAAGTCTTGGCCACGCTGTTGTCTACCGCAAGTATTTTGAGAGGTGCCTGGCGATTGTCGCAAAAAGGCTGGAAGAGGTGCTTCAGGCCCACTCTAGGAAAGGGTTCCGTGGCCGGAGCAACTTCGTGCACAGAGAAGGTGATGCTAGTTTTGGTCGCCATTACAATTGCGCCTGATCGCTTCCACGTTCTTTCACAAAGCTGATCCCTCCAAATGAGCGACTACAGACGTGCGCACGTATGGATATAGTGCGGCAGCTGCATTGGTTGCTCGTTTCGCATCATCTGAAAAGGAAAGAAAGGGCGACGCGGGCCACAATATCCTGAGGGTTTTAGGTTGGGACGCAACCGGACGTAACCCCGCAATCTGTGTCGTCCATTCTGCAGATCGAACGGTCGTACAGCTGGGACAGGGTTTGAGCGGCCGCGTCAAGCAAATCTGCCGCACACGGCCGCGGTCTCGACGGTACGCGCAAGCAGCGCAAAAGCAGGCAGCGCGCGCGGCACGCCATTGCGACGTCACCGTCTTACGCCGCTGCTGTTTCCTATGCGAGCGCTGAGCTCTATAACGAGCATGGCAGCATCAGGATGCATCCTGAAAACACGATTTCGACCTTCGGCGCGTTAAGGCGAAATCAAGTGACTCACGTCGAGTGCCGTCGAAGGGCCGTTCATTAAAAGCTTGTCGTTGTGGGACCGTACTACCGGCGTTACAGGGCGACAGAGAAGCTCGTCAGAATTCACGTCTTTTAAGGTTTTCGTAAGTACCTCAATGACCTTCTTGTGCTGGCCTGCTGATGCCGTTGTCTGGAATGGCACCCCATCATCACTTTGTCATCAGCCGCTCTGTCAAGTACGTCGAGAAGCTTACCGCTCTTTCAAATTCGTCGAGAAGCTAAAGTTGCGACAAAGTTGTACGACCAAGCATTTTTAGGGACCCGGATTGCTCCAGCCCTTCTCAAGTCTGCATATCAGATTGGGCCAGCTGATGCATGATGAAGAGTCTGGATCGTCCAATCATCCATCTGACGACCACAAATCCAAGCTACGAGGCTTCAAAATGGCCACGTGAGACCTGAGCCGCACGCGGCGTGGCTGCGAGAAGCCATCAAGCCGAGTACGTGCATCGCAGCGCGGCTGCAACGCATTCTATGATTCTACGTCCTTCGATCCGAGCATATAAGCGTGCAGAGCAGATATGACCACTTTGACCGCTGAGTTATACGTGTTGATTGATTGCACACAGGAAAGTACTCACAAATACTGGCACGGTGTATTCTGCATTCACATTTACAAGTTCACGGGTTTTTGCAGCTCATGAATAGCACGCTGTATGCAACGGTCATAAGCCAAATTCCGTGTGAAACTCAATATGCTGCGTGTGAAACTCAATATGCTGCACTTGTCAGCTACTTCGGATAAGATTTGTTGTTTGCAAAAGTTTCAGGGCTTGAGAAGCATGTCAAAATGGACAATCAGAGCGTGTTCTATCAATGCCTAACCGGCCCCTGCCTAACCTCGCGAACTTTCCTCGTCTCTAAAGAAGAGTCACTGAGTTCAACGGTTGTGTGGCTGACAGCAGGGCCATGCGAGGCACAAGCGTGATGGAAGCCCTTGATCGCTACCACCGTATTACGACCAAGGAGAGACCTCAGCCTGCGGTGCAGGTGGCAAGCACTGCGCTGCGCACCAAGAGATTGCTGGCTTCAAAGTCAGCATCACTGGGTCTTGTTCCACGCCGACAAAGCCTCCCAACAGTTTGAGTTGAAGCGACTCGCCCCTCCGAAGTTTAACGTTGATGGGTGCGCTCGAGACGCCGGAAGGGAAGTCCGTGTTGTAGATGCGAAGCCCGTATTCCGCAGACTGGTCCTTAGAGGCTTCAGGATCGTGCGGCACAACTTTGCTTCTCGGGGGCCACGGCATAGGCTTTGGAGCGTCCCAGCGCAGGTCTCGCTTCCGGTTTTGGCTGTCGTACGGAAAGAAGACGGAGAGCCAGCCGCTGACGAATTCCGGGATCCTGCAAGGCAAGGTAGGTTAGTTAGGAGCAAAAGGTGCGGTGCAGAGACAACAGGGCTGCGTTTGAACCTGGCACTTCAGGGTCAAAAAGTCCAGATGTTGACAGCACTTCTTGACCCTGAACCATTCTAGATTAGTCCTTAACATGTTTTACTGAGCTGTTCCTTGGCATCATTGGATCCTATACAAGAAACATAGAGGCAACATAAGCATAAGTCTCTTAATCTGTGTTAGATGCCCTGCCACAAACCCCCTTCAGGCTTGCTGCCAGTGTCGGACATAGGCAGCGTTTGCCCTTCCACGAACATGTCCTTGCAGATTATTTCTATCGTGTTTCACGGAACAGTTATGAGCAAATATCCTGCACGAAGCGAAGTGACACTCGTTAGAAATGGAGAACCGCCTCTCAAGTCAGGCGCTCACTTGTTATAGGCCATGCCTGTGACCGTCCCTCCGTCCTGTCGGCAGATCCGCTGCCAGAAGGTGACGTCAGGCCGTCCCTCCCGGGCGGGGACGAAGTGGTCGAGAACGGGGAGAAGCTCCTGGAGCCACCAGTCCAGGTCATAGGCCGCCAGAGCCGCGGCTTTTGCGCGGATCTGCGGAGGCATTGCGATATTCTGAGGTCCTCCGCAAGTCTGAGGATCCCTGGCGGGCTATCGTGTCAAGTGGTTCTGAAGCGGAGACAGCAACAGCGAAGCTCGACAAAGGAAGCCTGAAGTCTTGGTTGCTGAAGTCACGTCTTTGACCTGAAGTAAACCGAGGGTGAGGTCTCTTGTCTGTCACCACAAAGCAAACTTGCGTGCAGCATCTTCGGACAGTGAATCCAGCCTTGAGAAAATCTACGCCCAGGCCCCATGCGATCGAGCGCTTTTATTTCTTCGAGCGGGGGCTTACAAGGAACAGTGGAGGCTTTGTTATGAGGAAACATCGATTACAGACGAAAAGAGCAGATCTTGATGCGGTATGCCTCACCTTCTTCCAGTCCTCGACTGTCCCCGTAAGAGTAATCTTTGGGATCCCGCAAATGCATTCCGTGCAATAATTGAAGTAGGGCTGCATGGCGTCCATGAGAGCCAGCTGAGAGACCGTCAGCTCGACGAGACCCGTCGTACTGAAGTCGCACTCCATGACGATGCCAACGTTGCTCTTGGTTCTCTCTCCGACCGCGGAAGCGAAGTCACGAATGACGTCCTGCAAAGCAGGCGAAAGACTTCATGAGATCATGCTTGTCCAGAATCTCTCAAGGCTGGCCGTTTTGGAAAGGTTTGACGGCAAAGTCCGTGGCTACTATCCAGACAAATAACATTAGGAATCATTGTCTCAATCAGTAAAGGCTGTCATTCTGTTCACATTTCTGATTCTATCTACGCAAACAACTGTTTATACTCACGCATCCTGATCATTATCAAGACGTTGAAAAGTCTTCCTTGTAAAATCGACGTGACGTGAGAATGGCTGCGTCAAGTTCCACGTAGGAACTGCTGACTGTAACTGACAGACTGAGAGCTGAAGTCGAGTAAGTGCACGGCTTGAGTAGCGTGGAAACTGATTTTGCCAGCAATAATCCTGCACAGTACAAGACAGCCAAGTAGTGGCTGCATTGAGCCTTGGCAAGTTCAGAATGGATCCGCCCAAGTGCGCGCTGCTGATCTCAGCTCGAATCGGAGACAATCCGCAGGCTCACACTTGACAGAGCTTTGCAGAGCACTACCCTTTGCCTCTCGAGTCTCAAGCTTAAGAGTCTACAAAAGAAAAGCTGGAAGTGCATCCGCAAATTAACAAAAGTTACTAGCGAGGAAGATTGCACCGTGTCGCCACGTACCTGCCAGTTGAAGCTTGCCTCTCCTCCCAAGTGCTTGTCCAAGTCCCCATACCGAGGATAATGCAAGAGAATGTCCTTCTTGCCTTCGTGGTTGACAAATATCGAGCGGAGCTTCTCAGCGTTTGCATTCACATGTGCAGCCAGTCCCTGCAACAGAGATCCTTACTAGAGTTGACATCACCTTGGTCAGTGGTTTGAATTGTCAAAATCTCCCAATCTTGATCAAATGACTACAATAGAGAAGGCCTCAGATAGGATCTTTTGAGTCCTGATTTGGTTTTAGAACTTATCTCACTGCTCTAAGCAGTCTAAGCAACTCACAAAACTTTCCAATCTATTATCTTGAACAAAACCACAGAGTATTTTGTTGAGAGAACACGAAGGTTGTTCCAGAACTTCCAAGAGGGCATGCTTCCAACAAGATTGTTACTGGTGAATTGCAGGTTAGCAGACCCTCTTTTGCGTCCGTCCAGTATTGCATGTCTGCAGCAGTGCAGCAGGCTCAGGGAAGGAACCATGTTTTGCTTGCCTGAGCTATGGCAATCCAGATGACGTCAGGGCTAAGCTCCAGGTTGTAGTGACAGTTCCACGCAGACACGCAGGCTGCCGCTAAACCATTGCTCATGCCTAGCTTCTTGATGTCATGTGTCTGCACCAGGTTGCGGGCCGTCTCGTCCACCTTGAGCATCTTCAAAGGAGCCTTGGGATCATTGCAGAACGGTGCGAACGCATCCTGAAGGTCTGCCTTCGGATAAGGAGCCTGGGCAGGGGGAACGCCGTGCACAGCGAAGGTACTGTCTTTGAGCGCCATCGTGGCTCCCATACACTGATACAAGATTGTCGGTGCCTGTATTTGCCAGTCAAAAGTAAAAAAGGTTGCAAGGGTTTGCTGTTGGGATGAGTCGTACCCACGTTCCCATGTGGGCAGACCATGAAGTTGGTGCTAGCACTCTGAGTCCTCTGCTCTAGGAATTCCTACCCAACAGCGAGGCCGAGAACTGCATCGGTTAAATCATATACTGTAACACAGCGCAGCTTCATTGACGCGTGCGTGGCCGCCAGGCTGGACCTGGAGCGCGTGCGGCCGCGGCTTGACCAGCAACAGATTCAAAACCCTGGCGGTTTAGTAGGCGACGAAGACTCAGATCGAGACCGTTGGATACAACTGGTCGGCCGGTTCTGTCAATGCTTAGGATCTTTCAAGATCGTATTAAACCTGGCCTACAGTACGCTTCTCGTTCTTCGATATCTTGCATGCATCATCAGGCGCTTTATTCAAGGCGGCAGCGATTTGGCCGTGAGTTCATGCAAGCTAGGATTGTATTTAGGATCACGAAAGCAGCTGACTGGCTCACTGGAAGCAATTACGTGGCTGTTTTACTTAGGCTCGCCAGAGCTTGCATGATTATGAAGAAGATCGCTGGAAGGATCATTCCCGAATCGTTTCTATCATAGCTCAGTAGGTCCGTCCCGAATATAAAATTTGAGCATGCTGTTAGCATACTACGATATTGCTGGCAGAGGATCTGCCGTGCAACTCGATTTTGAATATGCTGAGACACGTTGCAAGCAGCCTGATGTGATGCACAGATGCATCATGAGACCTTGGCAGGACTTGGTTGGTCGGACTGCACATTTTATTGATCTGAACGACGGTGCTAACTGCCAAAACATAGAGCAATCCTGCGCGACGTTCAGAAAGATGCCCACTCATCAATCCATACCCGTCTTCGGGGGCCGGGCTTCATGTGGCCGGGACAGATTCCTGTGACTTACAAACGAAGGAAGTCGGGGTGAGTCAACCAGCTCCGGATCAATTTGCCTCTGGGCATTATAAGGGCATGAAGCGATCGCTCGGGTTTACAGGGACGAAAATGTCGTCCACTTTCGTGCAACGACGTAAAGACCGCCAGAGGAGGGAGCGGGGGGGCTCGGGCCCGGGGACGCAGTTCAAATAAGACTGTAACACTGGTGACTGTACGTGAAAGTCTTCAGACAGTCAGGCAATATGGCCATCGTACATTGCACCCTACATGCCATGCCAACGCCGCTGGAAGAAGCGTGGCAATGGCATGCAATCTTCGTGACTGCACGTGGGCATAGTCACAAACGTACATGTGAAGACACAAATATGGACACTCACGGTCGCACTGATCACCCGGCTTCACGTGCTCAAACACCGAGTTGTAACTCCTGTTGACCTTTTGCCGTTTCTGTCCCCCAAGAACGCGTATCCATCACGAACAATGGAATGACCAGTGCCAACGTAGGCCTGGCTAGCAAGAGACAATGGAAGCCTCTGATCACAAGATCCTGTTGACGGTCAACCCAACCATTATCACAGGGTCCACGAGGGGCTCTTGACATAGCGACTTCGCTCTCTCCTTCGTTCGCTCTGCAGCACTGGACTGTTCTCGTCTTCTTTCAAGGCTTCGCGCACTGCTTTCAGAAACGCACTGATGCCCGTTCCCTCCCTGCACCAGAAACAGAATCAAGTATTTAAAATTTTTGGTAGGTCAGCGGTCACTATCTTGTTATCCCATTTGGCAAGCTTCTGCCCAAAGTCTTGGTAATAACAAAGGCTTGCGCCACAATCAGCAGAAAGAAGTCCTATGACACTGAGCTCACATAACAAGTCGTCAGACAGAACGCATTGTCAGAATAAGATCAATCCGGCAACAAGCCTTTAAGCAGAATCTTGCAAACTCGTCTGCAAACTCGTGAAAAGTCCTGCCACCGAGATACCGTAGAAAGTAGAAGCGCAAAAGATAAAAAGTTGAAGTGCGTACTTTGCGCTGATACCCAGCACGGCCTTCGGCGCCCCGTTCCGCTCCTCTTCCTCTTCCGCTGTCCCCTGCTTCCGCCCCCCGCTTCCTCCCTTCTTCGACTTTCCCCACCCCGCCTCTTCTTTCGCCTTCTGTACCGCGGAGTCCCAATCCGACAGTGTTTCCGCTTCAATCGAACCCCCCGGAGAATCCCCGTCATTCGCACCCCCCGAAGTGGCAGCCTCAGCCGTCGTAATTTCCTCACTCGTCCGCGCACTCGCCGTCACGTCATCGTCCGCTCTTTCCACCCGTTCCGCTCGTTCCGCCCGTTCCGACACCCCGCTGTCGCCATCCGCGCTCAACTCCCCGCTGCTAACGTCAGCAGAGCTTCCGACAACGCCGGCGCTTCCTGGCCCGCGGCTCTCCGTCGAAGTTTCGGCAAATTCCGGCGCCTTTTCCGACGGCAAGTACTCCCCCGCGAGCAGTCGGTCTCGGACAGCCTCCCATTGCGGGGCGGCCTCCGGACGGTCAATCTTGTTCAGAACGATGATGTACGGACGCTTGAGGTAGTCGGGATTGTACATCCGGAGCTCCTGCGGAGGGAGGAACGGAGTTTACCATGTGCATTCCGAAAGCTTGCTGCTTCAAGTGTGACGTCATTGGGCTTAAAGACATCCGGAAACGAATATCTGATCAACAAGAAACGGCGACGCTCCTGTCTGTAGAAGTGACGAAGCTCATCCCCAACCGTATGGGAGATAATGCCAACCTGACGAGAAAACATCCGATACACGTACAAGCCTTAAACCAATGAAGAGTGTCATTGCCCTCCGCTTGACAATTGCACCCTCTGCTAAGAGAGACATTGAACCGATTTCAGAAGCGAAAGAACGTCTCCATACGCTTGATGGTCAAGCCTGCGTTCGATTTCACATCCTGCATGAGTGGAACCCCAATGGACAACCATCCGCCGTAAGAAACGTTCACCAGTGCACAGATTCTTGAGAGCAAGTTACACCCCTGGCAGCCTCAGAATCAAATATAAGACAAAACTATCCTGACACGAGTCCCTGGTGCAAAACCACTTAGCCTGCAATCAAAGGGCCGACCTCCTGCAAACGTAGCTGCCATCTCAGACAGATTGGAAAAAGTTCGCACCTCGCGCAGAATGAGGAAGTCTTGCAGCGGGTCGGGATTGGACGCATCGACCACGTGGACCAGCAGCCGCGTTCGCCTCAAGTGCCGAAGGAACATCCGGCCGAGACCCTGCAGCGGAGACCCGGCAAATTTCTAGCAGAGTTCTTAGGGTGGAGGAACTAAAGTTTCAAGGGCTTGTGCAAATACCGATTCTGACGTGTTGGGGCTAGAAACGTACTAAGCTGAGGACGTCACCGGGGTGCCTTGAAGAAGACGTGGTTTTCTGAGGTCTCGTGCATCAATAGCTTGCTTGTAGCAGGGCACGTAGGTTCTCCTCTTTCTTTCTGCTTTCCCCTTTTCTTTTCCCTTTGACTATTCTTTGCCCCTCGAGCGAGGGGGCCAATGGTGCACACTTTCTTGAGAATGTCTTGAGAATGCAAGGGGCGCCGCTTTCTATCATGCAAGAGCATTTTGGAAGGAGAGCCACGACTAGATCTGGTGCACATAGTACATGGTTCGCCTCAACACCCGACACTTGGTGGGACTGGGATAGGCCCTCCCTAGCCTCATTTAAACAGAAACACACCAACATCTATACATTATTTTGAGTGCCAGTCTGCCCGCCAGATATAGGGCCTCCCCCTGCCAGACTGTTTTACTGACCAGACGACGACACCGTTTTTCCACAACCATCGCCGTCAACATGCTACGGCGCCAGAAATAGGGCTCACCCTCCCCATGTGCGCGCCTTCGATCAGTCCCGGAAGGTCCGCCATCGTCGCACCAAAGTCCGCGCCCCCATCTGGTGCAAGGGGATCCCCCGCCATTCTCCCAAGATTAGGCATCAGCGTCGTGAAAGGATAGTCTGCGATGTCAGGTTTGGCCTGGCTGACTGCTTTCAGGAGAGACGACTTGCCGGCATTGGGGAGGCCCTGTAGAGGGAAGTGATGACGAGTTGAGGGGTGAGGCCACTTCGAGCTACAACTTTGCAAAGGCCTTCAAGAATCTGGAGACTTCTGCGGCCATGCGATGCGGCCATCATATCATGGAATCATACCAATCATGAAGGGCTCTTGTTCAAGAGTGCTTGTAAAGTTTGCAATTTCATTCAGACAACCAACAAGGATGTTGCAAAGGGTCCACTTAGATACACTTCAAACGAAACATCAGCACACATTTGACAGATGAAAGCTCAGCTTGACTCGCGAGTGCTTCAGGCATAGATCGGCAAGTGGTGCTCCTATTACGACACGTACTCCGTGCCCTTTTCAGCTTACTCCGTGCCCTTTTCAGCTTACCACCAGCAATTCACACCGCAGCGAAGCTCACCACAAGCCCCAAGTCTGCGACGACCCTGAGTGTCAACTCCAGCTTCACTTCCTCCCCCGGCACTCCTGTCAGGAGCGCCTTTTTGTCGGTGCTAGCCACCACGTCTCCTTCCCCAGGACCTTGCTGTGCTGCCTCTAAAATGCTGACCCCTCCCTGACCTCCCCTCGCCACCCGAAGCTCCGCGCCAGGCTTGCTGAGGTCAGCGAGGAACGCGCCTCCTCGTTTGCGCTTGACGACAGTGCCTAGGGACAAAAGGGGGGTATAAGGTGGTACGGGGATGCACTAGATGACAGACCGGTGATTGATGCTGGAAGCAAAATGCTTCGCACGACCAATGCGGAGTTTGCCAGCCGGTGCGTGCCACTGGAAAAGTGAGCCTGAAAAGGCTCAAGTGATGTTCATGCCAAAGAACACGTTGTCGCACCACCCCCATCAATCTCAAACCTTTGACCCCAAGTGTCTCAATTAGGGTTTTGCTGAGAAAAGCTACTCTTAACCGACAGTTGGAAGCAAGTGACAGACACCACTAGCCACACTCTTTCGCAGTTTCCTTCAGTAAGTGCCACTTACCAACAGGCACTGGGACCCTCAGCTCTGGCGCGTCCGTCCCACTCAGCAGGTCCGCACCAAGCCCCAGCATCGCATCCACATTGCCCCCCCTCCCCCCCTGAAACTTCTTCTTCCTGTGGAACTCCAACAACGTCTCTAGGTTCGGGTCAGCATACAGCACAATGTCGCCACCACCACCCCCCATCGGCAACTGAATCTCTCCATCAGGGCCTCGCCTGGCCTTGGGGCGCCTGGCCTTTTGGCCTTTTGCTGCGGGCTTCTTCTTAGTCTTTTTTATGAGGGTGCCGTGGCCCCCATCACCAGCTTTTACTGTGATGACCGCTTGATCAAAGTACTTGTGAGGTTCCTTGGCCACCGAGTCTATTTCGTCGAAGGTACTGCTCGCTTTCTTTGGCTCGAATGCAAGCTTCTGCTTCTTTTCTAGAGACTGGTTGGCCAACCGAGCATGGACTCTCGAGTTGCCGTGCCGTCTGCTCCCTGGTTTACTTTCACCGGTCAAAGGACACCAATTCGACAAGAAGGAAGACGAAGCAGAATTCAAACCTTTGCTAGAATGTGCATTGTGGCTGAATGGAAGGATTCCATTTGAGAAAGCAATGGGGCCGCTCAAACACCTGCGACCACTCCCACCATCGCAGGGAGCCCGGCTGTTTCCTGCTAGGAGAAACCTTGGCTTTAAATCCAAGGAGCTCCATGACGGCTCTTTGCCAGAGGCAGGGAGACGAAAGAGGGCATCGCTCTGAAAGGCCGCCTGTGCGAACGCCATTACCACGCTCCTTCCTGCTCTGAGCCTGCTGATTTTAGCTGGCTGATATGCTTGGATTCAGCCTGGATTCAGCAGCAAGGCAATGAGATTATGAGAAGCATGCGCAGAGTGCTCGAAGCCGGAACTTCTTCCGGGAATTTGGGCTACCGGCGTTACGAAGAGAGACAACGGCTCGTAAGGGAGCGCCTCTTTTCGGAAGTACGAAACGCTGGGAACTTCTTGAGGTTTGTTTTTCCCAATTTGTGTTGGAGTGGTTGCTCAATGCTGACTCAGTCCACCTGCTCATCAAAGGCAAATCAGCATTAGCAACGTCTCAATAGAGGGCGGAAGGGCAAGCTTGGGCAAGCTTCAACCAGGTTGACTTCTTGTCATAGGAAAGGAAGCGGCTATCATCATGGCGAACAAAGGGCCTGCGAGCAAGGTGAGCACAGGGTTGATTTGCAGCCATCAAAGGTTGTGCAATCATTTTGGGAGAGTTGATCTATGCTTGATCCGATGAAGCAAAACTTTGATTCATGGAGGACGACAACAAGTCATGTGAATGAGAAGAGCGAAGCCCTTTCTAGCGGAACATGAGCCTGCGTCTACCGTTACCATGCAATGAGATACTGACTGCCGCTGTTCCGTTTGTCACCTCGTCGCAGGTCCATCTGATTGCAATTTTTATCTGATCTCATCATGCTCTTTGGACATGGATTTTTCAAACTGCATTCTACTTCTGGCTAGAGTACACAAGCAGACTATAATCTGCATAATTGGAATAGAGCAGGCACATCGACTTACAAATTCAGTGCAATCCATGGCAATTAATCTGCCAGCAATCCACGATCTCCAATTCCGGAATCCAATTCTTTGGTTGTCCGTCAGCTAAGTAGTAGCGCACATTCCAAGGGTTTTCTCTGGGTTCGCTCTTGTATCACTAATGCAACAATCAGATCCCGGGGGTAGGGCTTGGTAGCATTGGAGGATAAATCGTATCTATGCATCCACCATTCTTGTTTCGCATCCTACATGATAGCCACAATGACTTCATATCAATTCCTGGTGCCAAATGAGTTCCTTTCGGACACGCCAGTAATCGTCTAGCTTCACAAAATTGACAAAAAGCTCACAGTCTTGTCTCTCTTCTTTTCTTCTGACAGGATGGGCCGTCGCGCCAACGGAGAGGCCGGGGTTTTCAACAAAGCACCGACAGTGGAAAGCTTTATTCCGATGATCCAGAAGGGCAGGCGAAACCCATCATCCAACCACCGCAGCAGGACTACCGCACCGCTGGCGTCGATTACAGGGTCTCTGAGTACGAAACCGAGGGTCGGAGTCGGCCGAGCAATTACAACAGCGGGGGCGCTTATAGGGACAGCGGGAGGGGGGGGCGGGGTTCCGGTAGAAGGCCGAGGGACGGGAATGCTGAAGGGGGGGTGGACGAGGGTGCACATTTGCAGCATAGTGATGGGGGGGTCTTAGGGAGGGGCCCAAGAGGCAGGGGTCCCAGGGGAGGGGGAAGGAGTGAGTCTGCAAATGCGGACTCGGCCAGTGGCGCCTTCCCCCCCAAAAGGGAGTTTGGCAGGATCGCCTCGGTGAAAGAGTCGTTTGGGTTCATCCAGTGCTACCAGCGGGGGAATGCCGAGATTTTCTTCCACGTCACGGGCCTGGACCAAGACGAAAACGAGGGCTCGGAAGCGACGGGTGGGGGTCGGAAACCGGACCTGACGATGCTAGTCGAACCGGGCCAGGAAGTCGAGTTTGACTACGTGCCGGTGGACGAGAAGTCGGGCAAGCCGATGGCACGGCGTGTGAAGGTGCTCCCCGCGGGGACTCTCGAGGATGATGTTAGCGAGGAGGTTTTGAAGGGCGTTGTGGACCGTGAGCTGCGGGGGGGGCAGCGGCGCAGGGAAGAAGCATATGGGGGGCGCATCTTTGTCGCTGGGGAAGGAAACGAGAGCGAGGGGGAGTACTTTCCTTTCGGTGCGGGCGATTTGGCAGAGCCGTCGACGAGGCTGCAGGCAGGCGACCAGGTTGAGTTTAGGACGTGCGTTTCAAAACGGACAGGGGGGGAGAAGAAGGCCGTGCAGATCAAGCTCGTGTCGCGGGGGGAGCGGCGGGGGGCGCCGAAAGCGGACGGGCGGCCGCGCAAGGGGGGGGTGGTTGTGGTTTTGAAGGACACGTTTGGGTTTGTGAAGACGGAACCGGAGGGGAAGGTGTTCTTTCACTTTAGCCACATTGAGGTGGGGCATACGGATGGGGCGAAGCGGTTGCAGGAGGACGATCTGGTTGACTTTGTGTGAGTAGTCAACCCTTGCTCGCATTTCGGGGGTCTCCTCTTTTCTGTTGGATTGGCGCGGATTAAGGCGTTTGCCGCAACCAATTCTGCTCCTCTGGTTGACTTTGCTTCAAACCTAGTATTGGGGTATTCTACTCTGCTTACTTGGATGGCTGCACAATCTTGGTGGCAGAGTTTAGATGGTGCACGACCAATCTACGAATGTGTCATGAGTTCTGTTTACAGAAAGCTACATCCGAAGGAGATGCACTATCGACCAGAAAACATTTGCAACCGCCAAAGGAAGCTATTGTCTTCTCAGAAGGCTTTTGCTCTGTCTTTCAGGCTTACAACCGACCCAAACACCGGCAAGCCGATGGCGACCAGTGTTCGGCTGTTGCCAAAAACGGAGAGCAAGGAAGAGGTTTCGCAGGAGCGCCGTACGGGGGTGGTCTGCCGACAGCCCTCGCAGCGCAGGGACAAGCAGGTGGGAGTGGAGATGATTTTCATTTCAAAGTTTTGGGTCCTTGCTTTGTGTGGTCAGGGACCGGTTCTGAGGTTGTTAGTTTCCTTTCTGCAATCATGCCCACCCCTCCTGCTTTATCAGGTTTGCGAGCGAATCGCAAACATCTTGGATTTCGTTTGTCTTGTCAGATCCGAGAAAAGTCTGTTCTTGCAACGTTCTGTTACCCCGCAAGAAAGCCAGTAGTGATGGTTCAGGGACTCTGCTCGTGTCAGAGCTTCCGCTTCCTTCATGCAAGTTTGGCACAAAGATTTATCAAATGGCAAACAGAACGGAACGGGACTCCGTACGAAGAGCAGCGGCAAAGGAGCATGTCATACTCAGGCATGAGAGCGTCCATCCCGTCCATTTGTCTCAAACATGCAATCGCAGACCAAACCCATGTGTGCTATCTTTGCCGTTCTCCAACACTTGCTCTTTGAAGATCTGAAAGGAACTGGGAGCAACCGTCGACCCTCAAACTACTGAAAGTTGCTTCAAAAATGTCCGAAGTAATGGAAACGAGTATGAGTGTGAGGGCCTTAAGATGCCTTTTCCAGGTTGAAGCGGGGCTGGTGCACTATCGTGACGACCAGGGGGCGTCTCATTTGGCAACGTACGGGGCAACAGAGGGAGAGCCGTCGGTCAAGCCAGACCTAGGAGATGAGGTACGAGACTTCGTTAAATGAAGCATGCGCTAAAGCATGAGTGGTGACGCCAGAGAGAGATCAAAGCAGCTCCAGAACCGTAACTTCCGGAAGAAGGTTCGGAGCGAGGTTGCTTGGGATCGCCCTCTGTCACTTGCGAGTGCCAGTGCGGCAACGTGCAGAAGTCTTGCCGACTTTCTCTTCTTGACATTGAACGGCCGGGTTGATTCCTGTGGAAAACACTCAATGTAGAGCTTTGCAACATCTTGTCGAAATCTGAGCACCGATGGAGAGAAGAGGTCCGTCTCTTTTGGGTCATTAAGCAGACGGCTCCAATTGAGCTCAAGAACGGGACTGCTCAGTCTCTTGCAGGAAGGTCGCGACAGTATCGGGTTGCTTCTAAGTCTTGCTGTGACGTCTGGTTTTGGGTTTGCAGGTTAGCTTTGGGGTTGCGCTGAACCCTCTGACGAGAGCGGAAAGGGCGGTGGACCTTGAAATAGTCAAGGTGAGACTCAAGACCGGCCTGAACGGTTCCACACCTGTCATAGCTTCCGGACATTCTCTGATGTACGCTCATTTGAGTACGCTCCTACTATCCGTGTCCTTCGGTATGCTCCTCGCGGAATGGTTCAGAACTGCCCCGCAACTTCCCAACATCCTTCCATAACCCGTGGTTAACCGCCGTTTTCTGCGATTTTCCGTAGCCCATGGCAGAGCGGAGAGAGCTGGGCGTTGTGTCGCTTATCAAGGACCACAAGTTTGGCTTCATCCGGTCGTCCGACAGGAGCGAAGATACCTTCTTCCACATGTCGGAAGTAAGTCGCTTTTCTGGTTCAAGACTTTCTCTGAAAATAACGTACCATCGAAACTGGATTCCGTTTCTAGTTTGAGAAGCTTTGTCGATGGCATTTGCGCAACATGTGGCCCTCCGAACGGCTTGCTTCTTCCAAAAAGCTGAAACGTGAGTCTACGACGAACCAATGTACAGCTTCCCTGGATATGTCAGCACGCGTTCTCAGCACCCTTTTCTAGTTTGGATTCCCGAGGCTCGAGCGTCACCCGTCGAGGATCGTTACAGCGTTGCAAACCTGTCGTCCTGACAGTATGACAGTATGACAGTATGACAGTATGACAGTATGAATTTGTGGTTGGAATAGAACATACCGTTGAGCCACTCGACTCGCGGTTGGAGAAATAAGGACTTCGTTGAAATACGGTAGAAGAGTTTTTCCTGGAACGTAGGCTTTCTGTGGAAAGCTCATGTCATCATTTTCCTTTTCCTTCTGGGGATAAGCCAGACGTGTTGCGTTCTGTCCTAGCGGCTGCCTACTCATTGGAGGTTCTCCTTGGAGCTCCGAACTAGAGGCTCCAACAGAGTGTAAACTCAGCTTTCGGCGCGCGCCTGTCCAGAAAACTAATCGAGCCAGCTTGAGACTTCAAACAACATTCTTACTGTTTGAGGAGTCTCAAAATCGTTGTGGTGTTTGCAGGTTCAAAAGGACGAAAGCACGAGCGGCCTGCACATAGGAGACGACGTTGAGTACACGTGAGCTGCCATCTTTTTTGTGACGCTTGCTGGTTTTCTCCACTCTTTCTGTTTAAGTTGCAGGAATGACCAAGTTTTCAAAAGGGCAAACGGAAAGCTTTCGTTAGTCTTTTACCAAGCGGGGATCTATGTCGACCTCCCCCCAATGTAGGTGTTGCACGATGTCCAGATTGAAAATGGAAAGTGAACAAAGAAGAGCAAGAAATTGTGTCCAGTTCCTTGATACGAACAATAAAGAAGGCTCGCCTGATTGCCTTCTTCCTTTGCGCATCAGGGTGGTACACGATTACCGGACGGGGAAGGAAAACGCCATCGTCGTGAAGAAGGCGGCGAAGGGGTCTGCGGTCCTCTTTGATGTGAGCTCTCTCTCCTATGCGGCTGTATCTCTGCGCCGAAACCCATCTTTTGAAGGAAACGACATGTGACATGGAACTTTACAAAGAAAACCGACTGTAGCATTAACAGAGACTTCTGCAATGAAGTGCACCAGGCTCTCTTGGGGCTCTTCTTTGTCATTCTGCAAAGGCAGAATGTTCGGGGGATGGAAGTCGGCACTGAGGTGGGGACGGGAAGGCGAGTCTTGCGCTGTCTCTGTTAGTAGAGCCCACATCATCACTCTTCCCGAGGTTCATTTCAAAACCTACCTTCAGAATCGGTTTCGTCATTTTTTCTGACGATCATTCCTTGTTTCGTTATTGGCTCGCCCATTATCACCCTTCCTTCCACAATCGAACGACACTACTACTAGTCAAGATTTGGGCAGCTTTCTCCGTGAACGAGTTCCCGCGTAAATCCGCTCTCGTCCGTCTTTCCTGAGACCCCAAACTCATGGGACCTGTACAGAAGCCGAGACCCTTCTTGAGAAGTTGAACTCTCCACAATCACGATTGAGAATCAATTCAAAAAAATACAACGCACTCCCACGAAGAGTGTCATCAAACCCGATAGCTGTTCGGCGCGGTGCCGATCGTCCACGCGGCTTTTGCCAAGATCCCAGTTCTGAACGAGAGCCTTTTCACGACCGGGAGGCTTTGGTGTCTAGCTCTGACTTCCGCCCTTCGCTTCCGCTCAGGTGCTGCCGGAAAGATTAAACGGCGTCTGCATACGGCGAGTGAAAGAAGCGAAAGCAAGAGGTGAGTCAAGAGGCAGCTTCAAGTCAGCGAAGCTCAGTTAAGGAGCAACGTGGGACCCTGCACCAATCCAACGGATAATGCGTCCAGTCAATTCGCAGGGACGAGGAGTTTTGAGACACGGTTGAAGGCTGATTGCAGGGATCAGAAAGCGAAAAGAACGATTGTCGGCAATCTCCGAAAGATGACGCGAAAGATGTCACGTCTTCTGTGAGTTGGCATCGTGGATCACATGTTCGGCGGCCAAGATGAAGTCTCCGAAAGTAAAAAGTGCAGATCCTGGTGCCCTCTGTATCGTTCGGTAAGTCAAGCACAGTTCGTACTGGACAAAAGACAGGAAATCAAAAGGTAATTTCCGTGTTTACGAACTGTCTTTCATTTCGGCGACAGGCATGGTGGAGTTCACGGCTGACGGCGAGAAGCGCTCCCTCGAGTTCTCGACCAACGACCTGCAGGATCACCGGCTGACGCCGCGGGAAGGGGAGCAAGTCGAGTTCTCCATCGCCGAATCGCGCAAGGACAAGAAGCAGCATGCGACGCAGATCGCCATGAAGGAGGTGCGTCGTCGGACTTTTGACGTGCCATGGATGACCAGCAGAGTGTATGCCCGGCCCTGGCGCTCTCACATCACGACAAGTTCCGGCGGTTGGATCCAGTTGTCGTATCTTGCTGTCATCCTTGCGCTAGCTTTCGTTTTGTGTGCTGCTGACTGTTGAATCTACTTACGTTCAGTACGTTGTTCGCAATCGCAAACGTAATTTAGTCGCTTTGACCTCCGCTTCGAGGGATTAACGAATTACAAAAGCGTTCAAACTGCTCAGGACGAAGGATGGTGTACGGCGGGTTGAACTTTCTGCGCAGTGAAATACTGAAATATTGGCTGCTATTACTGAGACGTGAACTAGGCAGCGAGGACCCGTTTGTGAATGTCGAAGCCATCTTTTGGGGGTTTATGAATGAAACGTTTGGCACTTCTTCCTGCTGACGGCACCTCAATTGACGGTTGGCCCCTCGTAACCCCGCAGTTAACTGGGGTCATCGACGGCATGAAGGGCACGTACGGCTTCATCCGCTACGGCCCCGACCTCACCGAGCGCGTCTTCTTCCACACCGCCGAAGTCCGCGGAAACGTCAAGCTCGAAAAAGGAGACCACGTGGCGATGTACGTAGTGCATATGGAGAAGACGGGCGAGATCGCCGCCAAGCGCGTGAGGCGGACCAAGGAGGCGGCCGAGGAGCCGAGCACGGCGCCGATAACGGTCGCTGGTAACGGTTCGGAGGTGACCCCGCCCCCGAAGTCGAACATCAAGTTTGAAGGCAGCTCGGCGGTGCGCATTGCAAAGGTGGGCCGTCCGAAAGTGCTCGAACTTTGAGAAGAAAGCGTTCTGGGCTCGTCGACCGAGTTTTGTAACAAGCTCTCTTCAGTTGCACCATTGCCTTACGAATGCCAGTGTCCAGCCGTCAAGCACGGACAAAGCTCGCAAGGAAAGGAGGATGGAGGATGGAGACCCAAGGAGCTCTCTTGAGCGCCGCCTCTTTGATTCCGCCTCTTGCGGTCTAAGTGCAGATCGCACAACTCGATGGAGCTTGTTCGCTTTGCACGCTTTGGCTGCATAAAATACAGCTGAGTGCGTTCAGGACTAGTTCGCCCTAAGTAAGCGCGCCCCTTCCTCGTCGCTCACACTTGCTCCGATGATCGACAGGGCCCCGACGGTTCCAGTGGGTTCGCCAAAGGCCGCGGGAAGCCTCTAGCCCCTCCAGCCGGCCCTGTCACGGGCCACCCCATAAACCAGATTGGCTCGCCAAGCAGTCCTGTCGATGTTAGCGCAAATGAGGATGCTGCCCAAGACGGAGTTGAGAGTCTAGCTGGGAAGAGGAGGGACGAGGGTAGCGAGGTCGACGAGGAAGAAGAAGAGAATGGAGAGGATGTCTAGATGCAGCTTTTAAAGTTGAGGACTACATAGCAAGTGCTCGTGAGCCCGCTTTCCTCAACAAGGAGTCTTGGAAGGCAATTTGCAGAGTCATGTTGCACGGATCTTGATTATATTTGGCGGCAGTTGGGAGATGAACGATGTCGAGAGTCGAAATATAACAGTCCCGAGTCCGTTTCAATCGAGTCATTTGTGGAAGCTGTGGAGGAACCAGATGTTATCTTAATTAGTCGGTGTATTTATGTGCATGCCGTTTGCCAGCAGCTATATGTTTGTCGGGCGTCCCTTTGCACCGTACGTGCATATATACCGTAAAATCAAATATCCAAGTCGACTTCGAACAAGAGTTATATGTTATTCGGGACGCATGATCGAAATATATCCACACACAGTCTAGATGGGTAATCTGATTCAATCGCGCACGCAATGATTGCGTGCTTGAGCCTGCCCGGCCACTTAAGCATCACACTTTAAGGGCGGCGCCAGCTGTCTAGCTAGTACCTAAACTGAGTCTTCAACCGATGCACTGAGCAAATTTCCAGCTCATGCAGAATTAATGCCCATTTTACACGATCGACCGTCATTACTTTTTTCGCCGCAATCATATATGGTGGTTTAATTCGGCTCGTGAATCGTGGTTCATACTTGGCCCTTATACCCGAGGCTCTCGTAGACCTTGGCACCCTTCATCGGAATGTACAAGATTTCCTCATCCTGCCAAAACTTTGGGAAGCTCCGGCTGCTCTATGATTGTAGGAATTGTCGATAAAGTACAGTGAAGTACACAACCCTACAGCGTGCAAAGAGCGAAGCACCAGTGTCGATCTATGACATCAACCCGTTACAAATTTCCGCTCGTTAATGGTACTTGGCAGGAGTATGGAGACAACTAGCGTTGCGGTCAAAATTGCGCCTGTGCTCACAAACGCGAGGTGGTAATCGAGTGGGAATATCCCGTGCTGGCCGACGCTCCAGGCAAACACGGACCCGCCCACAGTGGGCCCAACGGCCCGGCTCACAGCGGCAGCGGAAGCCGCGACTCCGTTCATGCCGCCCAGGTGCTGCGGATCGCTGACGGCGTTGGTAAGGAGGATGAAGATGGACGTGAAGATGCAGAGCGAGGAGACGCTGCACGCAACAGAAAGGCAGGGTTTATAATTGTCTGTTGTCAAATCAGCGGTCACCTAGCTCGGCTGAGTTTGACCTCTGCCCGAGCGTCAATAATGAAGTCACCCTCGGTTACTTCAGACCAGAAGTTACCTTAATGAGAGTGTGCATCTCAAGGACGAATAATCTGGGTTGTCGCCACAGAAGCAAAGTGACACCTGCCACGAAAGCACGCGGGGGAGATAAACGTGATACGCCCTTAACTAAGTTCCTTGAACAAAAGGCGTAAAAGCACAGTCTTTGGCCGTTTGATGATCAATCTGCGAACCATAGGGCTCACAGAGGCATGTAACGCATGTCCGGGGTCGACCGCTTGTCAGAAAAGGGTACAACTCCACGAACGGTACTTCAGCGGTCCTTGTGAAAGCAGGCCTCAACACGTCAAACGATCTCAATCCTCTTCTCCAACAAGCTTGCATGGTTTCCAGGTCTTTTTAAGCACGACTAGGGTGCCATAACAAGCCGACTGTGGCTGGTCGAAACGGGAAGACAAACGGGAAAATTTGGAGACTGAACAAGGAGCTGTAATAAGCACAAACGGACTCCTGGTATAGCGACGCGGGCTGAAAAAACCGGACACAAATTGGTCAGAACAGCGGCGAGTTGACAACGCCGCAAGTCGAGGGTCGCGATTGAAACTTCTGGTAAAGGACAGACTTTATCCATCGCACTCCTTTTCAATCGCCGAAAACGCCATCGACCAAAGCCAAAGAGAGTCTGCTAAAACGGCCAGCTCAAAAAACGAACTAGATTGTGAGGGACGAATGTCGGACGGTCCGCCCACCTGCGGACCATCATGGCGCCACTGGCCGCCACCTGTACGAGCGTCCGGTTGTGTCCGGCGACCCGGATGAGCGGAAACAACGCGAGCAGGACGCCGGTGCCCATGCCAATGCGCATGGTGTTCAGCGGCCCCACCTGCTTGGCCAGCCACGGGTATACGAACAGCTGCAGCAAAAAAGAGACGGATTCTACTCAGATTGTGCCGGACGACTGTTTCCGAGATCTCATAAGTTGGAAAGACACGTGAGGGAGAGACTTGGGTAATTAGATTGCGATGAGTTCGTCAGGCAAGCAGAACCCTTGATCGTTCCGTGATTCTACATGATCTAAAAGGATAGGGCTATGCGGGCTTTCTTTACGAGCCGCCGTGTCGCTATGTTCTCATGCTGACTCTGCTGTTTGGCAACCCAAGATGAGAAATTTGTGCGATCAATGTGGCTTGGCAAGGTGCCGCATCACAACTCATGAGCGTCCCAATCCTGAGTTTCGAGGCGGCTTGCTGAGGCGGTGCCTCGAAGTCAGGTATTTGTCAATTCGTCGTTTCAAAACTTCCGGACGACGAAGATCTCAAAGCTGAGATGCAGGCAGGAAGCGTGGACAGTAATTTGACTGCAAACGAAGCGAGGCAGCGACTGTAAATGAAGCGCGATTCCGTAATCAAAGGCAGATAAGAGCTCAGAAAGTCTGCACGTCACAGCGGCTATATTCAGGGCGTGCATCGAAAAACCGAAAAGCAAACGGGAAGAGGAGCGACAAGAGGAGCGAAACGCCTAAACATTGATGCCTACTCATTCTGAAGCCTAGCAAACAAGAAAGACTCTTGGTGTCAGACCTTCCAAAACCCTTGCTCACCTGAACAACTCTAGACTCTGAAAAGCTATGCGCCAAAGGAGAACAAAAGTTTGGGCAGGACTCTCTACACGCCCTTGCTAGCCTGGGTTATCGGACCGAAGTGTCTATATTCCTTTGCTAACCTGGATTACTGGACAACATCCTCTAAATGTTACCTAGGTTTCGGACAAACGCCTCTGTGCGCCTTTGCTGACCTCCACTGTCGGAGAAAATCTCAAAAAGCTTTTGCTAGCTTGGATTCCTATCAGAAAATTGTGTATGCATTTGCTCACCTGAAAAGGAATCAGTGCGACACCGCCCGCGGTCTGCGCCATGCCCACGTTGTTCGTCCCGAAGTTCAGCCCCCCAGAGTGCCAATCGCTGAGGCTCCACAGCGGGAAGACCTCATCGAACGCCCCAAACGTGAACGACAACATACAGTAGATAATCAGGCAGACCAGGATCTCCTTTTCGCACATCGCTCGCATGAGCGACCCCCGCTCATCTGTAGATTTCTTACGGGGAGCGAGGAGCTTTGAAAGGGCGCTGGGACCCGGGGGATCATCCTCGGCTTCGCTGTCCGAGCCCACAACCACATGCGAATCCAAGCGCTTATACTCTGGTTGCCTGCTCTTTTTCCCGACTAGCCAACCCCGCAAACTCGACAAAACTCCGCCCTTCTTGCTCCCAACTCTCTGCAAGGACTCTTCCACCATTCCCTCCTCCAAAGCCCGCTCGCTTTCACTAGGTCTAAACACGTTATACGTCCGCTGATCGTGGCTCGGGGTTACTCTTCCTACTCCCTGCAAGCCAACCCCCGCAGATTCCACTGCTAGCGCCGTCACCTCAAAACTGGCTCTCCTAGACTTTGACTGATAGTCGCTCCCACTCCCTTCTCGCAGCAAACAAGTATCAATCCCGTCGGTCTCCAACAATCTTCCTGAGCCCCCTAGTTCCAAAAGTTGGCGGCACCGTCGCTTTCCTTCCGGCTTTCGTGCCCCTTCACTCAGATCACCCACAACCGGGTAATCTCCGCTTGCCGTACCATCCACCATTTGAACCCTTTCCCCCAGCTCTGCCGAGCTCCACACGTTCCCCCCCTCAGATTCCGCCCCAGGGCCCCCCTCAAGAAACCGTTTCCGCTCATGCGAGTCCTGCCCCGGAGGCATAGGCACCAAACTTCTCCCCTCGTCTGCGCTTGCTTCTTCCTCGGCAGCCTTCGCCAGGCCTTTCGTCTCGGGCAGATAGCGGAACACGATCAGAAACCCGACCGCCGTCAGAGCCGCCAGGACCATGCATGGTAAAGCGTATGGGAATTGGTCGAAGAGGGATCCCTTATGGAAGATTGGGATGAAGGGGTACTTGTCAACGGGCTGGCAGAGGAAACCCCCGAGGGCCGGCCCGAAAAGGAGCCCGATGCCCCAGCAGACGCCAATGACAGAAAACCTGTGACAGGAAGGTGTTAGATTTGTCCTCTCGATTTCTTCTAGGAAGGGAACCTTCCTTACGCATTTTGCAGTTTCCCCTTCGCGTTCCTCTCTGTTCGTCGTCATTTCACATTGAGCAGACGCTGCCACGATTTGTTGTCCAAGGAGTACCGAAAACGGCAGGCCATGCCATGCCATGCCCTGGATTGCAAGATCTTACGGTCAAAAGTTCTGTCAAACGCTGTTGCTCTGATCGTGCTGTCTAAGGCTTGGGCTTCACAACTTCGTCAATGGTGCTTGAGAAGCTTAGATGCGGAATCGCTTCCACAGATAAGGTTCTGTGCAAAAGACTGGAGAAACAGGTCTCTGCTGATTCGACCTTGCATACACGACCAGAAGACCTGGCCCCATCTCCGCACAGACCTTGCACTCATAAAACGTTTATCTGCCACGACCTGCTAAGAGAGAAAACCTGACCGTGCACTCATAAACGTTTATCTGCCACGACCTGCTAAGAGAGAAAACCTGACCGTAAGACCGTTAGGCCTCAATCGAAGTTTTGACTCACCCTGCTGCTTGATTGCTCGAGTTGGTGATCTCTGAAACAGCCCTGCATACAGACAACAAGAGGCTACTCAGAAGAAGATCCCATGAAGATTCAAAATTTCCTTCAGGCATCTTGATGCCTGCAAATCCTCAATCCAGGGACTATGACCGCACATAAGTCAGACCAGCACCCTGCAAATTCTGCGCGTTGATTAAGTGATTTCATTTCAGTGCCACAGATGAACACATCTGAATGGACTCAATTACCAGACTTGGGGGACCCGTGACGCCAGTGAAAAAGTGCGAGGACCGTTGGCTCACGTTTTCCCCACCCCGCTCACTCCCGTCAGCAGCCCGTTAAAAAACCGTGTCAAGATTGCCATCCGAAAGCTTGTCGCAAAGCCAAAAGAGAGAGCGCAGACAAAGTTGGTGGCCAGTCCGAAGAGGAGGACCGGGCGCCTGCCTATGCGATCAGAGAGGATCCTGCAGAACGAATAACAAATCATCAGGTCTGGATTCCGGAACAGGGGGGTCTAACGACAAGCTACAACTTTGTGCTTTACAGCTGGTGACTTCATGTGCATGATGGTTCATCACACAGACATACTGAGCATGTCCAAGGGAAAGTTCCTCTTCCAGCCGCAGCGGAGTAGAAAGTCAAAAGCAGGATACGTCCCATGTCCAAAAGAAACCTCTCTGTTCTCACAGCCAGAAAGATACATCAGTGGTAGAGTTTGGGAATTTTTTAGAGGGTGAGAAGCATTCAGATCAAGCTGCTGGCGATTGATATTAGCGGGGCGCAGCTTCTACGTAGCACTTTGACTTCAGGCTATCTATAACGTGCAACATTTAAAGAGATCAAGGACACAAATCCAAGTACTATTACGGTGGCGGCCCCTGCTCTTTTCCGCCGAGCAAGGTGTTCGCTCACCCCCAAAAGATGCTGGAGCATAGGAGACCAAAACTGAAGCTGCTGGCAAGGAAGCCAGCATAGTAGCCCAGCTTGTCTCTGTTGTCAGTGACATGGAAACTGTCGACCTGCGGGGGAAAACAAAAGAGGAAAAGTTGAAACTTTCCTCTCAATCTGCATGGCCAAACTCTGGAAGGAGGCCTGATTGACAATCTTATCGAAGCAGATGATGCTGCGAACAGAATATGCTTCACTTTCAAGTCAAAAACAGAGCCCGTAAGAAACCCATAAAACTTACCATGAAAGCTGCAAACGGCAGCAAAACCGTACTGGAGAGAGCATTTGTCATGAACACCCCCGCCAGGGCAAGAATCGGGCCCCGTGGCAGTGAAGAGCTTTCACTCTTGCTCTCTACCATGTTGCAAACTGCTAATCAACTCAGAGAAGTCGAGACGAGCTGGCGAAGAAGGAATGGACAAGCAACCAGGGCGCCATCTCAACTCTGTTGTCGTGTTCGCTTCGCTGACCAAGGAATCTGCTGTCATGCAGCATCTACGGTAGGCTGCACAGCAGGCAGGACTTGAACTTGAAGTTGAACTTGGAAGTTGACATACGAGGAGCTTTTAGGGTTTCGCTTCGCTCGAATTTGACCAGTATGTGACGGGCAAGCAATTAATGCCAGTGGTAGTAATATTCGAACGTGCGGTCTTGGCGAATGGGCATGTGTGGGCATATGGGCTCAGATTCTGAGCTGTGGCACACCGGGGTTATACGAGTCAGCGTCAATAATTCTCTCTCTGTCTGGGACCCTGATTTTAACAGCTCCTGGCAACTGTAGTATGTACGTCTGCATGACTTCATATTAATTATTACCTATATTATAAGGGTCAAGTTGGGACAGTCCTATACACTTAAAATGCCAACATTTAGCATGCAATGCAGCGCCAACTTCCGAAATGGGGCGCTGCTTCTCTTCTGCATGAATGCCATTGCAGTCACCAGGCTGGCCAGTCTGCATGACTCTGACAGCGTCTATAAACGTAGTGCTATGATGGGAGGTGTCAACATCAGCACTTGGCTTCTGCTGCAATTGAAAGAGGCACGCCGCTTTGCGCCCTGCTTGATTCCTGCTGACCAAAAAACCTTCAAGGGCTGTGTATAACGAGACTTGGAAGCACGCAGGACCGCGTCAATTGATGCAGAGTTGTTTCACTTCCCACTTGGCGCGTGTTGGCTTGGGGACTCCATTTGCTTGCGTGGTTCCTGGCGAATGCTGTGCACGGTGAATGCTGATCTGAGCTGCTTCGGTGATCCCTCCGAGCTACAAATTGTAAAACATGGATAAGAAGGAGCCAATCGACGACCAGGAGTTTGAAGCAGGGATTTCCCAGGGAGGAGGCGGTTCCAGCAGGCAGCCTGATGGGGATAGCTCAGATTCCACTTCTCCTGGACCCGAGGAGGACTTTCCTTCGGACAGCTACCAGAGTACTCAAGGTGCACTGCTTGGAGCAACATTGCGAGCTAATGTCTTCAATCCGGAGTTTCTACCGACTCTTAGCGGCCAACAGGTGAGTTTGAGCTCTTGCCAATTGTTCAGCCCGAGAAGACATTCCCGTCAATTTCCAATTGAATGCTGAGCTAGTAGCTCAGTTGTGCTTTCTTTGAAAAACCAGTCAATCGCGTATGGCTGAAGCTTTTCTTATCGATTTGTCATCAACAAGCTCAGTCTTAGAAGCAAAGTTTTTGCATCCCAGCTTGGATGGCTCACTTTTGCTTCCATGTCTTACTCCTGTTTTTCTAGCTCAATCAGCCCTTAAGTTTGAGAGGCCTCATGTTCCATTCTAAGATTTTGCAGATCCAAGCTGGTTCTCCGCAGGATTGATCATATGCATTCAATCTGCAGATGGCCAGTCCAAGCGACGACGATGTTGCTGCAGAGCAGTTTCCAACACTGCTCTCAGCCAGTCTGCGCTCCAACGTGTTCAATTCAGATTTTCTGGACCTGGTGGTTGAGCGCCATGTGCAAGACAGGGCTGAGGCGCATGTGCAAGCTCGTGGTTTGGAGAGTCATGCAAGCTTAGCGCGAAAAGTAACATCCAGGGCGCCAGCGATCATAGATGTGGCGATTGCACAAGCTTTGAATGAAGAGCTTGCCACAACCATACCAGGTAAGATTACTGCTTCACTACATGGTTGTGTTAGGAAACTGGACCTGCTTTCATTGGCTTGATCGCCTCTTGTATTGGTGGAATCATATCGTTCAGAAGTTTCTGTGAAGGGGTTGATAAGGAACTCGAAAGGTAGTCTGTGCATGGAGCACCAACAAGTATGTCCAATCTTGGTATTGCATTTACTCAAGACTCTCCATAGTACTTTGCAGATCCGAAGCGGCTCGGCACCTATGACAATTATCCGGTCGAAGATCCATCTCTGAGGTCCAGTGGTGTTGAGCCCACTCTGCCAGTCGTCATTGACCTGTGAGTGAGCGTAATTGTACCCAGAAATGGCAAGAACAAGCAAGGCGGCCTTGATGACAATGTAAGAGGTGCTTTTGATGAACTTCCTTAATCAGAAACAGAAGGGGAACCAAGCTGATTCATCCAATTGTGCATTTGTTGCAGACGGTGAATGGCCAGGCTGGTGAACCGAGGGAAGAGCAAAACAGGAAGACAAAGCAGGCAAGAAGTCAATCTTATCAAGGTCGACTCCCTTTCAACTTTTCAAGGGCTTGGTAATCGACAAGATACCTCAGCCTTGCTTTGGTTTTTGACTGGGATTCGAAGGTCCTGGAAAGCTCATGATTGGTGCACTAGTTTTGAAACTTGCACCTCATGTGTTTGTTGTGAAGGCTTCTTGAGTATACATAGGATCTGGAGCCTCTCTTTCTCAGACAGTGAACAGTGTTACAAAGTGAGGAACCTGCATTCGTTCACAGTGCTGCTCTAAATTCGTTGATCATGATGCGTCATGTACAGGCTGAAGTACCTCGACATGAAAAGCTACCCGCACTGAAACGAGTGTGGAGGAAGTTCCTTCAGCCACACTCTCAACTGGCAGCTCAACTCGAGGCAAGTCAGTTCAGGACCAACTTCTGACAAGCATCGACACCCTGCACTAAGTTGCGAATCTTCATGCAGTGCATGTACTGAATCTCATTTTGGCTTCTCAAGAGGCTCTGCTTTTGGTTCAGTCACACTGCCCGATCCATACTTCGTCAGCTTCTGCAGTAATGATCTTTGAAGTAAGCTTCACTTTCCTGCTAATTCATCTGCCTTGGCTGTCTACAGGCCCTATTGACCCTGGCCGTACTTTCTGGTGTCCTCCTCTGCTGCCTCTGGCTGGCAATCGGCCATGCAGCTGCTCCTGACGAGGCCGTTTTCTCTCTAGTCGTTGTCTACCTGGCAACTGTTGTGTTTGGGGAATTGGCAGCGAGAGTTGGAACGCATCCGTAAGTGATATCCAGGCTGCTCCATTCTATAAAGCGATCTCTTGGTTGTCTGGCTGTCTAGCATTATGTACGATCAGAATGACCTTGACTGGACCTTTTGACCTGGATAACCGCTCGCAAGCTTGCAGTTACAAAGTGTTGCAGATGAGTGTCACTGATATGATCACCCCTGCTTCGGTCTGATACATTCCCTCTTGCTCAGATCTTCTCGATCTGGAAAGCTTTGGGGACTTAGTAGCTACTTACGTGACGTCAATGCCTCTGTTGATTTTGGTACGCTTGCCATGCAGTTTGGTCGGGATGCTCATTGCTGGATTCATTTGTCGCTACATTCCCGGTAAGTACCAACTTCAAGGCTTCGAGCACTAACTAGATGCCACTGCATTGGCAGGTGGCTTTTGACTATAGATATGCATTCAATATGCGGCTGGCCCCAATTTTCACGGTGACGTTCTGTTACACTTTGTATCTGCAAACCTGTTTCCTTGCCCTCATCAATTTCATCCCCAAGAAGTTGCAACGCTTGTCCATTCGCTCTGTGCAGGCGTCAAAGCGGGACGTGTTATCCCTCACGAAGTCTCGGCCTTCATTCGCGAGTTCGGCCTGTGCACGATTCTCCTCAGGGCCGGAATCGCACTAGACGTGAAGCTGCTGATGCGGTTGAAGTGGCTATCATTCGCCTGCTCCGTCTTTCCGACCGTTGTGGAAGCGGCCGTGCTCGCAGCGATGTCTGTCTGGCTCTTCTCCCTCCCTTGGACTTGGGGTTTCATGACGGGGTTCATCGTGGCAGGCGTGGCACCAGCCATCGTTGTGCCGGCGCTGCTCGCGTTGCAGGTCGGTGCTCGATGCTCAAGTCCAACGTTGTTCAGCAAGCACAAGTTTTAATGCATATGCTTACTTGCTAGGTCGAGAGAAGAGAGTGCAATGGTTGGACAGGCTGCCTGACTTCTCGCACCTCTGACACGGCTTCGTTCTCTCGAGAAATGGCAATCAGCTCATTTGTTAAAATTGAAAGTGTTTGAGCAGGCTGCCAATCCTGCACCCTTTTTACTGCAGGATGAAGGCTTCGGTGTGGCAAAGGGCATCCCATCTCTGGTCTTGGCTGTAGCCGCTGTGGATGATTGTCTCTCCGTTATTATCGGTGAGCCATTCGAAAACGTTCTCAAAACTTTTGTCTACGTGCTATTGCTGGTTGCGTGCAAGACGCTGCCCCTCCTTGCCCAAGCCTGCCTCGGCTGCTAACGGATTATCATCCGGAACGCTCTGCTCCGTTTGTCAATTCGCTGATCGGAAGCCACAGAGTAAAAAGTTAGGTCGAGCAAAGATGCTGCTAAAAAGGAATTTGAGGTTACTTGCTGAAGGAGTCCGATCGCTCCAGCCTACACGTTCATTACCTTGCATTTCTTCTGTGCAGGGAACGCTGTTTTCAACAACATCATCTTCTCGAAATCGGAACTGGTCATGTCCATCTTCCGAGCACCCATCGAGATCGCCATGGGCATCGCTATCGGCGTTGGGCTTGGTTTTGGAGCAATTCTGCTGCTTCCAAGAAGCCGCGCTCCAGGTGAGAGATCACTGCCTCAAAGTGAAGCCTTTTGTCGAGTTGTTTGACACGGAGGCTCGAACGAGGACGGGTTGCTTTTCAGAAAGATGGTTTGTCCACTGAATCTTGCTATTTCCTATATCGTGGTTTCGCATCGATCGACCGTCAGAGCAGCGCCATGAATATCTGCATATTTCTTGCTGATTTATGCAGCACGGTGCAAAAGTCGCTCAGACTTTGCTGGATAAGCTTGTGTCGAGTTTTCTTCGCTTCCACAAACAAGCTCTTCCTCTAATGGGTGCTGCTTGTTGTTAAGGAACGAAGTTTTTCTGCAGAGGTCACCTTTGCCTGTCTGACCTTCTGTGGGGTTACGTGCATACCGTCTTGGTGCATGCGTGTCCACTGATTCATCAAAGCTCTAGTGAGGATCACTTTTGGGGCGTCTGGCGAAGGTTGGAGAATCAGAGGAGTGGGAAGCTTCGTATCCGTGCATGAAGACGCAACAAACCAAAAAGCGCCCACGGTGAAAGCGGCCCTCAGTAGCATTGAGACCACTGAAGCGGATGGTACCCGACTCGTGCGCAGGAGTGATATCTCGGCAGGACAGCATGCTGAAACGGAGGGCCAGTCAACATCGCACGGAGAATGGGAACTCCGTACATCGGCGCCAGAAGACGAGTACCAGCTCCCCTCCTGTGGCTGGTCCCACTGACGCAGCTTCCAACCCAGGGTCCGACGTTGAAACCGGGTCAACAAAGGTGCGTGTGCCATCTGGTAGCTTGCAAATCTGCTTGGGTTCTACTCTTCATGATCTGCCTTCGAAATGTGACATATTCCGGTCTGTCTGAGTAGTATCGTCTAGGACTTTGGAATGTATAGAAGACATGGATGCTTCTTGGTGCCATGTTTACATCGCCAAGACAAGAATTTCTTCTTAATTCCTCGACTTCGTCCTCCGCACAGCACCCTTCCTGTTGAGGCAGCCTTTTCCAAGCTGGGAAGCTTCTCCTTTATCGAACCGCGCTTGTTTTCTTGACTGGTCGGAGCCACTTCTTTGCTTGGCTCTTGAAGGGTTAGTACGTGCCTTAAGAAGAGTCTTGGCCCATCAATCACCTTAATGATCCGGGGAAAAGATTCATAAAAGTATCCCGGTTCTTCAAGCTCCTCAATGAACGCACTTTCCGACAGGTGTTGAAAGCCATCAAGGACAAGATCCAGCCCCAAAAGATGCTGCCACCGCTCCCCCCTGGGGACGGTGTCAAGATGGCTCTCATGCGAACGGCGTACGTGCTTGGATTCGGACTGTGGTGCATCATGGGCGGCCAGAAGATCAAGTACAGCGGAGCGGGAGCACTGGCAGTGGTCCTTTTGGGAGCCGTTGCAGGACAGGGATGGGGTGAGATGCGAGTGCTCAGCTAAGGCCCTCGGCTTACGTCCCGCTGATCCCGTTGCCTATTTCGCAAACGAAGCTTCAACGGATTGAGCCTGATGACGATTGCAAGAGTCTTTTGCTGAAGGGCAATTGGCATCACACTTTTCGGTGGTTGCTTGCATCGGTCATCTGAGTTGTCGTCTTCCAAACCAAGCTCGTTTATTGATCGTCTGGACTGCTCGCCTCTGCCCATACTAACGTTGCACTGCTTCTCCTCACAGGTCGCGATCTTTCCAGCAAGCCCAAGCTCTACCTGCTGTACACGTGGGCGCTTCTGGCGCAGCCCCTGCTTTTCGGCGTCATCGGCAGCCAGATCGACGTCAGCTACTTCAAGGGGAGCTTCCTGTGGCGCGGCGTCATCATTCTCCCGGTCGCTGCGATCGCCCGTGCAATCGTCACCGTCGGATCCACCGTCGGCACCGCTCTGAACACATCGGAGCGGCTGTTTCTGGCGCTCGCGTGGCTGCCCAAGGCGACGGTCCAAGCGGCGCTCGCCCCGCAGGCGCTGTCGCAGGTGGCGGGCAAGAACGACCCGAAGCTGACGGGATATGCGGAGACGGTAAGCAACTGCGACGGAAGCGGTAGCGGGATTTGCTCCGCCGAAAGTAAATCTGCAGCAAGGCGTTCTTCTAACAATTCCCTGTATTTGGACTGTTGACATCCAGATAGAAAAGGGGTTGCGTCTTCCTGTGGACGTTTCTCCACCTGTTGCGATCTGCTGGAAGGCTCGACGCAGATGTTTGAGGGTTGCAGGAGATTTCGTAGAATAAATGCTTGCTGTGCGAGTCACAACGATATGCTGACCCGTTGCATGGTGGCTGCAGGTTTTCGCGATAGGGATGCTCTCGGTGATCCTCACCGCACCGCTTGGGGCAATGTTCTTGAAGTTATCAGGCCCGAGACTGCTCGAGAAAGCTGACAAGCGTCCTGAGCAGGTCATGCATGCCGAATGTAGCCCAGGATAAAACCGTCATTGGATAATGCAGAGTCTCCTCCTGAAAAGGTTGTAGATGCTGCGTGGTCAAAAGCTTCTTCGATTACAGTGCACGCCTTTTGAAGCTTCAATGCTTCGTGCCAAGTCGTAACCTGTAGAGCTGACAGTCATCCCACCTTGTTGACGACTTGCGGGCAACGACATAAAAAGGACAACTAACTTCTTAGGATCTGTAGAGTAGACATTTGCAACTTTTAGTAAAGCACGACCCGCAATTCACAGAAGAGGTTATGGTAGGAGGGAAGGGTTGTTGAGAGGCCACCATGTGGCAAAATGGTACTTCGACATTAAATCATTCTATTCAGGTACCTTGCCGTTTGCGCACCAGTACGTATGCAGCTGGCATGTGAGGCAAATTGGGAGGATTGCTTCAGAGCCGGGCCTGACAGCTATTGTAGAATACAGTGAAAACTGCATTTTGTCATGAGGATAATAAAGATACAATGCCACCATAAGAGTTTCATGGCATATGCATGCGAGAAAAAGAACAGCATGAACTTGTTGGAAGAGCGTTCATGATCATGCTTGAAACATGACGACACCGCGCGGGCGGCTGTAGTTTGGGCCGGGCCTACTTTTCTGGTTGTACTTCATGCTTTGCTCGACTCCGGGAAACGCCTGCATTGCCGCACCTCTAGCAATATTGCAAGACTCCAAGACCAGACTTTAGCCGATTTGCATGATTGCTTCTCTGTATAACCAGAGCTGTTGTACGCAGTTGCCAACTGTACATGACTTTACAGCTCAGAGTCTGAAAACCTCAGAAACATTGCTCATGCAAGCCGTTCACAGGTAGGTACCCAGTTCAAAGTTGCTTCTTTCTGCATTGACGGGTTATACTAACCCAGATCTGGGTAACCCCGGGCCTCCGTGACATTTGCGACACCCTTGAGGCCCGACGTTTCACTGGGCGCCAATTTGCAAACCCTTGCATGAGCTTTTCGCTTAACCCAGCTGACTCAGCTCTTTAATCTGCGAAAACGTGATTACAAATGCAGAAGATGCATCCAGCTTCCAGCTGAGCACTGGTTGCAATGGCGCAGCGTCAGCAGAAGAGCGCCAGCATCGACGCTCTCCCTGCCGAACTCGTGGACTGGGTTTTGAAGGCTGTCACAGCAGACAGCCCTCAGACCTCGAAGGACATTGCAAGAGTGAACAGGGCGTTCCGAGATGCGGTGCGGCGGTGCAGTCAAACCTTGGTGCTTCGCAAGTTGAAGAAAGGCAAGAAGAAGCCTCCTGAACCAGATGTTGCGTGTATAGCCCTAGCAGAGGAATTGAGCCTACGGCCAGTGCTGTGTAATCTGGTGGTCGACCGGGGAGCAGAACCATGCCTTTTGCCTGCTTTGGGAAGCATTCAATGGACCAGCGTCAAGGTTGTTGTGGAGGGAGAAGCACTTGAGAGGTTTTGGCACATTCTGCGGACATCAAAAGATACGCTCAAACGGCTGGATGTTGATCCGGGCAGGCACTATCCTTATCACCTCGCTGGCAGTGTCCTGAACATGGCTCAGTGGTTCCCGGGGCTGGAAAGCTTAACACTCAACGGGGGAAAAGCCGGCGCTGGATCTTCAGTTGATGACTTGTGTAGAGTGCAAGGCACGACAGATCTGGGGGTCGAATCAAGCTGCCTTGGCAAACTAGACATTGTGAGCTTCAAATTCACAGACTGGTCCGAGGCCATCTACAGAAGCCTTCCACTTCACCTTCCGAGCCTCACCTCCTTCAGATTTCAGTGCACCACACGCAAATCAATGGTTTTCTCTCCCAAGACCACAGCTCTGCAATCAGCATTTGTACGTATTCAGTGTCTGAACCTGGACGTGTATCACTTATCCGTACCCAACTCCATGCTTGAAAACATAGCAAACAATTGTCCCCGTCTCCAGCATCTTGTAATCCACACTATCCCCCCAAGTAGAATCGACTGGGGGGGGCCCTGCAGAGACTCCGATCACTCAACAGAAGTCTTTTCGCGGGTTCTTGATAAGTGTCCAGACTTGAAGCGGTTTGTCTTGAGCGAAGCGAGAATGATGTTTCCGAAGCACTTTGCTTGGGTTTTGAATGAAAGAAGTCTCTTGCCAACGAATTGCATCGGTGATCTCAAGAGCATAGAGATGGCATTGCATAACAACATTGCCATATCAGGTAGCGATCACTCTGTTGAGGAGAATATAGTTGGCCAAGGAACAAAGATTCTCACGTTCTACTTGATAGCTCCAATGTCTGGGCCACGCTGGGATCGCCGAGGCAACCCCGCCTTGATCAAGGAGCGGATGATCGGGCATCCAGCAACAATACAGAGTTGGCTCCAGGAGTTCTGTTGAGGGAAGATTTTCTGGATCAGTGACTAGAGTTGACAGTCAATAACGGAAGTTTGCATAGGGCCGAGGCTGTTCAGACATTAAGGTCGATTGAACAAATCCAACGATTTGATTCCAAAATTCGATCTGACATATGGCAATGATCTGGCGCTTTGCGGAAGCACGCGTAGTTTGATTGATTATGTGGCATTTATCTGCAATGATGGCATTTGAGGAGCCAGCCGCTGAGCCCCTGTGCCATGTGCCTGAATCTACAATAAACTTCTATGATATGTACGTGACTGCACATGTAATTTGACCCTGCACGTTGAATAATTTGTCATGTGCAAGAGCTGTACGTACAGCAACTAGTCTGCAAATATACATGGAGTAATGATGCACATCATTGCATATCGACGATCATGATGCAGGTCCTGCAATCCGACCCAAAGCCTCATCTACGTAGTGCTTGGCCTGCCAGTGAACGCCCTTATACTGCCTGAAAGCTCGAACCTAGCTCATGTTTTGCTCTAGCTGCTCTAAGTGCGATTGACATATACTCTTAAGGCTTAAATCGGATGCTGCAAGTGCATGGTTACGCTTGATGTTTAAAGGATGCTGCCCAGATAAATTGATTAAGTGAGGGTTGAGATTTCCTAGCTCAATAAAACATGTCGGATAGCAGCGTATTTCAAGTTCCCACATTCGCGGCAGATTGCAGCTTGAACTTCCCTTACCAGCTAATCCACGCGCTTTATTCTTTTAGTGCTGTGTAACAACGACATGAATCTTGCCCCAACTTCACATTTGCAATTAGGCGGATCTCCAAATTGCGCTGTCCACTATTAATTCAGCCTGCCGCCAAATTTCGAAGCATCGCATTTTGAACCATAACATGATGCATTCGCCTACCAAAGGTCCTCGAATCCTTCTTCCCCGTCACGATCCTCTTCCATGTTTTCAATCTGCGGTTGAAGCGCCTCGAGCTGCGCTTGCGACAACCGCCGCTGCACCGCCTCAAATAACATATGCCCGGTATAATCCTGCCCACCTTCTGACGCGTCTACCGCATACTGCTCGGCAAGTTTTTGCCGATCTATCACCTCGAAGGAGAATCCGTGCTCGGCGAAAAGTCGGGATGCAACTGCCTCAGGACTCCGCTCCTTGTCTGAGGGGAGTGCTGACGTGGGCAGCTGTCCTACCAAAATGGCGTGCGCGTGTGCCAGATCACCGATGTCAAGAAGCAAGTCGAGGAGAGCGCTCGGCGAAACGTCACAGCCCTGAAAGCAGACAGAGACCCGGACATGAAAGTCGGCTTTAGGTGCATTATCTTCGACCTCCTTTTGCCGTACAGAACCTCCCTTCGACTTGACAGTTGTGGTGATTCGAATGAGAATTGAAAAGGGCTTAAACCTTTCAAGATAAGCGACAAGGTTCCAGCATGATACACACAGAGTTCTGCTGGAAGCAAAATGTTGAAGACCGCCACCTGACAGCAGGTCGAACGAGGGGCCTAACATAACAATGGATGCGGATAAGGCTTTGTCGACAGCCATCTCAGTTGGCCTTCGGCGTGCTCGTCGACGCTTTGTGGCAGGATGCTCACTGTCAAACTGGCCGGCATCATTGCAACGACAGACGGCTTCTCGCTGAGATGCTGAGCAATTCAGACGGCATTTCGTACTGAATCGATGGCGCTATAAATTGCCTCTTTGGAAAACTGCCAAGAAGAACAACATCCGAAAAGCAGAAAGTCTAAGTGTAGAAGCTCCCGCATGTGCTTGCTGCCATCCGTGAAAGCAAGGCTTTGCGGACTACGCAAACGATCCCACAATTCACAATATAAATAAAAAATCAGCTTCTTTTCCCCTGCATAATCCAACCATCGAAACTCGACCTCACCTCACATCTTTAGGGCCGACGGTTAAGCTTAACCAACCTGCAGGACCCACACGCTCGGCTTCGTCCCCTGGTACGCTCTCCTCGTCAGCTGCTTGGCCCAGTGCTCGCCCCCGGCCTCCCAGTCCGCCTCTACTCGTACTAGCATTCTACCCCGGGGGACATTCACACCAGCGGCTGCCCTAGCAAAAAGGAAACAAGATTGGACTCGTCATTGGACTGAAATCGTTTGAATGTGCTGTTGCATTGGAGGCACTCGGTAGTTCTATTCTTTTGTGTCATACTTTGACGTGCCCCGTGGGACACTCACACCAGCGGCTGCCCTAGAAGAAGGAGCGAAAGTTGTGGCAGTCAAAAAAGAGAGGTCATTCAGGCGCGCTGTTGCCTCAATCGCGACCAGAAAGTCTTTTCAGCCCGTGGCCATACTTCTGCACAGCTTTAGAGGACGCGCAGACTTCGCGCCGACAAACTGCAGAGATTGTTCGTCGAAAGTCGCTCGAAACAGTCACCAAGACTGTCTCAGGAAGTTGATTGATACGTTTGGCAGCTTTGACATAAAGGCTGAAGGCCTTTCCTGATGTACGACGGTGCTAATCTGGATTACGACTCGGCCTGGCGACAGAAATGGCGTAAGTAAACAGACCCCGACTTGCCGACATGGGAGGTGGTTGCTGGCGACGTTCGCTTGTGGTTGCACAAGGTTCAAGAGTGCTACACAAATCCTCAAACGAAGGATTCGTGGCATCAACTACTAGCATCAAACGAAGGCATTTGCACGACTCGAGCGACTTAATCTCGGGAACCGAAACATATCAATGGCTCACCTTTAGCAAGCGCCTGAGCTTGGGACAGGGCGGCAGCGGGCGCCACTTCGAAGAAAACAGTGCTGGCAGGCCAACGCAACCGGTAGGGCCGCGTCTCGGCTCCGCTCGACAGGAAAACAACCTGCAATCAGGAAGTAGACATAGTATGTTGTTTCTCAAGTAGCATCTGCGCTGAGGGTTCGAGTATTTTGTGATAGATGATGATGAGTCGGATGTGTCAGAAGGAATTGCTCCGTGGTTACTCCAAGGCGCGTTTAAATTCGGGGCTGCCTATAAAGAAGGCATAACAGCAAAGAGGAACTTTCACCTATCCGAAGAATGACTACGTCAGTTTCTTACAGTGCATTCCAGTGGACTCCTTTTCGAAATTTCAGTTGCGAAACCTGTCTTTCAGTGCACGATATAACCTTTCGAATTTTCAGTCGCGAAACCTGTCTTTCAGTGCACGATATAACTGGAAGCATCAAAGAAGCATCACGTTCAACGAAGAGCATGTCTACAGAAGCATTCCCTTGCCTGCTTCACGTTGAGAGCTTCGTTTTCCACTGTCGCCAGCAGTGTGTCATCAACGTAACGGGTAGCCAGAGCATTCGCCATTTGCTCTTCCGATCGGAGAGCGCCGACGCTTTCTCGACCCTCTAGCCTCGGCCCACGTGCTTCCAGCAGTGGCCCGGCTATGGTATCTTGATACAGGGCATCTGCATGCAACCATACAAGTCAATCTGCAAGATTCTCCGATTGACTAGCCTTCCATACGATTCTGGTGCAAAGGAACGAATTCGTCGAGGCTGACTTGAAGCAAACAGTCTCAATCCCTTCACATTCGTATCAGGCACTCTGGCCATAACACAGGCCTGCCTGTGTCCTTATCAAGCCACGAGCAGATTCTGAGGCAAGCTTCACAAGCCCATATGTGAAATATAGACTGTCCAGTCTTGGCAATTACAACCCCCCGTTCGAAATTCAGTTGGATTGAGCCAGAGGCGTAACAACATACAATCTCATCAAGCCCCAGATTAACATAGTCATCAGCACTCATCACCTCACAGAAACCTCTTAGCTCACCTGGTCGCCGGCTCTCTTCCGCCTGCTGTTGCAACACCCTTTCTGCTCGGATCCATTCGTGACTCAGCTTCTTCTGGTTCAAAGCCCCTTCCACCAGCTTCTTTTGGTTGGAAGCCCCTTCCACCTCTTCTCCTGTTGAATGTGCAGTCACTTTTCCAGTTCGCCAAGGAGTAAATCTTACGAAGTTGCACTTCTTAAGGGCTTCCCCACTGAAAGGGCCTGGCCTGTCGCAAATGATCTGACCGGCTGAAAAACTCGTAACTTGACTACTTAATAGGCGGCACTTTGCCCTTGTTCTGCATAGGAGTTTTCTTTGAAGGCCTGTGGTCGTTAAAGAAGAATGTAATGTGACCTGACCGGGGTGTGTTTCCTGTCTCCTCAAGGCCAGCACAGACTCTATTCTCAAAGCACTCCTAGCTCCTGAGCGACTCATTCTCTTGTTATCTGAAGCTCCCAATCAATGATGCTGCTCGACATCAATATGATGTCCACGTTCCAGATGTCAAAGCGTATAAAGGCAGCCCACTTCTGCTTATTTGGCAGCACCGTCGCGGATGAGTCCACCAGTTGCGCGTTGTATGAAGCCCCACTGACATCAACTATTAAGACATCAAAACCTCACTCCCTTTTCCCAGCATCAGTCTGCCCTAGCCGCACCACCTCACATCTGCGACTAGGCAAGAGCCAGCATGCTGACATTCGCTTGCAAGGTTCCCCAGCAAAGAAAGCACTGCTCAGTGCTCAACTTCAAGCCTCAAGCCTTACATCAATGCATCCGGGCAGGCAGCATTGCACGAAATCGAGAAATTTATGGAAGTCTCAGAGCTCGCAGCAAGGCCGTGCGCAATCACAATCCATGGTTTAGAATCGACATGCTTTGCCCCGGTGTGCACACAAGTATGAGCCGTGTTCTTTAGCTGGAAAGGCCCTGTACAGGATAGGTCGAAGATTAATAAAATTTTTGTGCATTTTGCCAAGTATACATTGGCTCGTCACTGCATGTGAAGACAGCTCGAGGGCCCCGCCTTCCCAGGCTTCCGAGCAGACAACTTGAAGTTGAAGTTGCAATTGGCAAAGGCAAAGGCGCTACCAGCATTGCTAAGCCATTTGGGTGGAAGCCTGACCCAGAAGCCGTTGGCCATTGTCGTGACCTCTTTGCTGGCTTTGTTTGTCATCACACTTGGGTTTCAGGAGCGCCGCTCGGGCAATTGCGTAGATTGCCCCAGCAAAGCTGCGATGGCTTCCAGCACCGGCGACCCCTCTTCAGAGACGGAGCAATTGTTGGCAGAGCTTAACGCTTTGCTTGTAGAGTCAAAGGAGGAAGTGGCGCGGATTGCAGCTTCAGCAGAGAAGGGGAACAAGCTTTCGCGGCAGAATGCAAAAGTGCAGGATAACATGGCAGCAATGAGGAGCAAAACACGGGACCTGGAAATCCTGGCTGAAGAAGTAGATAGGTGAGCGTGGAAGAGCTGAGTCTCTTACAGGTTATATGCCTCTTGCAGCTCTTGAGGTTGAAGTTTGTTGTCTATGTTGAAAAGCACTGACTAGCTGGCTGGCTAGTAAAATTGTGGATTCAAACTCCGATGCTGAAGTCTCTAATGCTTGCCACTGTTTGCATTCATAAAAGACTCAGTCACGACGAAAGCAGCACTGTGCGTAGAAAGTGGTGGGTGTAACAAACGAAGGTTTTCGAAGTTTTTGGAGCTCCTTTCTACGTTAGCGGCCACCTGTTGGCAGCCCCACTTAGTGACGACCCTTGCATTTCTCAGCTTTGTAATATGTTCTGCCCCGAATTATTATGTTCAAACTTCCAGCCTCTTGTGCAGGCCACATATCTTTGAACAACACATCTTTCTGATTGCAGTGAATCAGAGGCGGAGCAGCTTACCCAAAAGGCCGTTGAATACAAGAAGGAGCATGATAGGTAAGTCAAGTCAGGGGGGGCAATGTGTACCTACTACCGAAAAGTAATTCTCATATGTGCATCTGGAAATCCTGCCCTTTCTGGGAAAAGGGGATATGTTCTTCTTGTTCCAGGCGAACCTTCTCGTACTTCGAGCATATCTGACTTCAATGAAAGTGTCCTTTTGCTTCTAAGATACAAAGCTGGAGCTGGAGTCCACCTGTGCAAAATATACCACCACCTTTGTTTTTGTTGCTTTACGCAATTTTCCCCTATTGTTTTCCTGCAGATTGCGAGTGTCTCTAAGGGAAGCAAACCTGGCGGCAAAGGCGAACCTGGAGAAGGCCGCAAGGGAGGAGGTGGGTGTGAGCTGGCTTCAGAACGAGTTGACCTCCTTCGTAACAGTCTGGCACTTATAGTCCGGTATAGACTGTTCTTGTCAAAGCGAACGCAGCAATGTCTAACTTTCATCACATGTTGGAAGCAAGTGAAGCAAAGTTGCACTGGGCTCGGATTTGGCTTCCATCAGGAGCAAGGGATCTAACCAATCGTGTGAGACATGCTTCGAATTGTTTGACGAGACCCCACCCGGAGCATAATACTTCGCAAAACACCAACATCGTTTTGAAACGCAAATCGTGTATGCTTGTTGGGGCTTGTCAAGGGAAAGTTCCTGAAAGTATTTCGTGGTTCCAGAATGATTTCGTCCTCTGCTTAAATTACATCTGGCTCCGGCGCGGTTTGAAGTTGCTTTTGACGTCAACATGCTGATTGTCTTCTGCAGAGGGAGCTGCTGTTTGCTGGGGGCGAGAAGGCGGCACAAAGACGAAAAGAATTGCAGTAAGCCCAACCTTCTTATCAAGCTGTTGAAGTTGTCTGCTGCTTAACCTCCCTAGATTCTCGAGTCAACCACAACTTATGCATCCGACTCGAGGGCCGAAAATACTATCGTGACTGCAGGCTTCGATCCCTTGCAACCGCTCCCACTGCTTAGAGTGTACATACATTCTGTTACTAGAGAAATCACGTGCCTCGTCAAGTTGTTCATGGCGTCTGCTATCGTATTCCCCTTCATTTCATGCCAAAACCTGAACATCCCACCCGCTTGGCACGTGGGGCCCCTACTTCGAACAACTCCAGCGCCCAACAGGAAAAGACTCCCCTCAATCCGTTTCAACTTGTTCTTACGCTCTTCAATGAAGAATTTGCAGTTGACAAATCTTTCAGCGCTTCGTGCTCCTTGTGCAGGACGCAAGCGGACCTAGCCTTTTCGTCTGAGAGCGTGACCGAGAGCTTACGGCGCACGCGGCAGCTTATGGCCCAGGAAGTCGAACACCAAACCAGCACGCTCGCCACCATGGGTGAGTCTCGAAAATCCTGTCTCTGGGTGTAGTTTTTGTTTCCAGATTTGGGTTTGAGTTCGTTGTTGTACGACGGTATTGCAGCTGTCTGTCCGTGCGCCCCTCTGAGCTTTGGAGCAGAAGCAAAATTCTGTGAGGGCACGGACTGAAGACTGAAAGAGCGGTCGGAATCCGCGGAGCATGGAGTGAAAGTGTTGCATACTGGTCGTGATTCTGAGGTGGACTTCTGCAGCGACTGCAATCGAAAACGACCGCGATGTTTGGTTGAGTTGGATCGGTGGGGAAGCGGTGGATCGCTTGAGTTTCTTTTCTAGCTCTTTCAATCCAACTTGTGTGGCGTCTCCAGTTGCTCGACAACCTGCCATCTGCTGAAAATGGCATTGGACCCACCACAAGGCCGACCTCGTCTGCATCATGTAGTCCCACTTTCCAGCCCGCCAAAAAATACAATAGAAGTGGGGCCTCAATCCTCTTCTCTGTTTGTAATCAAAACGCGGTCGTTTGAAACTTCCCATACCACCGACTTTCGCTGGAGGCGTCCGCTTGTGAGGACCACTTTTAACTCCGAGATAAGTCAGTTGCAAAAATGTTTCGAGTCTCGTTTGAGGTTGCAAATCGCGCTCAGGCACCTCCCAAAAACGTCGAGGTAAAATCTCGGTGTATTGCCCCGAGGTAGCGTCAAATCATACGCACTTCACTCTTGTAGCATCTCGTATGGCCCTAATCCCATCGATTATGTCCGGCTGCAGTGGAGTCCGGCAGCACGCTCAAGAAAGCGGAGGAAGAGTTCACGGGGCAGCGGTCCCTTTTCTCCTCCACCCGGAGACTGCTTTCTCAACTGGAGTCCCAGGGCACGCTCGACCGGTCAGTTTTTTCCCACCCAAGTTACTCTAAAGGTGTGATCTTCGCCTGGGCCAATCTTTAGCCCTGTAAAGAACGGGAGGCCATTCGAAAGGGACGTGTGGCAACCGTGAAAATGCGACGATGGTGCAAGTATTGGGGAGTGCTTCGATGTCGCCGGGACACAGAACGCCATTGCCCATGTTTGATGACAGAGTACTGGCAACGCAGTCTTGAAGTGGCTTGACCACATCAATCCGGTTACCTTGACTAGGTTCTAACCGGTATCAGACCTTTCCGTGTGCAGGATAATCATCTGGCTGGGCTGCACCTTGTTCCTCTTGGCTTGCTTTTGGGTGGTTAGCAGACGGCTAGGCATGGCCCGCTTCGCGCAGATGGTGTTTAGAGGGACCGTGAACGCGACACGTCAGCTCTCCGCCCCGCAAAGCTTGGAGGCTCCGGTGGAGCCGAGTGTCCACGTGGAACTTTGACAGCTTAAGGTTTCGTCCAGAGTAAAATCAGTGCCGCAACATGTACAAATCGAAATGCTGACTCCTACGCAAAGTCATCGCAGTTTGGCGCTAGCTTCAACATACTCCAATCTCGATCTGAGCATGCATATTTTGTCAGTCAGCGGCAGGCCCGGTTGGCAGGCGCTTATATAGCCGGCGTGCACGCGGCGATCGGATCGACCCGGTCCGCATATATCGATCATGCCATGTTCAATTAATACCTATATAAGTTGTAGCATGTGTATATCATACACGTACATTGATGGCCCAAGTGCAGTTAACCCGACTTAAACAGAGTATCAGCTCCAGCTCTATAGTCATTGTGTTAGTACCCATGCAAAACTCTTTATTCCATGATGCACTGCAAGTCACGCGGCCTGTGTAAACACAATCGATCCGGGACTGATTGCAGTGCAATAATGGAGTACTGTTCATCGAATAGACTGCGCTCAACTCACAAAAAAGTAGACAACCACTTGTGAGCTTACGGTAAGATTGGCCGAATCGACGCAAATCATCCATTCAAATTTTCAAAGGCAATTTCGACTGCGAGCAGGACAAAGAAACTGTTCTGGACAGAAAACACGGCTAGCGTCTGCCGTTCTTTGGAGGGGTTTCGCGAAGTGGCATATCCAAACCAATAACTGCAAGGCAGCACCCGCTAGCTGTCTCCTCCAGCCTCTTGCCGCCTGTAGGGAATGAATCTGTGGTCCTTTGCCGCATTCTTCTTGCGCCGCTTCGCAAGGAACGCATCCAACTTGCCGGCGGCCTTGAGCTCCTTGTACTTCTCCACCAGCTCCTCCTTCCGCTTGTCCGCTGCACGTGCAACGGAAGGAACAGAGTGAGCTGCCTGACACCAGCAATCAGCCACCTCAATGCCGAGACGCGGACCCGACATCAATCCCAGACCCCTTATGCTCATGACAAAGCCGGCTTTGGGCGTCACACCCCATTCGATTCACCGGCCTTGCCCCGATGTCTTTGTATTGGGAAAGCTTGATCTGAATCCGACCACCATTATGCAGATCGGTATTCCTGACACCCCAAGAGCTATGAAGCGCATCTGCTTTCGGCAAACCAATGGTATTGATATATCTGCGAAGTGTAGGGCGCTAGTGACTAGAAAGCCTCGATCGCTGAGTTTTGTCAAAGGCAAGAAAGCCCCAAAACGAACCTGAACCATCTCTATCGAGACAGAAAAAGTAAAGATAGGCGCGACATCCAAGATTACGTGTTATTTTCAACGGCCGGGTGTCCCCACGCTCCTCGAAAGCACACTAGCTGAGTTCAGAGGGTATGGCGCCCTTGCTCTTAGAGCCAGAATCTTCTTCAGGATGACAACTTGACCCTTCAATCCGCGAAGTTTCACCCCACCAAGAGGAGTCAGACGCCTTCAATGAAGTCTTTCCTGTTCCCCCGCCTTTCCATCTTAACTCTGGTCAAGTCTTGAGCACTCAAAACAAGCCCAAACGCAGGACAAATAAAATGATCACAGAAGGTGATCCTGGATTAGAGCAAGTGCAGAAGCGGCAACTGCGGAACTCACCTGCTTTCAGGAAGAACGGCTTTTTGCCCTGTTTGATGGCGTCCTTCGCCTTCCGTTTTCGCTCCGTCTCCCGCTCTGCCTGCTGCCGCCGTCGCGCCTCGTCCTTTATTTGCGCCTCCTGAAAGGCGAAAGTGCCCCAAAGTGTTAGTTGTCTCCAGAATCGGAGCAACCGTTGATGTCGGAACTCAGCAAAGGCAAGGACATCATGTGGATACCACTGCAAGTTGTGCGAAGAAGGTTGAGGAAATACAGGCTCCCTCGAACAAGTTGCTCGTTTCGAACCGAAAAAAGTCGAGTCGGAAACTCTCCTCAGAAACGAGTTCGACAAAGGAGCGGCCCACAGAATAGAATGCCTTGGGACACACCGGCACACAGGGCAGCCCTTGACCAAAGACATGATGCGAGAAGCATACAACTGCAAGCCTCCGATCACGAAAATGGACAAGAAAGGAAGTGATGCAAAGCTTCTCGAGGAGGTCGCTTACAATCTTGGCGAGCTGTTGCTGCAGCTCGTGTTTCCGGTCGGGGTTCCGCTCCTTCTTGACCAGCTTCTTGAGCCTCTGCAAAACAACCCACCGAGTCGATGCCGAGCAGAATGTTTTGCATGTTGCATGTTGATTCTTGTTGTTCGGTAATTATGGCAAGGACGGCCGTGAGGGCAAACAGTTTGGACAGTCCATAATTGTAACCGAAGAGAATTTTTTATGTTCTTACCTTTTTTAATTGTTGTAATTTGGATGGGAATTTATCCTCACATATTTCTTGACACCGCTGTACGGAATGGCAGGCTGCCCACACTTGACCGCTATGACTTCCTTTTTCATTTATTTCTCGTTGGTTGGAAACACTCCCGAAGTATAGCTGGGATACTCGTCGCGACCTCTTCGAATCGGCAGCGCAATGCAATTCCCGTGAGTCCTTCCGTTTGGCAACGGCCTCCAGTTTGCACCGGAAGCTTCTCGGGACCGCTGGCGAAACCAGCAATCCTTATGCCTCCGAAAGGGTAGAACTTTCACCAGTCCTCATGAGGTCCATTTAACGGACTGATCAGAGGCCCATTCCTACAAGAGTCTGGCAGACAATGTGGTGGCAAAACATGATGGCGTCGCAGTGTTCGAGATGAGATGGAGCCGTTCAGTTCTTCCAATCGCAACTGTCATATTTCAGCACAGAACACAATGATTTCTTTCAACCTTTCAACACCTCCCCACTCCCTTCCCCTATTCTCTCCCCTTCCTACAAAACCACTCGCTTCGCCCCTCTTCTCCCCTTCCCTTTCTCCGCTTATCCATCGCCCAATCTGTACCTCTTTAGCTCCAAATGTCTGCACGTTCACTCACCTGCCGCTCCACCGGCAGCTGCTCATCGTAGATAAACCGGTAACTCTCCTTGAAGGCCTTCTCATCGAACTTCCCTGTAAGCGACTCAAATCGGGGGTCCCTGATAACCTGCAGACCTCCGAAACCACGTGAGTCTTTCCAACAACAGACGATAAAGGACGGGACTCCAATCCCGAATCATGTGAACCCATATGAGTCGCGATCTTTCACAATCAGGACTATACTGAAAAGCAACATAGCAACGTTTTGCTGACAGTTTAGCTGCCAAATCTCGCTTTTCTCCGAGCGAGAATTGGACTTGTGCAGACGAGTAGTGCTGCGCTGACAATGCACAACCAGTATCCTGCTTCATGAGAATGATGCACCGGACCAAAAATCGTAGCCTTCATCCGCGAAAAATAGTCAACCCTGCAGATTATGAGGGGAATCTGATGATAAGAAAGAGCGCTGACCTTTTTGGCAGTGCTAACGACCTCCCTAAACCGCGGCACTTGACGCTTGGCGGGCAGTTCCCGCGGCCTGCATTGGAGCCGTCGGAGAGCTATGAGATCCAGGAACAAAAGTACAAACTCAGATAAAGAGGCCAGTGATGCGAAGTCCATTGGGACTTTTGGAACCGCTCTCAAAGGGGGAAACTAAAGAAAGCAGGCCAAGGAAGAGCAGATGATTCAGAGTGGCTACAAAGGATGCGGCCAGCCAAGAGAGCCTGAACGATTTAGTGGCTGACCAGCTTCCGCTTGGAAAGAGCAGAGTGCATGAGTTGAAGGGAGCAACGGGAGCCAAGACTGAGAGGAGAGAGGTCTGGGAAGGGGCAGCTTGGGCCAAGGGCAGTTCGCTGGAGCTGGCGATGATGTAAGACAGACGGACAGTCCTCTGGAAAACTCAACCGTTGCCCTTCTAAAGTCCAAGAGGGACGCAGGTCCAACAGAGTGGTGGTGCAATGCCAAAAGATATTTGTGCGGCATGCAGAGGCCCATCACTTTCACTTCAACTTCTGAAAAATCCAGCTGGCAACGTGCCTTCACGGAGACCACAATAAGCTTTGGAATCTGGCCTGGTGTGAAAGTCCATGTTCACGAAACAGATATGCATAATTATTGTACCGTACAGGATGCAGTAGTCCCACAAATTACCCTCGAGGAAAAAAGGCCAAACGTTGATAGTCCGCACCCTTTCATCAATCGGATCAAACCTTTGCAGAGGTCAGTAGATCTGAAGGTCTGGACCATTCTTTTGGAACTATATTCTGCGATGCCACCACCATTGGACTTTCAAAAGTAATGAATGTCAAGCAGAGCACACATTTTCCTTCGGCAACGAACCGGATTCTAATAATAGCACCTTCCAATGCCCCCACACCACCGTCGGCAATGCCTATTCACCACCCCTCATCAAAGCACCGCACCGCTCACCTATTCTTATTAGCCCGTTTCAAGCGCTCCGCTTGTTTTGATCTACCGGGCAGTTTCACCGTGCCTCGCCCATCGCCCTTCATCGCCGTCAGCTCCTCAAAAGGAACATCTGCCACTTGGGCAGCGAGCATTTCCTGCATGTGTCCTCATTGCATCAGCGCCAGGTTGATGATGAAAGTGGTAAAAAGAAACTTGTTGAAAAACCAATGGGTAATCCAATACCAACAGGTAAACACCCCCTCAGGTGCTACTAGCACAAGTTACAAGAGTTACAACTATTTCTCTGTCCAAGCAAAATCACGCAGGTATGGGCTGTCCAAAAAGCACACCAAAATGCGTAACCCTAATTTGGCTTCTCAGGCGCTCACCTCTTCCGACTGGTCAGAGTCGCTGCTATCGCTCGTTGAACCATCCAAATCGTCATCATCCGCTGCCTCCCTATGCTTCCGAGCCCCCACGAACTTCGTTGTTCGCGTTTCGGGTTCATCGTCACTGGATGAAACGTCCATTCCTTTGCTTCTTCTCGAACGGGGCAGCTTGTCCGTATGGTAATAGTAGATGCCTTTAAAGCTCCACCTTACCAGCAACGTGTGCAGCCAGGGATTGAATCAGACCGCAGAGCACAAGTCAATGGCGGCCCACAACGCGCACAACCACCACTGAACTTCCAACTTCTAAGGCAGACACAATCTTGAGCATCCTGAATCCTGATTCTTCCCCACTACCCATGTAGCATGTACCTAGTCTATAGCACAGCACGGGGGAGGTTCGTGACTACAAATCATTGCAAGCCACGAAAAGTCGGACAATATCAAGCTGGATATTCGATCGACGGTCAAGTTTGAACAGGCACGGGGGACGAACGGCCGATGCTGGAAAGGCCCATGCTGAGGTGGAAAGTGCATTCAGCAGCGCTCAATTCGTGCTGGTCACTGATCATGTACCCTGGCTGTGTGTCAAGAGCTGCTGGTTGTTTTTACCCTAAGGTTTTTGACACTTCCCTTACAGATGCAGCAGCTGGGCAACAAGACGCGCCGCTGAAGATTTTGAAATCGACGTGGCAAGGGTTGTTTGATTCGTGGCCGGCTTGTTTGTGGCACTGGCCCGCTGTTCGCAGACAATGCACGAAATGTGATCTTTCATCTGGTCAAGTCTGCTTTGCTTGATCCGTTTGGTCGTTGGTGCGGCTCCTCCTGGCAAGCATTCATCACATAGGTCCTACCTCAAGGTGCTTGCAGGAGGGATTCATTTCGCTTCCTTCCGCGTCCAATGTTCTTCTGAAGCATTTTGCCGTCAGCAGAAATATGTGCACAACCTTTGATGCGCCGTCCAGACACTGAGAATCGGTGGGGAGGTCTTTACCTTACCAGAAGGACTTTGTTGCCGCGATCCTCATGTGCATTACTTGCAGCATAGAATTTGGGCGGAACCTGTTTCTCTGAACCCCAGCAACTATTACGTTTGTTGTAAAGGTCCTTTCAGGAAGGTCTTGTCAAAGAGTCCATCTGCTGAGCACGAAGCGAGCTCTGAGGTGAACTAAGGGCGGTGTGTCATGGAGGCCTGCACTCAGCGGCTCGTCTCCCCAGGCCACTTGGGCACGTTAACCAGGAGGGTTAGCAGCGGCTTGTCCCACCTAAACTACAGCGCCTTTCTGCCTACAATTCCTTACCATCTCAGAAGCAGTCGTCCGGCCCATCCCCTTCGGAAGCCGATGTGCATCACTTCCGTTTTAGCCCGTGAACCTGCGTCTCAATCAAGGCAGGGGGAGTTGCAGTCGAACCCTCTCTTCTGGTCAGACAGCCCCTTCCAAGAAGCAGAACGTCCTGCTTTAGAACCAGCCCAAAAGACCCCCGCAGCGCTTACCTCGGTGGACCTCATTCTGAACAAACACGAAGCCACAGCTGCACTAGAGCAAGTCCTCCAACTGCCCGACCCTCTTCCCCAAAGTACCGCTAGAACCGCTCCCCTAATAACGCACCATTATGCAGACGTTTTTCACGGTGCGACGAAGCTGCGCGTCAACAGCGACGGCTCTCTCGAGCTGTACCGAAGCAAGGAAGGACAGGAGCTCTTTGTCGCCTCGGGGCGGGTACAGCTGCCAAAAAGTGCGGCCGCCGTTTGGACAGCCGAGGTGCTTTCGGACGGCGCAATGGACGTTCGGTGGGGAGAGATTGGCACTCTGAGAGTGGTCCCCGTCGGCGCTGAGGTGGCGGGCGCGGCCAATCAAGAAGCGGGCTGGGCGGCGGTGAGCTAGCGTCCTAATTAAGCCCGCTCTAGTTTCTTATCTGCCGTAGCTTGTCATGCTCGAAAGTGACTGCTCTTGATGTTCTGGTCAACGGGCGCTTTTTATAGTGCTAGAATTCATGTTTTCTCTAGAGTAGTTGTGGTTCGTTGTTCGTCGGGCACTTTACAGGGCTGCATTATGGCGCTTTGGTTACTTGATTGAGAGTTGCTGGCTGGTCTCCGGGGATTATGTCACTTGGAGTTTGTGTCTTCGTTGTCAGCATTCAGATTGGGCTTGATGATTTTGGATCGCATCGAAGAAATGCACAAGGTCAATCGCAGGGGTGGGCATCTCCAGTCTTCTGTTTTGATTTCGTAGCCTCGCTCTTTAATGCAGCGAATCACAGAGGCGCCGTTTTTGGCACCTCCTTACTCTGCGCTTTTCGGCACATTAGCGACTGAGCAGAGTGGTCAATGTGAAGAGTTGTTTTGTTGCGCTTGCATATTGCATCCGTTCTCCAAGTCTGTGTCCAAGCAAGGCTGCCAGAGAGCTCTGCATTGCAGAGAAAAATGCCTTTTTAAAACACCATTTCATAGAAGTAATCCTCAAAGTGCCGGCGCTTATTCTGTGTACTGTTCTCAGCATCTATCGCCGCCAGTCTGCCAGATAAACCTGTGCAAAGATGGTGGAAGATTTTTCTCTTCCTGTGAGAGAAAGTGGAAACTCCTGCTTGTTTTCCAGCACCTGCGAGCGCAACGCCAAATCTGAGGGCCAAGCCAACGTGCCCTTCATCAGACTGTCAGATTGAATCGCAAGTGTCCGTTCCATTCACGCAGGTTTACCCCTCGCTTATCTGCCCCTTTTTCCCCCCCCAGGACTTAGAAGAGGGCTTTGTCCTGGAATGGAGTGTCAAGAACGAGCCCAGCACCGACCACATGGCGGAAGTGACACTAGATATGCACACGGCGGGCCACTGGTTTGGGGGGGGGCATTTCATGCGGCAGCACTGGCCCCTGAACCTGGGCGCCTTCGAAGTCGGGCCGTTCTTTCCGTTCGACAACGGGCCGAACGGGCTCAACACGCTGACGTCACCTCATTGGGTCACCAGGTAAGAGGATGGAGGCTTGCGTCTAAACCCGGCGTAGAACTATCGTGGCTTGGGTAATTGTAGGATCAATAAGAAGCAGATGAAATTGTGAGTTCCTCGAGAGTTTCCACCAATGTTCATCTGCCCGAGGTTGGATGTGGCCACGATTTGAGCACCTCAAAACGGGCCCCCAAAACCATGTTCAGGAGCGGAAAACGAAAGGTTACAGGCTAACTTCCTACAGGATCTACTCAGTTTTCTTAGGTACAAATTCTGGATTCCCAGTATCTGTAAATTTCTCTCTTTTCCCAACTGAAGGCTTCGTTCGACTGTACTCAACTACAACATCCGATAACCTCCACCCAAGCTAAGTCCCCACTGCCCCCTTGTCTGCAGCAAGGGCCTGCTCGTCCTCGCAGACTCCGAGACCCCCTTCCTGCACGTGGGCATGAACGCCCCACTGTCCGGCGAGCATGGCGACTGGATCGAGCGCGTATGGGGCGTCGGAGTCCAAAACCTCTCGCGCGAGTACCTCCCGTCCCCCTGCCAAGGCCATGGCGACGGACTCCTCCGAATCCAGGCGCGAAACTCGTACAAGTGTCACAAGATGCTGCACCCGCTGAGAGATTGGATTCCGCCTCAGTGGAGAGACGAGGAGCGGAGCGGCGGGGGGAGGTTGAGCGTCAAGTTTGCGCTGTGCGCGCATAAGAACGTGCGGGACGCGACGCTCGCGAGTCTGAAGACGATGAAGAAGCCGCCGAACCCGCCCCCCCAGGAGATGGTGCGCGCGCCGATATGGACGACGTGGGCGCGGTATCATGCCAAGGTGAGAAGTGAAGGTTAGATCAGGGAGATCTGTCTGCGCTAGAAAATGTGCGACAATCTCAAACGGACAGATGCTCAGGAGTTGGGTTCACGCTTCGGAAAATGGATACAGGCGGGGTGGAGAAGCAAAAACTTGATCAGAAAACTTTATCTGCACCACCGATCAAGGTACTGTTCAAGCAGACGATTTGACAGGAGTTGGGCTGACGGCTACAGGTCGGCAGTAGTAGTTTGTAAGATCTAATGGCTGTGCGCGATGCTGACACGCAGGACTATACGGTTGGTGCTGACAATTTTCTGAAGGAGAAGATTGATCATATAGTCAACACAGCTCGTTTGTTGATCGTTGGAAGAGGCGCGCATCAATTTGGTTGTCATCGCAGAAATTGACGTCCTAGACAATCCGTGGGGTGCTTGCCTTGACTGTGTGTACATACGTCTTTAGACCCTACGTTGAGAGCACCTTTTCACACTGCACGTTCAGCGCTACCATCTCAAAGAGAAGCTTGCCAGAGCTCATTGAAACGGAGCTCGTCTTTCCTCAACCTGGAGACGACTTTGAGCTGAGTCTGATTCGACCACTGTGTCCGTTGCCAGGTCACTCAGGAGAAGGTGGAGAAGTACGCGACCGAGATTGTGGCGCGCGATATGGACCGTTCGATCATGGAGATCGACGACCGGTGGCAGCGCAAATACGGCGACTTTGACTTCGACTCGGACAAGTTCCCAGACCCAAAGGTAAGCTTTACCGCTATCCCACCTCAGTTTGAATGTCTCTTCCTAAGTGCGAATGGAGAAGGAGAGGCTCTGCTGACTTTGGACACTTGACGCTGTCACAGTTGGAAAAAGTGTCTGAGGAATTTTTAGCAAAAACGATCCGTAAGCGTTTTGAGGCAACGCCTTAGTCGCATGAGGATATGTCCCTAAATAGTGTCATCACTACATTTCAATTAGCAAAGTGACCAAGGTTCCAGAAGCTTTACTCGAGGTAAGATCTTAAGCAGCAAGGTCATCAGCCGGGAAACGGAGCCTATGTGCAAAGTTGCACTGTAACAAAGCTAAAAGTAGGAGAGTTTTGACAACCAAGCCTTGAACAATTTCCTTAACCCCGCAGGCGATGGTGGATCATCTGCACGCGCTGGGCTTCAAGGTGACGCTCTGGATCATGCCGTTCGCCGAGGAGGACTCCAACGCCTACCGAGAAGGGGGCCCGCTGTAAGTGCGCCGCTGATGTCATCCAATAGCTCTGTGAAGTTATCGGGCGTTCTTGCGTGCTCTTGACCACTGTGGCTCGTTTTTCCGTGGCGCGTCTTTTTTGTGGAGTCCGGTTCTAGAATTAAACGTCAAATCGTTTGCCTCGTCAAATCTAGAAAGGAGTGAGGGATGGTTTGTGTAATATCTTATGAGAAGAAGCGGACAGATTTTGTCAGCTGAATCTGGAACGAGAAGCTTCGGTTTATCCTTACCGGTGAACCTTGGAAATGCTTTCTCGGCTCGTCGACGTTTCCTCTCTGATCGGGTTAACGACCCGTCGGATCGAGGGATTGCTTCTTCTGCACCTAAGCCGAATCAAGGGCCTTGCTTTTTCTCGACTTCAACTCTCCTCTACAACTATTGCAATCTTATCTTTGTTGACGCCAATAAAAACGGCCATAAGACGGGCCGCAACAGCTGGGGGAGTCGAAACCCAACTGCGAACCCACTACTGCAAACCTCTCCATTTAACTGTTTAGCCTCGTGAAGCACCAAGTTAGTCCCCTTCGTTATCACCTGACCCGCCCAACAACCTTCTTTTCCAGGGGTTACTTCATTTCCGCCGACGCCGTAACCAAGGGCCTCAAACCGGGTTTCTTCCGCTGGTGGCAACCCAAACCCGCGGTCGCCCTAGACGTCACAAACCCCGACGCGGTCCGGTGGTTTGTCCGGCGACTCAAGAAACTGCAGACCGATTATTCGATTGACGGGTTCAAGTTCGATGCGGGGGAGCCGTGCTTCTTACCGCCCATGTTCAAGACGTTCAAGCCCATCATGAGCCCGCTCGAGTATACGAGGTTATACGTCCAGGAGGTGGCGTCAGCATTCCCGCTTGCTGAGGTGAGCGTTGCAGTCTGGATTCATGTGAGCCATGCTTGTCGGAATCTCAGTATCTGGATAAAGAAGTCTCTTGACACTTGCTGATTGCAGCAGCGCCGAAATTCTCAAACGAGAGACTCTTAGAAGGGAAGCATCAGGATGCAAAGCATAAGGTGCGGGTCTTCTGCATTCTTTTGGCGTTCCTTTTCATTTGCATGTTGTTTCCAAAGCAGGGGACGGACCCTGGGCATTTACGATTCCCGTTTGTCGCCATCTGCTCTGCAGGGCGAGATGAGCCGGAAGTCCTTGAAAATGCGGCCATCATCTGTCTCTGTTGAATAGCCAATAAAAGGCCCCTCTTTTATGTGCTACAGGTGCGCACGGGCCATAAGACCACAAACGTGCCGCTGCTGACGCGGATGGGCGACCGCTTCTCCACATGGAGCTCCGGGAACGGCCTCCGGAGCGTCATCCCGACGCTGCTGACGTCAGGCCTGCTGGGATACCCCTTCTGCCTGCCGGATATGATCGGGGGGAACGCCTACTTCGGGCGGAAGCCAGGTGAGAAAGGGCACGTTTTGCAATGCGCCCTAAAGTGGAGAGTGATTGATTTTCGAGCAAAATGGAGTCTCCGAGAAAGAGCCCCGAATATGCTTTAAAAACGATTGAACTTGCAATGGGTTGCGTAAAATGTAATTAACAAGCATTACAAGAAAAGGCCTCTGGGATCCCTGCCGTGAACGCAGATACGGAAGAACAAAACACAAGTCTGCTTGCCTAGAAATCTCGAATTTATAATCGGCCCCGGTACATATCCATCGCGTTGCAGGAGGCGTTCTCCGGGTCCGAGACGCGTTGGGCCACCCGTGTTACCCGATGGGTGGCGATTGTACATTTAGAGCACAGTCGACGCACTTCTTACTCTAGTCCTCGGAGGCAAAACCTTCGTTGCCTTCCGTCCGCAAGCTAGCAACAACCTAGGTAATCAGTGTCCTGGGTGCTATTCGCGGCCGAAACTTCACACGTCCGCTAAGTACCGCCCCCCATGTGCAGATGTGGAGCTGCTGGTGCGATGGGCGCAAGCGAACGCGCTGATGCCGGCCATGCAGTTCTCCATCCCGCCCTGGGACCTGAGCAAGGAGGCGGATAAGCTATGCCAAGCGGCGCTGGCAGTAAGCCTTTTCCACCGCAAGGAGATTGACCTCTTTCCGTAGACTTCTTTTAATGAGAACAGAGGCTCCTCTTTCTCTACTGAAACTTTGCCGGGCTGCATCAGTCCCTCCTACGTCCGGGTTTTGCCTGATCGCGAAGTGCAGCTTTTTCTTCATTCCGGCCTTGCGACCAAGTTTCGAAGCCAGACTCCAGTGCAAAGGTTGAGTCAAGTAGCATTTGGTTCCGGAAAACGCAAGACTTTGTCAAGTCTCAGTGAAGACGCGCTTGACTGCTCATTCCTGATCATCTTGACGCACGACTTGCAGATCCGCAAGAACGTGCAGCAGCAGATCTCTACTCTAGCGGAGGATGCCTGCAAGAACCTGGCGCCCATCTGCCGGCCCATGTGGTGGATGGACCCGGAGGACGAGCAGGTGAGCGACACGTGTCACGTTCAACATCGGCCGTCAGCGGCCGTGACACGTGGCACCTCGTGGTGCGCCTTTGGAAGGAATCCATTGCGTATGGTGTTCGTGCATTCAATGTATTGATACAGGTCGCCCAGACGACGAAAGAGAGGAAGCTGTTGATCTGCTTTCCGTCCTGTTGCCTTTATGCAGACGCGTTGACAAAATGCGAAGGAAGCAGCGTGCTTCCTTACCGTCTACAAAGCAAGTGTCAGGTCCAGATCAGTTTCTTGCCTTATGCTAAGCGTTTCCCGGTCTTCTTTCGTGCAGACGTTCGTCATCAATGACCAGTACGCGATTGGCGATGACCTCATTGTAGCGCCGGTGGTAGTCAAGGGGCAGCAGAGTCGGGACGTATATCTGCCCAAGTGAGACCCGCTTGAGTGCACTCATACTCTTCCTGCACAATCTCATGTTCGGCTGATGTGGACTCCACGCTTCCTGATGCGCAAAATCGACTAGGGTATCTTGATTCGCAAAGCTGAAGCTCTCCGTTTATCCGGCCGACCGGGTTGCGCTTCCTAACCATTGGTAAACCCATGAAATCAGTAGAGGACCGCAAAAAATAAGTATTGGCCGTTTCTTTTTCCGTTTGTTCGGGCAATGCGCCCGCTGGCCCCACCGTTTGCAGGTGCATTCCTTCTGTTCATGTAGGCAGTTGCAAGCCGCTTTGTTGCAGTATAGTCTTGTGTGTTTGACTCGCACTCAGGAAATTGGCCTTGATTCCTTGACTCAATCCTAGCTGAGATCCAAAAATGACGCAGACCTGTAACACCCCTCGAAAAAAACTTTCATTTTAAATTGTTGAAACGAAACGAAGCGGTGCCTCTTTTTTGCAGAGGCCATTGGTGCGATTTATTGAACCCGGACGAGGTGTACGAGGGGGGGCAGTGGCTGCGGGACATTCCCACCCCCATCACGAAGCTGCCCATCTTCCGGAGGGTGACGTCACCTGCTGACGTGGCGGCGAAGGTGGGCGAGTCGGCCTTCCCATTGGACGGCTTGGCGAGCCAGCTGATCAGAGACATTAGCGTTCCCACCGAGATTCTGACAGCCGAGTAGAATAAGATGGGTCGAATTGACGTGACGCTTTCCCTACTGGGGGACGAGGGGATGGAGTAGTGACGAAAGGGGTTATTAGGCGTTCATTTTCTGGTCGGATAAGCGGCCATGTAAAGTGCACTGTGCATTAAATGGATCTATAAAATGTCGACGAATGTATGTTACCAGGAACACGATGATTGTTGATAGTGGGGGAACACTAGTGCTCTGAGAGCCCGTTATTAGATCTTTCTTCAGACTAAGTAAGCTAGGAGGCCATTCTTTGTAGGACGCTATTGTGTGCTGTAGGTAGTAGTCAATGGCATTGATTCTTATGTTCTGCGTCAAAAATTTGTGAATAATTTAGCCGGTATGTCCGGGACTAGCTGTTGCTTAGGGGACAACGACATTGATCGCATTGGAACTCTCCTTTTACAACGTTTGTCCAAGTTCACTTCGTGGCACCATGTTCGAAAATGTTTCACGGCCAATAATGGTGAGTTTACAAGTTTTACCGCCTTGATCTGCGGAAGTTTGGCAACTTTATATACCTGCATTCAGATGGTATCGCCTATCATTAGCTATGATCTCGGCCCGGCCAGGTAGCGATCGGGCGCTTGCGCTGTGGTCTTGCATGATCATTGCATTGATTGTGTGCGGTTCCACGCATGATCATAATCCATATGCCGGCATGGAAAACGCTTGGAGTGCTTCGTGCTGTGATTTGAGGGTCTCTGATCGCGACGCGGATTGCGAGTCCTTAATGCTCGCGACCGTCCGCGCACGGTTAGTGCAGTACGATATACCGTGGCCCCTTCTTTGATGGTAACGTGCGGACCTTGACGCGAAATGATGGGACCAAGCTGCTACGTTTAAGTCGTACTAATCATCTTCACGCCAACCTTTTGGAGGACTATTTACTTCAGTGGACGCCGCGTACCATGCCAGAGGGGACTTGCATCCCTAAGTTCTGCATAACCTTGTTTTTAACATAACCACCAAACCAGTTGCATGACCGATTACATGAACACAGTGGTTACGACCATATCTGCATGTGTCGCAGATCATCACAACGGGATGCTACCATACATTACATCTTATCGCCAGCATGTGAAAAGTGCACAGATATGAAAGTAATCCTTCCCGGCCGCACTTGAATACCCTCTTCATATGTGGGCTTTTTCGCTTTTCACTGGGCCCTTTGATTCTGAAGTCCAGGTAGACAGGCGATATGTCAACTTTTCCCTGGAAGGCCAGTTTCCTGCCGGATCTGTGCTGGCCCTACTGTCTCGAAGCGTTCACCTGCAATCATGCATGTATCCCAGCTCCAAAACAGACCCCTGCAGATGCCGTTAGCTTGATTGCGCCTGCTCAAGCCCTAAATTGTTCCTTGGCCGGCCTAGTATCCGGAAGGGGGCCACCAATCAAACCTTCACCAACTCCTGCGCGCTTTGGCAACCATAGCCTCTGCCCAAACTCTATGTGAACCATTGCCTGACTTGGCTGGATATGGATTCCGTTGGCTGCCGCAAGCTCCAATAGATTGACGTTTTCTTTTCGTGCAATGCTGAACAATGTGTCCCCTGGCTTTATTAAGTACGACTCCACCTGCATAGGACGTACGGGCATAGGCCGTTCGAGTCTTGAGCAGATGTAAACGGTTTCTAAGTTGGAGCACATGTGAGCTTCGGTTTCATTACTACGTAGGTTGAAGGTAGCCTACACTTTGAGCCTGGCCATTTGACGGAAGCATCTCGAATCTTCAGAAACTGAGACATGGTTTCCCAGAAGTTGAACAGCCTGATAGACTCTCGCTTTCATGACTCAGGTCTTACAAACGATACAGTGGATCAGAGATGGTGACTCGGCAATTTAAACCCCAATTCCAAAGTACAGGAAACAAGATCATCAGGGACTCGTTGACCCGTAAGCTTGAACTGCGCTGTCTCACCGGATCTTGCAGGAGATCTCTCTTTGAGGTCCACAGCAGGCTCCTTTTCTGGAAAACCTACCAGGAGTAGTGCTTCGTCTGACGTCACTGGCTCGAGTAGGCTCTACAAATCGCAGTTGAAACGTCCCAGCTTCCACCAGCTCAAGCGTGCGCCCCCGGAGGTACTTTTCGGTGAAAGCCTCTGAGGCAATCCTCACTACCGTTCTACCAGCAAGTGTCCCGATTCTTGTAGCTGCAAACAAAAGAGCAGACCCGAGCGCCAACTTCTTCAGAGTTTCCCAAGGAGGTGCCATTCAGCTTTTTCCCAGATAATGCTAGATGATCATCTGCATGTGATATTCTTGTTGCAAGGGATGAAAACAAATTCTGTTTTTTGTTTGCAGATTTGCAACAGAACAGCTAGTGCGTGCGGGCAACATCGCGCGACGATCCACGGCCGGCGCGGGCCCGCGCCGCCGCGCGCTTAGACTCAGTCGCGGCCGGCCGACGCCTCATGCAGGGTTTCTCCTTTCCCTTTCGGGTTTGTCACTAGTGGTCCGTACGTCCGATCGCGTGATCGGGCGGACCATTGAAGTCAAATCGAAGCTTCACTGTCAGTGGGCTGCATGTACGTTGTAAACCGTCCAGTTTTGCATCGGCGGTCTGCCGCGCGCCGCCTGGGCACCTGATTCCTGAAACCAGATCAGACCTTTAAATGCCCAACCTAGTTCCTAGCCGCTAGCGTCCAGCTTAGCTGCAGCATAAATCACAAGACAGCCTTCCAAACAAGCAGCACATCACAAGCATCATGCCGACGAGTCCTGGTTGCTTCTTTTGCTGGTTCTGACATGAAGGTCTTCTCGAAGAGAGACATTGATGGCCTTCTGGACTATGATGCATTGATCAATGCACTTAATGAAGCATTTGCCAGCGAGCATGGTGTCGAGGCTCCCGGACGACAGCATTACAAGCTTCCAGAAGGGTTGGAAACAGGGGGGGAAAGGGCCCTCCTTTTGATGCCAGCATGGGACCAAGCATGGGACAACCCGTCAGGTTAGTCGCTACAGTTGTGCAATAATATCTGAGTTGTGCCATGAGGGGTCTGGGATTCTTTTGAGCCAAGCTTCCAATCTTTTCAGTGATGGATTTCAGACCTGGTCTTCTGCCCCCAGCTTAAAGTTAAACGTTATGAAGTCAGACAGGGTAGTTTAATAGCAATACTTCGCTGGCGCACAGCGATAATTGATGGAAGTCACAAACGATGTGTTGCCAGCAAGCTGTTTTAGAATGTATGTTCCTCTCCTATCGCAACATAGTCGCCCTTTTTGCAACTTTCCTTCTAGTCCCGTTTCCCTCTGTCCAGACCCTCATTTATCTTAGTACTTCTGAAGGCCACCATCAAGACAGGTCACTGTAATTGTCCTGCTTGCTCCAGCCTGGTGGCTGGGGCATGGTCCCATATGCTGAATTGTGATGCGATTCAGTTTTGTGCTCCTCAAAAGGTCATCATACTAAAAGGATTGATGAACAGCCTTTGCTGGGCCGGATTTTATAACACAAGGTCTTGTGTCTTTCTCCTTGAAATTGTTTCTATCTCTGTTTTTGAACCTGAGGGTTGTCATTCATGTTAGGCCAGTAGGAAACTCTGTCACCACAAAAGATCCTACGGCGGACCGTTGTGGCCTATTTATTGTGCAAACTTTCAAGCACAACATAGCCCCTATGGCCTCAATTGATGGCAGATTGCGACGAATGTTTGGAAGCCTGAGAGCATTTCAGACATATGCACTAAATGCATCTACAGGAACGCCACTCCTGCAAGAACCATGATTTCATAATCGCTTGAGTTGCCCTTCTTGTGACCGGACGAATTCTCACACCAGGCACTGCAGTCCTTAGCTTGACACTCAATCCTTCCTCCACTCTCTGGCCAGGCAATGAGTCCTTCATTGGCGTCAAAACAGTGACAGTCTTCCCTGACAACTCCAAGAATGGCCTATCAGCAATCGCGGCCAGTTACTTGCTCCTTTCAGGCAACACCGGACAGCCCCTGGCTTGCATGGACGGGACTGCAATTACTCTCTGGCGCACTGCTTGCACATCCGCCCTCGCTGCCAGGTTCGTCTAACTCCTCTCTATACATCTCACTCCCGCTTCACTTCTGACTCGACAACGGGTTCATAGTCACTATCCTGCTTCCTTGCCTGCAGTTCAAACTTCAGACGGGCTTCTTCATGTCGCTTTCCGGTCTAGACTTCTTCTATTTTCTGCACCTGAAGATTAGGCGCGCTTTGTATGGCTGCATCTCAGTCTCACCAAGTATGATCAGCTTCCCTCTCGTTTCCGTTCTCGAAGTTACTTCCCTTTGTTTCTCGTTATCCGTCTTAGGTTTGGCTCCCTTCCTCCCTATAGAGTCCGACTAGAAATCTCAGCACGCTTCCTTCTCAGTCGCGATTCCGTACCCGGGCTGTTTTGTACCCTTTTTGGACCCACTCGAGATCTTGATGTTGTCCATTGTTTCAATCGTATCACCCTCTCAGGTCGCTGTCTTCAACTGCAACAGAGAATGGAATCGGCGTCGACGACTGATCATTGGAGAGCAGCCAGCGAACACTCTCCCTGATTAACAGCCAACAAACCGAATCTCTGATGGCAGGAAACCAGCATAATCGAGAGCACCAAGCCGTTGCTTCATGATGTCATCGAAGTTTTCCCATCCCCATCTCTTTCTGCACTTTTCAAGATTCATTTGTCACCGGAGAGTCTACTGACGTCACGCCGCGCAGCTCGAGCTCTGTCGCTCATCGAGCCTTACGAGCGAAAGCAAAAGCTCGTCGGAATCTCCCATTGACTCTTCGTCGGCCTTTTTTTCATCAGGTCCCCCATGTCGATCTTTCGACGTCATCGTGATCCTTACACGTCGCCAAGCTCTTCGTATCCCATAGGCAAGTCATGAGAGCATACCTGCCATCATTTTGCCTGCGACCCAAACAAGAACCAGAGGAGAAAAACAGCATAAACGTGAAGAGAGTGATTGCCATCTCCTTTGTTGATGCAGATTTTTAGCTCGTACAGACTCCACTCAACTTCTGATGGTCGGCGCCGGCGCCCTCGCCCCTTTCCTGATCCGCGCGCACCTCACTGTTCGGCCCAGCATCACCCGGGTCAACATTTGGAACCGGTCCCGAAGTCGGGCGGAAACGCTTGCAAGCAGCCTTAGCTCGGACCCGTTTCTGGAAGGCGTTGGCGTGTCAGTTGCGTCGGACCTTGAGGCGGCTGCTCGAGAAGCGGACGTCATCTCGACGGCGACCCTGTCAAAGGTAAGCGTACAGAGAATTGAGGTGCGATAGATTTCGCTGCAGATGTCGTAGGGAAACTGATACGCAAGAGAAGGAAGGAGTCTCTGCTTCGCATTCGAGGTTGTATCCGAGCTTCCGTCGGTACTTTTCAGACTAGGAGCTCAGGAGAACGGGCTACAAACGTGTGTCGAATGTTGACGTTGTATGACGATCTCTAACGGAGTGGCGCCCTCATGCAGCGTGGCAGTCGAGAAAAAAGTTCTAGACGCTTCGCGACCATTACGGCCCAATTTTAGCCTCACCAAAAACCAGAAGCTTGGTATTCTACGAACGTGTCAAGGTACCTTGCATTGCCCAGAAGACCAAAGCCAGGGAATTGACTGCTGCTTGTGTCGTCCGGATCTGCTATTCCGGATGTTTGAAGCTGCCAATTGCCGAGACGCTGACGTCACCCCGACGTTGCTTTTGCAGGAGCCCATCACACTGGGCGCGTGGCTCAAGCCGGGAGCGCACCTCGACCTGGTGGGCGCATTCACACTCGACATGCGGGAGACGGACGACGAGGTGAGCGGGTCACAGACAGTTGTCCGTTACAACCTGTCAGCGAGCAGAGTGTCTTTTCTTTTCAAATCTTTGCCAAGATTTCTCGGTCGACTGTCTTGAAAACCAGCTGCTCGTAAGCGGAAGCGCTTTTTGATCAACAGGTGATGCTGCGTCGCTAGTCGTGGGTACTCCCACAAATCTGGATCAGATCTTTGCTCCGAAGGCTCCGATTGAGCTTGAAGCATTGCCTCCATCCAGAAACTGTACGAAGGACCTGTTTACAACAAATACGTGTCGACTTCTACTCGCTCTTCGTTTTGCCTACTTCATTGGGGTTTTACAACAGGAGAGACACTTCTGTGTCCGATCGGAACGCAGCGACCATACGGTCTACTTTTCCTCCTCATTCCTCATTTCTAGTTCCGCACTTCCAATCAAGCCATACTGCTTTCTCGAGAATGCGACTAAGCGCCCCGCATCAAGCAGAACAATAATTTCTGAAATGTTTATTCCGTCTTCCTCCAGGCCGTCCGCCGCTCGACCATCTTTGCCGACCGCTTCGACGCCCTGCGCGCCGAAGGGGGTGACGTCATGATCCCGTACCGAGCTGGAGTCATCGACGACACCAGCTTCGTCGCAGACCTGGCGATGCTGACACGTGGCGCGCATCCGGGGCGTCGATCGCCCAACGAGATCACGCTGTTCAAGTCGGTCGGGCTCGCACTGGAGGACTTGGCTTGCGCCAAGCTCTTGTGGAGGAAAGCTGGGGACGGGTCTGTGACGTGAGCATGGGGACGGGCTTGTGACGTCAGCATGCCGTCTGCAGATCAAGATGGCAATCACTGTTGTGCTGGCTTGGCGGTTCCAATGGTGCGCCGCCGTCAAGCTTAACAAGCACTCGGGGGCGGAGTCGGTGGCCGTTTTTGCATCTCGCTCTTTGTGACTCGAAGAGGACGGTATATCCGCCAGGGACGCCAGATCTGAGAGGGCGAAACTTATATGTGGTCTGCTGAGGATTGCCGCACAAGCAACTGTCCTTCAAAGCTCAAAGCTGCGGCAGCTTTGGTACGTCGTCACTTTGTTCTACGACGGCAGAGCCCAACACGTTTTTGCACGACGAGTACGCAGCCTGGTTGCCGTGTGAAAGTCAGCAAAGTGTTGACCCTGATTCATCCCTTGATCAAAGACCCCGAAAATTTTGGGCTATGCGAGAGTTAGGCACTGTGGTTGGTTTTGAAAGCCAGGACCCGTTGCACATAGGGTAAGGGGTACAGCCTGCAGCCGCTTCTAGAATGTACGTACACTATTTTCACCTTTTGTCGCCTAGACAAGGACTGTCCCCAACAGGCGCCAGGGTCCAGCGACAAAGCGACTCTACGCAATGAAGCACACTCCTTGCTTCTCGTAGGTAGACTCGGAAGTGAAGGTTGTAGCTTTCAGTCCTCGTATGCAGACTTGTCTCGTTCCATCATTGTTTTCGCCTCACCCTAGTATTGTCATCAATTGCATCATCGAAAGTTCAGAATGTCATCCACATCATGGCATCAAAGTCGCGAAACATGCATGCTGGCCCGTTGATTAATAACTGGCGCGCGGACTACCATAATGGTTTATAAGGGTCGAAGGCGCGCCCATTGAACTGTTTCCGGCTTTATACGATTGCCAGGCAACCAGGAGCTTCATGGGCTATGTTAAAAAGAGAACGTAGCAACAACAATCTGGACATTTTTTTGAAGTGTCAGAACGACAGAACCTCTTGTGACGGTTAAGCCGGCCTGCAAGCCCGTGAATTGCACAATGGGCCCATATTCCGCCATGCTAGTGACTAGGGCCCCGGCCACACCGTCATGTTGTTCACACTAGCGGCTAGCTTCAACAACAGCCGGTACTTTTGCACAAGTAGTCTTTCAACAATGCACCACTGAGGCAAGCGACTCTGCCTGTCGGATCATTCCATGCAGTAAGCCTGGACGTGACCATGACTAGAAAACTGGCACTGACCATGACTAGCTCCAAATCACTGCGCCGGCCGGGCCATGTGGTGGGATCATTCCTGTCGTCGAGCAGCTAAACTGAAGGCATGTCCATTAACTTGTGTGTAACTTTGCACGAAAATGCAAAACTTTTGTACACAAGTTGACCTGCTCTGCGTACAAGAGACTGATAGTAGTTGCACGACTGCTGATGCACTTAACACTGACACTTCTTGTCTACCACACTAGACTAATTCGACCAGCTCAAAGCAGAAAGTGTTTTGACCTGCTATGACACCCTTTAGTACTAATCTGCACCATTTTGGCAGTTTTCCTACACCATTCTATAAACCAAGCGTGCACATACTCAAAGAATTTAGGACTGTCAATTGAAAACACGTAGAAATGGATCTCCAAACCAGACTCAGTGAACGCCACCATGATCTTGTCCCAGTTCTGACCTGCCAGAGGAACCTTTTGCATTATTCAAGCCGTCTTCTGTGCACGCTGATAAATCCGAAAGGCAGCGTACCATAGCGTGCAGTTGCCGAGCACCGTGAAGAAGCCCTGAAGGGCGACGATGATCTGCAACAATTCGACAAACAATACCGTAAGAAGGTAGCCAAGTTTGCAATGATGGACTCTGCCCTTTTTGGTCAAGGCGCAGACCATGCACGCCCAATGCAAACCTGTGAACGGACTGTTTGGCTCTCTGTGTCACAGCCTGCACCTGTTTGACTGGAACATTTGGAAGCTATCTGGGAATCATGCCCTACCAAGCGGCTTGTACTACACTGATTGCTGGCCTGCGTCAAACGGGGACTCACAGCAAAGCAACTCCAAAACGCCCGCCACAAAAAAGAAGTTGCAAGACAAGTGTACTTTCCAGCCAAACCTGAGTCCCTGGTCTTTCCTGTCATAGACGAAATTCCAAGTAGCTCAGCAGAGGATCGAACACGCACCTGCAGGTCTGAACCGCACTGATACCGACTCTGTAATTTTCTCTATGCCCAAGAAAATCGGAGCAGTTTGACACGTCTCTCAGACCGAACTCACCTCAAGAGATGGAGCGTTGTAAAAGAAGTGCCACGTGCAGGCGCACAATGCGCCCGCAAGCAATGGGACCTACATGTCGATAAATCACATCAGCCATTGAAAGTGTATCTAACACCGTACTTGATGTCATTCAAGAAGACAAGAGAGATTTGAGAAACCGCGTTTTGTCGACCCCCTTCACGTTTCTTTGATGCATGGGATGGCCCCACCATGGCAGCAATTTAGATGATTGACCAAAGTCGAAACAAAAGGCAGAAAGAAAGGTTTTTACTGCACACAATTCGCACATGCCAGGCCAGAGCCTCCCATCTGCACATGCAACGCATACAACCCTTTGGTCGTGTCAAGCGCTGGCCAGTATGAGTTGCCGCGCTCCAACTTCATGCTGCAGCTTCTTGCAGAGTACAATAGTTGGCCCCTTCCTTCGAAAGCACGGACTTTTCCCGCAGGTAATTCAATGGTGTCAGGGAGGTGGCAGGAAGTCTAAAGGAAAGGAAAGAATAGAACCAAAACAAGAACAAGTAAACTCACCATGCCCCAGGCCAAGCCTTTCCAGGCCCTCCTGCCTGGCTCATCGCTGTCCCCATAGCGCCAAACCAGCGCAATTGCCGTGACCCTGGGACGGAGTGTATTGCAAGCTGTAGGCTTTATACTAGACCAGTCCACGAAAGCTTGTGGTCATTGAGCAGTGGCAATTTCAAAATCACGAAGTGCAGGATTAGAAACCTCCCTGCCCAGTCACTAGAGAGGCAGAAGTATCGGGAAGGAATGTGAGCGAGAGGCCCCACAAGTATCGCATGCGCCGTCAACTGTGCCGCATGGAGCGGCCCCTATCAGCATGCACTTAAGACCAGTCTACATAGTTTCAAGGAAGACACCTTATTTATAAAGCAGACTCGGGGTGTCTCAGCTTCAATTGACGGTACATTTCAGAGAGCTCTTCAACGGGCTCACCATTCAACAACACTGGCCACGTGAATGATCCACGTTGGAAGGGACAGCGCGTTTGCCGGCTCCTCCGCAAACAACGCACCCAACGCCCCAATTGCCGGCTGGCCGACACTCCCAGCCTCAGCCGCTACTGCTGGCCCTGCAAGCCCCGCTAAGCCAATTGCCATGGCAAGCCCCATGACCAGCGTGGAACTCATGGAGTGGTTTGTCCCCGTGCAACATGCGCTTTCCGAAAGGGCCGAGTAGGCGAGGTCTGCTGCTGCGTGCATGTCCTCCTCCTTGTTCTCCGCCCATTCCCGGAGCCAGTGCGCCGGGTTGGTTTCGTCATTCAGGACGGCTTCCAGTTCGTCCCGCTCGAGTTCTTCCCAGGAGCTGGCTGGGTCACTTGCTGAGGGCACGTCATCGTCCTCTGCATCGCTCATGACAGTTTGTGCATCAAAAGTACTTTCCCAAATGGAACGCGACGTGGTTGGGCCATTCGAGCTCTCATTTGCTGACCGCAGGGAAATGTTCCTAGGATTGGACAAGCTGCCTACTGACTTGGGGCAGGCACAGGAGAGGTTTCTCGCGGGCGTGCTGATTGGGAGGAAGCTCGAGGCAAGCCTCTTGGCATCTCGTGCAAGCAAGAAGGACGTATAATGTTCTTCCAGCTGCCAATTGGATGCACCCCCTGACAGGACATGCCTGCTGGCCTGCACAGGCGTGTGACAGCAGCGTGTGGCCATGTTTCCTTCTCCAGCAAAATACAAAGCGCCCCTAACCTGTTCACAGCATTGCTCTTCTCTGCAATTGCAAAATTTGCTGAGTTGCAGCGAGCTGAAATTCGAAATTGCACTGGCTGGCCAAGCTCGACAGCAGAAGGCTCCGCCGGTTATACCATATTAAATGGTGGGAATATGCGACAGAATCAATTTGTTCGAAACTTGTTTCGTCACCGGGTCTATGGCATGGTAACTCAGTAGGCAAAATGGGCAACTTCGAAATGACTTCGGAATACCTACGTAGCAAAATGTCCTTGAGATGAATCTAGGCTGCTATCTTTGAAGTTAAGCGGTCGGTGAAATGGTTTTTAAAGGGTACCGTCATTTTGTACCTGGTACCCCCCCATATTTATGT